CATGTAGTATTTTACAGCACATACGATACGGATCTACACAAACATCTGTTGTCGCGCATGCTGAGTATGACTCACAAGAGAAACAGGCAAACACTCAGTTTGGCACAGCCCATAGCACGCAATCTCACTTGATTTTCTCAGTGACAGCAGCTGGGAGGGAGACAGATGAATTGCCTAATGCTTCACGCAGGACGATGATTTTCTCTACCAAATCCTGCATCAGAAGCAAGGAGACGACACATTAATATATTAAAAGCTGATGCAAGATGCACATACAAAGCACACAATCAACAGCACAACGGTAGTACCATCTAATAAAACGCAATAAGCTGCAGTGAAAACTTGCCAAAAACTATGAGATGTTCTGCAAAATGAATATTCTCAGAGATGTCACATATTCGTGTTACCAGCCATGAAAAAAATGCGAAACTCATCAAAGTTGTTCTGCCTAAATTTGTGAAAATACGACGCAGGCCATTTCCTGTAAAGGAGTGCTCGTATCACAATAGACACCAAACAGTCCATTTTCCGCTACAGGCCATGTCACAATAAGACCTGAGAAAGTTTGCAGATATTGCTGCAAGTTTCTGTACAAGTACCGTATAACTTCTCACTTCTCAGAGTAAGCCATATCATCATGACACACACACACACACACACACACACACACACACACACACACACACACACACACACACACACACACACACACACACACACACACACACACACACACACACGTACATGCACATGCGCCCAACACGTGCACATATACAAGGCCATAAAACTCTGCCCAGACAACACCAACCTGCAGTGCCAATGCATTAGAGGAGGAGGATGGCTGATTAATCCTGTACACCAAGCACGTCCACACACGCACACCTTTGACCTTTGACGCCCATCGCCGGAGGCGATGATAGCAATGCTACGGCAGAAGCCATAGCAACTTGTGCTGGGATTGCACCATTAAACAGCTTGCAAGGCAGAAGAATTGACCATCACTATTCAGCCTGGTCTACACCATACAGCTATTTTGAAGTGACTTTTTCTGGCCAGTGAATCCCTATTTTTGGTATTTTCATTTTTTTTCACACGCACACACACACACACACACACACACGCGCGCGCACACACACACACGCACAATACATCCACATTACCACCAGCAACACGAACAGCAACACAATCGAATACATGCCAATACATGCAGACAACAGTTCCTTACAGGCACCTTGCCATCATGTGATAAGAACAGTGGGATCAGAGAAAGAATAGACAGGTGAAAAACGGTCATACGCAATATGTGCACACAGAAATTATACGCACCAGAAATACATTACCAGTGTCCTAGACAACTGAATGTGTGGACAAGTGAGTAATGGCAAAGACAAGAATACAATCTGAACTCGGATGTTGAGCCAATGTAATCATGGATAAATAAAGGAAGGACAACATGTTACGAGTTATGACCAACTGTCCACCAATGTAACCAGATAATATACCGGTAGTATCTTATCTGGTTACATTGGTAGACAGCTAGTATAGGACAGTCCGCAAATGCGACAACAGGGCACACAACTGACAAGGAGTACTGAGACATTCAATGACCTGCCCTGTTGTCGCACTTACTGACTATTATTATTATCTGGTTACATTGGTGGACAGTTGGTCATAACTCGTAATATTTTGTCCTTCCTTTATTTATACAAGAATAGAAACTCGAGTATCACAAGTCAAACCAACGCACCAGTACTGCACAAGTCGTTCCAAGCTGCCACTGCAGATATAACACAGACAAGCTTCATCCCGGAATACACCATCTTCTTCCTCCTCTAGACGACGGCCCAGCCGTTCTGTGGGACATACGCAGTACAGGCAGAATACACAACAATGGTGATTGGTAAATGTACTTTGAGTAGGACGGTAGCATGTGCATATCTATAATATTCAGTGCGCATTTCTATAATTATGCAGCAAAAATGAAATTGAACTCATCAAAGTGCAAGAACAAGTAGTACATCCAGATATGCTCGGGTGCATGTGTGTAAGTAGACGCATGTGTATTACCATTGTTCATTGGTGTGTGTGCGTGTGTGTGTGTGTGTGCGTGTGTGGCGTGCTCTTTCTCTCTCTCTGCTGGCCCTCCAGGGCCCACGTGACCCTAGTGGTAGTGGCTCTACAGGACAGGACAGGTGTGTGTGTGTGTGTGTGTGTGTGTGTGTGTGTGCCATATGGTGCAGTGGTATGTGCAGCGATTTCCAATCGATAGGTTGCGGGTTCGATTCCCGACGATTATGGTCACACACGTCTTTCTTCTCTTTCTCAGACTCTTCCTGACTTTTCTTTCATTCTCCTGGGTGGTTACCAACAGCCAGTGTATGCCGGAGTATGTGGTGTGGTGTGTGTGTAGAAAAAGAAAAAAAAAAAGAAAAGAAAAAAAGAAAAAATGGAAAAATGAAAAATAGGGATTCACTGGCCAGAAAAAGTCACTTCAAACAGCTGTGTGGTGGATACCAGGCTAAAAATAGTGGCGGTCAATTCATCAGCCTTGCAAGCTGTTGAATGGTGTAATCCCAGCACAAGTTGCTATGTCTAACATAGCTGTTCGCTATCATCGCTCCCGCGATGGGCATGTCTGAGGTCTGAGGTGTGTGTGTGTGCCAACCTGTCGGAAGGCTACCTTCTTGCCAAAGCATTTGGAAGTTGGACTAGTTTCGGCTTCACAATCCAGTGTGCCGTTACTATATAGCTTTCATGGCTGAGGTTGTTGGTATGTCTGTTGGCTCTGGGTTCCCAGTACTCAGTAGCCGAGGCTGGTTGGTAAAGTAACTCCAATTTCACTTCAAGGTACCAGTGCATCTAGTGTCTGCTTCTATCAAAGCAGCGTGCTGTCTATACTGATTACCCCAGCAAGTGTAGGGTGTGCATAGGTAACTGTCTTGGCCGTTTTACGCCGATGTACTCCGTGTGGTGTAGACCAGGTGTGCATTGGTGGTCGATTCACATGGCTTCGCCAGTTGTGTGGATTAGACAGTTATCTGGCGCAAGTCTTGATCTGTCTCATTCAGATCTTGTTCGCTATCGTTGCTATAAGAGAAAATCTGTGGGTGCACATCCAGTGCATTTGCAGATTTGCGTGCTTCTCTTGCGACGGGCGTATACATGGTACATGGTGTGTGTGTGTGTGTGTGTGTGTGTGTGTGTGTGTGTGTGTGTGTGTGTGCGTGTGTGTGTGTATGTGTGTGTGTATGTGTGTGTGTATGTGTGTGTGTGTGTGTGTAGCTGGACTAACCGCACAGGGAAGCAAACTGGTCAGCAGGCGCATAGGTGATCAGAGCGGCAAGCAACTGAGGCCAGTTAGACAACTTGCCACGCAACACCAACCCATTGAGATCACGCATCACTACAGCGGTCATCAGCTGAACACAACAACAACATCGGCAGCAGCAGCAGCAGCAGCAAAAGGAGCAAGGAGGACATTTACAATATAATTAGTCGTTAACGATGAGTGACACAAAAAATGAAGGAAATCCGATCGTATGAGTCAACCAGCACCAGGCCTTGTGCAGCCTCTGACCTGTGAACACTGGGCTGTGCACTAGTGAAGTGATGTAGGGCACAAACTTAGTTATGAGATTGGATTTCATTGAGCATGACTGTTAGTCTTTAGAAACTGTTGCAGAAATCTGGTCTACCCCCCCCCCCCCCACACACACACACATACATACATAATTACACCGATCTCACCTTTGACAAATGAGAAGTTTGCCGCTTCAGGTAATATTGTTGTGTGCATGCCAGAAGATCAGCACCGCCAGCCACAGCAAGTACCATAGCATCCGTCTGCATCACCACACAGGCACCAATACACACAAGCAAGCCCAAGAAAAGTATAAGAATAAAGAAGACACTCAATTGTCCAGCGGTTCAAGGTGCGAATGATCACAAATTCCGAGGGCTTGCCATCTCGAAATCGACTTCTACAGCGTGAAGGTAGCATGAACCAATAGCTACTGTAAATCAATAAACAACAAAATTAATACAAGGGCACTGGAGTGATGAGTGAGTCAGAGCGGCAGCTGTGCACGCGCAATAACATCAACCTAGAGTAAAATAAGCAAAATGTGATAGTGCCTAGCAGCACAGCAAAAACAGTACGTACCATTCTGTTGTTCCGAATACACAGCTTCACAGCTGCTTCAAAATTACCCAGCAGCAATGCTTTGGAAATGACACCATCCACACCTACACACAGAGGTTGAATTTACAGCACAGAGCACCAGTAGAGACACACTCTTTGCAAGAGCCACAACTACCAATACATGGTTGCACAGCAGCAGCAGCAACCAAAATGAAGAAGAGATCATTATTCATGCCACTCTATGCCACAATAAAAGGTGATTCAGTAGGAAGAGGAAAGTCCAAGCCATTTATTCTTGAATATTTGGCAACCCTGCAAGCCAAAATCTTCATAGCCAGTACCTTATGCTATACTATCTTCAAGGTGAAGTTTGTCTGGTGAGTATTGAGATGGCAAAGAATGGCAGCAATACGATTCGTTCAGCTTTACTACTGTCACAGCAAGGATATACTTACTGTCATCCTCTGGCACTTGAATGGGGGAGACACGACCTGAAGACAGATACATACATCACAAATAGTCCATTACTGAAGTACTTCAAAGAAGTACATGCATACATACATGCATACATACATGCATACATACATGCATACATACATGCATACATACATGTGCAACACACTGCGACTGAGTGGTATTTACTACTACCGGCTGCTAACGATAGTACGCTGCCTTTTGTAGCCTCCTCTGCCTAGATGGATCCTTCCATGAGTGACACACAAAACAGTATTTATTAGACATTGCTATGATTCATATACACTCCCGAGGTGTTTGTCGAGCTGGAAACGGAGCGTCTCTGTAAATTTGTGTCCCTTGTTAAGTTTGTACCTGGAGAGCACTATATTCTTCTCGTGTGCTCCAGACGGCAGTCGTGAGTCAGTCAAGTGTCAATCAGTTGGCAAGAAGCGTGAGCTCCAACGTTTGGAGCAGCCACCTTCTTCTACAATTACCGGGGAAGTCGCAACACCTCAGTTTTAGAATATGCATGTGCAGACAAGCCAATGCTAGAACTAGCCCATGATTCTTTAGCCCTCACTGGCTTTAGAAACATGAAACCAATACAGAAACAATGTGGCACATGGTGTCAATATAGTGCATGATGCAAGCAGTACCTGAAACAACGGGAGAGCAGCGACCTGAAGCTACTTCCACTGGCTGTGAAACTTGAAGCTGCAGCACAAGACACACAAGAATGCACAACGTGGAGAAAGCACTTCACTCACTCACTCACTCACTCACTCTCTCACTCTCTCTCTCTCTCTCTCTCTCTCTCTGTCTCTCTCTCTCTGTCTCTCTGTCCCTCTGTCTCCTCTCTCTCTCTCTCTCTCTCTCTCTCTCTCTCTCTCTCTCTCTCTCTCTCTCTCTCTCTCTCTCTCTCTCTCTCTCTCTCTCTCTCTCTCTCTCTCTCTCTCTCTCTCTCTCTCTCTCTCCCTCTCTCCGCATGGAACAGATCTACTGGACATTAGGGGTCGTCCGTATTTTTCGAAAAATTAAAAAATCCGTCCTCAGGCAAAAAGGGGGTGGGTGGTCAAGAGTGCTGGCGGAATTTAATTTTTTGATTTTTCGTACTTTTATTTATTTATTTATTTTGCTCCAGTGACTTTCATACACTTGTTGCACTGATATAATATTATAGCTGACTGTGTACTGTACTGTACACGTAGTGTAGGATCGATTGTCGCAAACACCAGTATCTAATATGATATACATGACTTTTCATGTAGTTGTAGGACGGTGCATGGCCGTGACGTCGGTAGACCTACTCACTGTACTTAGCTACTACTACTAGTACTTGACACAGGTGCAGTCAGAAAACATGGGGTCAGGAGTTCTCATTTTCGAGCTGGGCATTGGTAAAAATCAAAAAATTAATGGGAAAAAATGGGGGGTGGGTGGGTGGGTCAGAGACAATTTTGCACGAGAACGGATTTTTTAATTTTTTGAAAATTACGGACGACCCCTTACCGGTAATACCACCGGATCAAAATTCAAAACCTTTTGATTTCAAGTACATGGATGTGAACATACCGAAGAAAAGTTAGGTAAGTCTTCATCAGCTACTCCTTGCTGCTGTTGTTGCTGCTCAGTTTCCTGGAGAGAAAAAACAAAAACAGATACATGCTTCAACAATCAGACAAAGCCCCCAATACTCCCAAGGAAAATTGCTGGACAATACAGAATTGACATGAACAACGCAGTAACTGAGTAAGAGCGTGAAATGAAGAAAAAGCACAGCACAGCGATGTAAAAACATTGCATAGCTACAGGACACAGGAGACTATTTTAGCTGTAACTTCGTACAATGTAGTAGTTCCATGCACTGAGTGGTCATCAGACGGGTTGAATCTACAGTGAAAATAGCGAGCTGTATCCTGTTTTTGTGTGTACCGCTCTGCAATCTGGTTCATAGAGCACACTTTCAAACTGGCCCGACTGACCCTGATTGTGCAATGTAAAGCATGACACATGTGCAACAGGTATCACATGGCACTTACAGCATGCTCAACACTGGACGAGGCGGTGGATACCTGAACACAGAAACAACACAAAGCACTGATGTCAACAAGGACCATTCAACTGAAGGCCTTCGAAAAATGTTCAAGTCTATATAATATGCTATCGCAGATGGCAAATTCAAAGTAATCATGCACGACTAGAATGATGAAGTATGTAATGTATCATTCAAAAGAGCAACTACCAAGTGACAAGTATCGGTATGCGCAGGAGCTATCTACACAGCCACAGCAGAATCACTGGATCATGCACAGCTTCTCTGAGTATTGGCGAGCTAATTCTCACAGAGCAAGCACAGGCTACTGATACTTGTACACAGACTAGCTCCATCCTGGGCTCCCCAACATTCCTGAAACGCAACAACCAGGAATCGTCTTCTTGTGTTGGTGCATGCACGGCATCACATGCAGATTCATGGAGTTGACTATGCTTCCTCTTGCGACAAGACACAGCAGATGCCACAGCCATAAAACAAAAAACAAGGTCATACATCTGTCCTGTCCATGAGGTGCAAACACTAGCCGATAATCAGGTACAGCAGGTGGAGCCCGACATAAGAATCACAGCGGCAAGCAACTGACACAACCGGCCGAGGTACGACACTCTGTACGCAAAGCCCCAGTAAACCGCTTGGTACTGGGATCACTGCCAGGATAGGCATCCCGATGGTGCCCCCTCCTCCTCCCCCCTCCCATTTAAAAGTTCAGCATCTGACCTGTTTGATCTGCTCCTCCAGCGACTCCGCAGTGAAACCCAGCAGATGTAGATAGTGGCGACGAGTTTCAGCTTCAAAGTTACCCTGGCAAAATAACATAGGAAACCACAACAAAGAAGCACACAGTGTTCTCATGAGAAGTGCCAGCTCTTCTTCTTTGTCTTATATTCAAAAACGATACATGGGATCAAATTTCTTCACCGTATCCATTACCAAGAGGTACAGTTGTCCCTCTCTAATCCGGCACCTTTTGCAGCGGTATTTTCTGCTGGATAAACAAGGGTGCTGGATTATCAAATCCTGCCCTCCAACCCGGCCCACCTATTAACATACATGTTTGTGTTGTACGTCAAAACGCAGGGATTTTCTGTGTCAATCTAAGTACTTCGTGAAATGCATGTCTATACAGTGCATAGGACATTCCCAAGTGTATGTTACATGTGTAGAATGCTCCCTGATAAGTTAGTTCATGCACGTCATGCACTGACCAAACTGACATAGCTGTGCACGGCCGTATGGTATGCGATGTACAACTACTGGATTATAAAATCGAATTACCGTATTATCTCTAATATAAGCACAGTCTCCAATAATAGCACGTCTCCAATAATAGAACACCTTGGGGCGGCATTCAAAAAATTAAGTGCTCAGTCTCCATTATAAGCACACTGTGTAAATTCATTATCTGTACCGGCGAAAAAACCCTGAAATGTGTGTGTCTGACATGAATTTGGCATGGCAACATGCCTCTGAAATGAGGTTGAAATAATAATGGAACAGTCTCCAATAAAGGAACGTCTCCATTAAAGGGGAAGTTAAGGCAAAAATTAAAATTTCACCAGTTGTAGTCTTCGGGGTGCTGAGTCGAATGGTCGTGGTCCGAGGAAGCTGAGACGCTCCCTTCCTACTTGAATCCCAATCGAACTCGCGTACTTCCACCGAAACTGGGTGACTGCGCCCTACTAGATGGGGATTTGTATGCAAAATGTCACTAAAAGCGCCATTTCGTTCTTATAAAAGCACGGATGACCGCGATTGGCCCATATGTTGTAGTCTTTTGGACGCTGAGTCGATTGGTTTTGGTCTGAAAAAGCTGCGATGCAGCGTTCCTCCTTTATTCCCAATCGAACATGGTTGAAGAAGCGGTCACGTGCTCCTGCGTACACCAGTCACCTGGTCACCGTGCCTGCAGGGTACAACTTACTAGCCTGTTTTGACCTTTTTTGGGTGCAGTCCTGTCACTCGAGTTGAACTCGAGTTGAACCTTGGTGTGAAAGTTGTCGCCTGCTGGCGTGGTGACCAGGTGATTTGGGCACCCAGGAGCACGTGACCGCTTCTTCAACCATGTTCGATTGGGAATAAAGGAGGAATGCTGCATCGCAGCCTTTTCGGACCAAAACCAGTCGACTCAGCGTCCAAAAGACTACAACATATGGGCCAATCGCGGTCATCCGTGCTTTTATAAGAACGAAATGGCGCTTTTAGTGATATTTTGCATACAAATCCCCATCTAGTAGGGCGCAGTCACCCAATTTCGGTGGAAGTGCGCGAGTTCGATTGGGATTCAAGTAGGAAGGGAGCGTCTCAGCTTCCTCGGACCAAGACCATTCGACTCAGCACCCCGAAGACTACAACTGGTGAAATTTTAATTTTTGCCTTAACTTCCCCTTTAATAGCACGGGGCGGAGGTACATTGAAAAAATAAAGGACCGTGCTTATATTAGAGATAATACGGTATGTACAGTTTGAGCAATTTGTTGCAGAAAATCGCTGCTGGAGGCGGAATTCAAGTGCCGGATTAAAGAGTAGGAAATGAACTGAAAAAATCCGTTTCGCCAGAAAGTGTGCTGGTTTGCAAGGGTGCTGGATAAACAAGTGCCGGATTAGAGAGGGACGACTGTACTTGCAATATTTAAATGTCCTCTCACCTGCAAAAATTGCCACATGCTGCGCTCCTTATCGTCCGCAGCATTTTGCAGCTTGCCTGCACAGAAATCCTTGAGCGTCTTATCACTCAGGGCACTTTCCAGTTCGTTGGCTCTCTTCAGTACCTCCGGCTCTGTCACAACCTGGCTGATCTTGACAACACGGGGCACGGTGGCTGAACAGCCGAATGATACCAGTTGTCCCCCAGACTGGATGACAAGAAATAGAGAAAAGAAAGAATGAGAATACAACTGTTGTGCACCATCATTCTATTACTGCACAGCTAAGAACTTCCCAAATACAGAGCAAGAAGCTTGGTGCCGGAGAAAGCATCACGTCCGCCATACAGGAGCAGCCAGAAAGCCCCTACAAATATTCAAACGACCACACCAGTGCATATAGCTGGGTACACACGCACGCATGCGCACTCAAACACACACACACACACAGTGGACAGAATAAGAACGTACGCTAAAACGTGCTCCAACAGGAGGCCGAAGCCATTTGGGTGCATACTTCAAGCCATCCATTGCCTGATAGGGAGCACAACGAGAAGTGAGAAAAGGCAAGACAAGAAAGCAGATGAAGAGTCAAGGAGAAGATAATTTCAATTATACAAGCTGGGTATACAATATCTGAGGAAAACTGGAAAAATGGGCATGCTTCGGAAAAGCTCAGCCAAGGTGAAATCTAATCTAAAGTGAAGAATTGCATTGACAATATCCAGGATGCACACATCAGCTATGGAATGAATACCTGACAATGGAGGAGCAGACACTAAGTATGCCAAAAACAAAACACTCTTCTGACTGACCGTGGTCTGTGTTCCAAGGAAATCATCCGTGGTCTGCTCAGCGCTACCACCAAGGACGGAGTAGACCTTGAGCTGGTTATCAAATGACGACACGGAGACTAATGCCGGATTGCGAGGACACCACTGGACGTCAAATGTCCATTGACTGGATGCTGGCAGCTCACACACCACCTACACAATACATAGCAGCATACAGCATTGTATCATACACAGTTCACACATCGTCCAACAGCATACAGCACAGTGGAAACAAGTCAACGCTAGCAACTAGGCAGATAACTTGGCATGCATGCAGTTGTAATCAAAGGCACAGCCCTGGACTGAATAGCCAGAGTGCACAATACAAAGTGTAGACAAGCCTATAGGATGAAATAGGCGTTGCACTGTTTCTAGACTAATCTTGTAAAGCACCAAAACTACAGCAAAAGTCTCGCGAAAGCACCCATTTGGTCCAAAAACATGTACAGTGTATGGGTGGCATCATTATAACACCGTGCACGTGGTCTATACCAGCAACATGTCAACAAGCCTTCATCAGAAAGCAACCTATAGCTCTGGTACTCATACATATCTGAGCAGCACTCATACACACCTCGCCACTGGCGTTTTCACTGTTCGGATTCCAGCACAGTATCCGACAGTCCTGTAGACAAACAGCAGCAGAAGCACATGCAAATCCATACTTGAAGTACATGTAATAATCACCATCATCATCTGTACAAACGCATTCCTGACAGTGGTATGGTGCGGCCAGGACAAAAAACAGCCTACAGTGCACACTACAGTTCCCTGACTTCACGTACACATGTGCACCAAAGTGCCTCCATGTCTATGAGCAGCAGTACTGTGCAACAGAGAAGCAAGTACAATCCAGACAGGATCCAACATAGCTGCCAGTAGACACTACTTCAAGCAAGCCAGCTCGATGCAATTTCTTTCTTGAATCTTGATCACACGGTCAGACAACAGTAAAAAAAAAAACACCTTGACAACATCAACAAACACACGCACACACACACGCACACGCACACACACACACACAAAACACACACACACGCATACACGGATGACACTCTCTTACCTTTCCCCAACTCATCAACAGGTCAGGATCATGTGGACACCAAGATACTCCAAGTACACCCCTGTGCAAAACAAGATCAGTACATTACACCACCATCAGCACACAGTAGCCATAAACTAGAAAGCAGAACAAGAGTATAGTACACTGAATTGAACACAATATCAAGCTACTTCTTCTTTAGAACTTGAACATCATAATTTACCAAATTAGCAAAAACACAGGAAAGGGTTGCTTGGTGCACCTCCCTTCGGGCTCCCATAAGAAGGCCAACAGCCTCTGGAAGACACCAAAGTAAAAAAAGAGTGGTTGTTATTACACTCGGACACTGAGCCAATAATAAATGTAGAAAGGACACTTCGATACGATTTACGAGTAACTGCCCACCACTGTTACTAGATAATACACAGTCAGAAAGTGCGACCACTAGGCACCAAACTGGCAGAGTATTGAGACAATTAACAACCTCACACCTGGATCCATCACATCTCCAATGCACAAACCAACCGCCTTCAAACCATGAGCCTTCCAAGCTGAAAGGCTGTTGGTTTACATATTAGAATTGTATTGGAACTTAATAGGTGTGAGGTTGATGAATGTCTCAATACTCTGCCAATCTGGTGCCTAGTGATCGCACTTTCTCACTGTGTATAGAGCTTTTTCAAGGACGTCGTTACGCCACCGCCCCGGCGTTCACCCCGAGACTGTGGTGAACAGGTCGCATGTCAAAATGCATTGAAAAGTATAGGAAATGTGACAGGTTCGTCTCCACCAGCGCTTGGAGCGATTCTGAAGTTTGTTCTTTTTCACCCAAGTCATGGAAGGGCTTCCTGGCAACTGCTCTGACTCAACACGGGTGTCGGATATCAAGTGGAGCGCCATTCTACTGCTTCTTTCACCTCCACGCATCCATTCCCATACAAAGTGAACGTGAACAGGCCTGTTCACCAGCGATTCAAAAATGTCTCGCACGTGACCCCAAAAAGTGATCGTTGGTACAACCTTGAAAGGCTCTACTATCTGGTTACAGTGGTGGACGGTTACTCATAACTTGTATCCAAGTGTCCTTTATCCTTTCTCTCGGGCTCACCATCCGAGTTAAACTTTCTACAGATGATATTATTATTATACCGGTAACATACATTTGCAAACGATACACATCTACACAAGTATTATGACTTGTATTACCTTTGATGTTCATGCAGGACCTTCATAGGAGATGTGGCATAGCGTAAATCCCACATCTGTTGTCAGGATCACAAACACAACATAACCGCATGGTCAACAATCACTCAACATGGGGGTGAACAAGCTGAACTTACGGTGTTGGTCAATGGCAAGATATCCCCCCCCCCCCGCATATACAATACATACATAGCACGATAATACATTCTAAGAGAATCTGTTCAGGAGAAACTGTTAGAAAAAGACACCATGAAATCGCACCTGGAGAATAGGATGGCGGTCATCCTCTGATGATGTGACAATCTGCGTTGGTACGGATGGATGCCATGCCATGCTTGAGAGGCGTACCTGCAAGGAGCAGCAGTGTATTGAACAGTGTACTCAGTGTACTCTTCTTAATGGACTCATCACACCACACCACTACATGCACACTGGAACGCAACAAAACGAGACACCGGGTGACCACGTGTGCTGAAATGCGAGTGCGTCAAGTCCAGCTCGACAGACAGAGCTGTGGCAGAAAAACAGTTCAACTATATGTATCACCATACCTGTGTTGAGTGGTCTGAGACATTGATGATAGGCCCCTGCTTGCGCAGATCCCAGATGACGGCACGGCCACTTGGACATACTGAAGCCAGGATGTGTTGAACCTGCACCACACACAATGCAGTAGGCAGACAGAACCAAGTTTGTCTTAGCTTTGCCTGTGCAACACTAGCAGATGAAAGCAGCCAGACCATTTGTTCAAGTGAACCAAAGCAAATGTAAAGCATTCAGACAAACCTGGATAATTCGGTCTAATGAAAAACACAAAGATCTGTGAAGAGAGCAGTAATACTTTGATTCAATGACCTACAAAATTTCATAGCTCACAGCCTTTCAAAATCAATACTAGTATGTAAAAACAACAATCACTTTGGAAGACAAAAAAGGGGCAAGCATACCTGGCGATTCCAGCGGACACAGCAGACATCTTCAGTAGGCTGCAGGTAGTCAAAGTAGATAGGCAAAAACAGAAGAACTATTAGCTACAATGATAAAGGGGTGGTGGTAGGGGGGCTGAAACCCATGAAGAGATGAAGAGGGATAATTTTCGAGTCTGAAAGACATTGCCAACAAAGCCTGTTACATGAACATACAGATTGAGCAGTTGCTCAACGGACGAAGCCGATTTACGAACCCATGCACATGGGCCAGGACTTCGTTGCCTGGACTAAATGTCCAAGGAGCCCTACTAAACCGTGAGGGGTGCTCTGTGTGATGGCCAAGTTTAGCATGTGCACCATCGTCATGTGAATCTACAGTAACATCTGTGTCTGCCAGACCCTGTACCAAGCGGAATCCTGTTTTGACCAGACAAATGTTCATGAACCGAAGTGCCGTGGATCAAACTTGCATTCCTGGATCAAGCGGAATCCTGCCATACAAGGACAGTTTCCAATGCACCAAGGGCATCCGGTTAGGGCAGATTTTACTGCACTTGAACATTAAAAAACCACGGTGGAAATTGACAGAAGCACCAAGGAAGACATGGAGGCCATGGTCCAAAAGTGTAATGGGGGAGGGCTATGACCCACGAGAACTATACGCAATCAAGCACGACTAAGGCGCTCTACATTAAGATATTCAAACTGATACACACCTGCTGTTTAGCACCCGGGTACATAGTCTTCTCAGCATCATTCAAGTCAGTAATATAGACTTCTGATGCACTGCCACCAGACACCAATAAATTACTCTGTGAAACACAACCATACAAAACAACCACACAACACAATGCAACAAACGAAAATGAGTTCAAAATGAATATGAGATCTAAGTTTGTACTTCTATGGTATGATGACAGTTGGCCAAAGTGACACTAGAACTCGGATACCAAAAAGCAGAACCACTGCACTAGACACTGCACTAAATTGCTACACGATTATCACAGCATGGCGTATATCAACTATGGCTAAAATTCATCGACACAGAGGGTGCAAGTATGTTCTATACCATAGTCAGAATGAATCCAACCAACAGCCCAATTTTATCATATCTATTATATAAATTATAACCCCCCCCCCCCCCCCACACACACACAAACACACATACGCACACACCTACACGCACACAACATTTACCTGAAAGGGGTTGACATCCATAGTACGCACTGCTCCGGTGTGCTGAACAACAATAACAACAACAACCTCCCTCTTATTACCCCTTATGTCTTATTGGTCAAGGCCATCACGAGAATAAATATTTGAAACAACAGCGACAACAACAACAACAACAACCATCGTGAGAATAAAAGTTTTCAAACAACAACAACAACAACAACAACAACAACAACAACAACAACAACAGCAGCAGCTGAAGCAACAACAACAGCAGCAGCAGCAGCAGCAAGAGGTGGAATATATAATCATTGAGTACACAACCATCATAAGCACCGGACAAGAAACAACACAAATGCAGCAATACAATGCAATCACTGCAGGTTGATTAGGGATGCATGGGCAGAACAGGACCTACTCATTATCAAGTAGATACTGGTAGCCACACGCTACATGCAACTTTGTAGTAGGTTACGGTCAAACCAGATGATAAATATGAACTGTACCAAAATGACAGGTAAATCGAACATTTACCTTGGCAAGAGACTGCAAACGAGGGCTGTCTCCATTGCTATAGTGAGAACACACACCAGCAACAGGACAACAAGTATTGCATTCACATACCCATGGACCAAATAGCAGCAAGGTTCATACAAACTGATCATACCGGTATAAACAATCCTAAACCCAAAAAAACCCAGATTTTCAGAAGGACGTACAGTAAATAGTGGATATAACGTGCCCCTTTGATTTTCGATAATTTATCACTATATCCGGTGCATCACTATTGTATGATTTATGTGTCTGTTTTCACTACAATCATTCTCTAGTTCTGTAGGTCATGTATGGTATCACTCATGCGTGAAATCATGTGATCATCAACCCTGTTTTTCCCGGGCTTGTGCTCCTGTGCACGAGACGTATGCTTTAGATGTATGGCCTTTTTCCCGCTGCACGGCATCTCACGTGCAGAGTTTTTCCGCGTGCAGTGCTCTAGCAGCTTTGGTTTTGTTGTTGTTTGCTTTTCTCCTTGTTTTGAAAAGAGTTCATGGTGAACAGTGGTTGAATCCAATTCTAAGTTTCTTCTCAGTTTTAGCAGTGTCTTATGTTTGATATTCTTAGTGCATACAGTCTTCCAGAGAAAGAAAACAAACATACTGGTCCTTCGAGCCGGATCTTCAGGATGGACGAGCAGAGTGCCATACCTGGACAGCGAGTCAGTTCAAGATCAACGAAGGGCAAGCTGCCCAAGCGATTTATTTCCTCCGACGCAGACGTCGGAAACCTAACACAGCGAAGACATGATGAGAGAGGTGTAAGGACTAGTGCATCCGAAAGAAGAATAGCCAAGGAAGTCGAGAGACTACAGGCGGAGTTGGACAAGGAAGCAGAAGTGGCGAAGTTGCGACAAGAGTCGATCGCCATCCAACTCGATCTAATGAAGAAGGCAAGCACGGTGGAGAGGGCGAAGTCTGAGTTTCGTCGCCGCTCTTCCGCATCTGCTTACAGTGAGAACAGCAGCGAAGATAGAAGTGTCTACTCACCTTCCGATTTGGACCGACCAGTGGTCGGCACAGGACGTGGGTCTACACCACAGTCAGCTGATGGACTGGTCGAACCGACAGCCACAGTTACAGACGCAGCGTATGCGTCGGGTGATGTTGAGGCAAACCCGGTGGAGAGGGTGCTTGGGCAATCGCCAATAGTAGGCACTTCAGTCACGTGACATGACCTGTCAAAAAGTGCTAACGCTGAATCGCGTACATGCGTGGCACCACGGAAAGGCGCATGCATAGATCGATCTGTAGCTGCACGGAAGCTGCGCAGGGCCTTCTCGTGTGGCGCAGCGTGTAGCTGAGGCCCTCAGCTTTCGTTTGAGCCCACATACGTCACGATGCGGCAATTTTTTGAACTCACGTACAGTTCGAGTAAAATCGGCAAGGATTTTTTGGGCATTTCACTTGATTGCACGCATTTGCCATGTAGCTCATCGTCTTCAGCGTCGTATTTCCTTTCGGAATCAGTTGTCCTCGTTCGTCCGACACTTTGCGCATTGCTGCGCAAGAAGAAATAATGCGAGGTGTTGTTGAAAGCGAGCCGCGGCAGGCGTCCTCCCGGCAGTAGTCCTTGTTCGTCGGAGCCCATGCGCATGGCTGCGCAAGAAGAAATATTGCCAGGTGTTATTGGAGTCGCATCGGAGCAGTCGTCCTCTCCTGCAGGCGACGAGTAGGACAGTATATACTTCGGCGACTGGACCAAGAGAGCTGACATCAAAACGGCCTGCTTGAAACAAATCGTCAGCTGATCAGCAGGTGGCTTCCAGCGACCAAGAAAAGCATTGACGGTGATATTATAACCAAGAATCCAGCACACACTCTATGCACAAAATCTCTCATGCTGGAGTTGCTGAAGTTTCAGTAGTCCCAAAAATTTGCAGACGATGTTCTATGTGATAGTTTGTCATTTCTTTCCGTCAAATACCCAGTAAAATTCAGTCTGCGGCTCATTGTTCTTCCGTACTCGTCACCAAGTCAGTACTGTACATGTAGCAACGATGTGTTCTGGCACTGAATTATTGTAGTTACTTTATCTTACCTCAAAGTCTCATCATATACTTTTCCAAAGGCTTCTCTGCACTGTTTTCATGCTGTTGCGATGGAGTTGCTATGCTGTTGCTATGGAGTTGCCATGGTGACCACACCCGATATCTTCGTCTGAGCTGCCGGACGGATGAAAAATGCGAAGTTTTTCCAAACCATGCTGTTTCTGCATTCATCTGGTTATTTTGACCTGCTTCCAGCGAGCTTGGTATTTTGCCACTATAGACACTGAAGCAAGTCCTGCCAATTCTGATATGCTGCTGGTGCCGTCGAAATACTGAAATTGCCGTTATTCAATTCTCCGACTTTGGATGGCTATATCTCTGTGCCAAGTTATTCTTTTTGCTTCAAATTTTCTGTGGAGTCTTCCTAAACCTATCTGAATCGGATACAAGAAAGAAATACGCGTATTTCTGGTTTTGAAAAAACCGCCTGAAGTGCCTACCAATAGTGCCACCCAGTGTTACTGGTTCAGCAAGTTCAGATGCTGATGACGACGAAACAGAGGTGGATAGTTGCAGCTCCGACTACAGCAGAAGGCTGCCTCTGTGGTATGTTAGAGAACTAAGGAACAGAAAGTCGAACTCAGAACTGGCAGGGGACCAGCAGCAGCAGCAACAACATGTCAGCAGATCCACACAGCAGTTTGTTGTCAGGAATCCAGGCAGACTACAGCCAACAACTACCCTGTCAAGGGCAGTAAGGACACCAGCACACCCAGTGAGCAGCAGACCAGTGCCAGCAGTGGATGCTGCTGTTCCGTCACCACCTGCTACTATCAGTGCAGTAGGCAGTAGCACCACCAGTGGAGCATCAGCAACTAGGCCGCATGGTGTGGACGGTCTCAGCGCACAGCGCGCCGTAGCCGCATCCAGTGCAGCGCCAACTCAACGCTCTGGCTTCGTGAGCCAGGCGTTCGCACCAATGACAGCACTTACAGCAGCCACCCCTCCGTTTGTGCCGAAGCCCAGCGTGACGGTGCACGGAGCAGCTACCAGTAGTCAGCCGACAATCTCGCTTCGTAGCTGCGCAGCTGAGCAGATGACCAAGAGGACAGTCCTGAAGGAGATGTCCACAGTATTCGACCCGCGAGGACAGATCTGCCCGTTCACGATTCGCTCGCGGATGATGTTCCAGCAGCTATGCATCAAAGGGTATGGCTGGGACGATCAACTGGACGAGCATGATGCCAAGGCTTGGACGCAATGGTTCTCGGAGCTACCCTCACTCTCAGCAGTCCAAGTCGACCGGTGTTTCAATGTGGCCACTCTCGACCCCTCCACTGCTGAGATCCAAGTGCACACGTTCACCGACGCATCTGATGGAGCGTACGCTGCTGCTACGTACATACGGTGCCAGTATCCAGACGGAACGGTGAAGACGACGCTAGCCTTGGCGAAGGCGAGACCATCTCCAATCCGCAAGCTCTCCATCCCAAAGTTGGAGCTGAAGGCAGCGGTCCTCGGCACGAAGCTGAGCCTCGAGGTGGAGAAAGCACTCAACCTGCCAGTCCGAGACCATGTATTCTGGACGGACAGTATGAACGTGCTGTATTGGGTCAGATCTCACAGCCGGAAGTTTCAGACCGACATCGGGAACAAAATCTCCGAGATTCACGCCGCTACCTCTGGAGCTCAATGGCGTCATATCCCGGGCCGACTCAACCCCGCAGACCTGCCAAGTCGTGGATTGACAGCGGAGAAGCTAGCTGACAATGAAGTCTGGTGGTTCGGACCGGAGTTCCTGTCGTCGCCTCCCGATCAGTGGCCAATTCGAGAGATCACTGTGCCATCATACGTCGGTGGAGAGACGAAGCGAGCCCTGGCATCTGCGTTTGTCACAACAGCAGCGGAGCCTGCACAGTCTCGCTTGTCACCAGCCAGGTACTCGTCATGGAAGAGACTTCTTCGCGTGACGTGCTGGTGCCTTCGTTTCCTCCGCAACTGCAAGCAGGCAGCTGGATCAACCAAAGCCAGTGCACCTGCCACATCAGATGGATTGCTGCAACCTCTCCCAGCCAGCAGCACAGAGGGGAGTTGCGACTGCAGCGGCAGTTGTGTTCCAGTACCGGAGCTGTCGGCTGAGGAGATGGTACTTTCAGAGAGGTACTGGCTCTCCGTTTCTCAACGCGAGTCCTATGGGCGCACCATCAGCCGTCTTGAGCGTGGCCAACCACTTGAGAATGGCGATCCGCTGCTGCCACTGAATCCAGAACTGGATACAAGTCAGCATCCTGCAGTGCTGATAGTCGGTGGACGGCTCGATAATGCTAGCACGAAGGTTACGGCATGCACACGCCGGCCCGTGATTCTCCCACCTAAGCACCAGATCACCTCACTCGTCATAGCATCGGAGGATGAGAAGTGTCATCACGAATTCGGAGTCAACTATCTACTCGCAAATCTCCGACAACGCTATTGGATCGTCCGCGGGAAGCAGGCAGTGAAGTCGCATCGACACGGTTGCAACGGCTGCAGACGACGGTGGAACAGGCCAGCATCCCAACTCATGGGACAGCTTCCTGAGCAGCGTGTCGCTATCACTGAACGAGTGTTCTCTGGCGTTGGCGTGGACTACGCCGGGCCGTTCTCGACAAGGCAAGGCCGTGGACGAAGCCGTGCCAAGCGTTATCTCTGCCTATTTACGTGTCTGGAGACACGTGCGTGTCATTTGGAAATGGCTTACGACATGACGGCGCAGGGGTTCTTGATGTGTTTCTCCCGATTCTGTAAGAGGCGAGGCACACCGAAGGATGTCGTCTCTGACAACGGCACCAATTTCGTCGCTACTGAAGCAGAGCTGCGAGACGCCGTGGAAGAGCTGGAGCACTCTGAAGATGTTGCGGCAGACATGGCGTCAAACAAGATCAACTGGAGATTTAATCCACCAAGCGCGCCACATCACGGAGGTGTGTTCGAGTCTATGATCAAGCTGGCGAAGCGTGTAGTGTACGCCGTTCTCGAAAATGGAGTGTGCAGTGATGAAGAGCTTGCGACCGCATTCGTTCATGCGGAGGCTATGCTGAACGCCCGACCTCTTACGAGTATCAGTGACGATGCCGAGGATCTAGAGCCGCTAACGCCACTGCACTTCCTCGGGGGTCATCGCGATATCCACCACGCCATCGATCATCTGGAGCCTGACGGACAGCCTGATCCACATGACAGGTGGAGAGTTGTACAGCGCCTAACTCAAGACGTCTGGCGAAGGTTGGTGAAGGAGGTGGTTCCAACGTTGAACGTCCGGCAGAAGTGGCAGCAGAAGAAACGCAACATCAAGGTGGGCGATGTCGTCATCTGTGTTGACGCACACACCCCTAGAAGTACCTGGCCACTCGGTCGAGTGGTTGCTGTATACCCGGCTGAGGACGGTTGTGTACGCGTAGTGGACGTCAAGATCCGCAAGCGGGTGTACCGACGTGCTATCAATGTCCTGATTCCACTCGAGAGTGAGCAGTGAACTGTTAGCAGTAGTGAACAGTTTCGCTCCGTGTGAACTGCTAGCAGCAACGAACAGTATTGTACAGCAAAGTGACATGTTCTTAAGGAACATTGATATGGTCATGCACCCGACTTGGAGATCATTATCTGCTGTTTTTCTCATCATCTTAAAATTCAAAATTGTTCTTAGGTGACAGTCCAATTCTCCGGCGTTGGCCGTTCCACTCAAGTTTGGTGCAGCGTTCAATCCATGCTATACATGTAGTGTGATCTCTTCTGTTTACGTTAGCTTGCTCTCATCCGTCAACCATAGTTCTGCCTTATTCGAGCAAAGAGGGGAGAAATGTATGATTTATGTGTTTGTTTTCACTACAATCATTCTCTAGTTCTGTAGGTCATGTATGGTATCACTCATGCGTGAAATCATGTGATCATCAACCCTGTTTTTCCCGGGCTTGTGCTCCTGTGCACGAGACGTATGCTTTAGATGTATGGCCTTTTTCCCGCTGCACGGCATCTCACGTGCAGAGTTTTTCCGCGTGCAGTGCTCTAGCAGCTTTGGTTTTGTTGTTGTTTGCTTTTCTCCTTGTTTTGAAAAGAGTTCATGGTGAACAGTGGTTGAATCCAATTCTAAGTTTCTTCTCAGTTTTAGCAGTGTCTTATGTTTGATATTCTTAGTGCATACAGTCTTCCAGAGAAAGAAAACAAACAACTATAGCCGATTTGTATGTATGACTGACACATGGCACATGACTGTGCCTGAAATGATGCGTACACGCTGGAAAAAGCATGAAAAGCAGCCACGTGCACATGTGGCTGCTTACAGCATACAGGGAAGAATTTTCTCTCAATCACGTCTGCTGCCAGATGCATCCAGGCAACACTGGATCAGTTTTGGAAGAAATCAACTAAATTTGAAGAACAATTGTTTTGTGATCATCACTCTTGATCAGTATATACGATATTTTCCTGTGCATTTGATATGGTTTGCTTCCTGAAGCCCATCACAATAAGCGATATATCGGTATAGCCGATAATAGTGTGTATAGTGATATTTTAGCTGTATTTTTTTGTGATTTGTTTTTGATTTTGGCGAGTTCTATCATTATAGCCGGTATATTGTTACACCCGGTCACTTTATAAACGATACTCACTGTATACAGTATCACGCAAATTACCCCTCGAAGTCGAGAGCCAGAGCACTCTTACCTCAAGACTGCACTGGGACTCCACAAGTTCACAACTCCATTGTCACAGCCACCGACCAGGAGACCAAGAGAGTCACTGCTACTGGAAAACTCTGCCCAGAGCAACTTGTGCACACTAAAAAAACAAAAACAAGAAACATGAGCAGATACAGCCATGCACTGATGATCCACACAAAAAAACAGATTCAGTAAAACTATTTCAGTAGATGAGCAGAGAGTGCCAGCACCAGGTCAATTTGTGGACATGTTAGTCGCGTGTCAGTTATCCGGCACCACTCGGGACCAGACGCATGTGAATAAACGAAATTGAATACTCTGGATAACTGAAGCTACAAAGCACATCAAAAGGACTGTAAAGATTGGACATCATTCTATAAAACTATGAACGGTACCATTCAGCTGTTCAATAATGCAGGAGGAGAGGAGGAGAGATTGTTGCAAGATAGAAATTACTTCTATTTTGATGCTCTGTTACCAGCATTATCCTGAGACAGTCGGCATGCTTATCTCTACAGACTGACTTGCATGTTACGTTCATGATGCTCACTGTACACAATCACTTGAAGCAGGACTGTAAATATACTAAGAGTACATGACCACTATGGGTGCCGTCGTGGCAGAATTTCAAGTTGACGTCTTTTGTTATGATGCAATGCGCATCGTGCACGTATTATCAAACATATCCTGGACCTGTGGTTGACAGATCCCCATGTTATGCTGTTCAAGGAAACACGTGTGATGCGTTGACACCCCGTACAAACATTGTAGGCCACTCGTGTGAAAAGCATTGCATCATAAGAATGACGTCAACTTGAAATTATGTCGGGACAGCAGGGTATGCGGGAGTGGTACACTTTTGGGGGGGGGGGGGGTATGTACTCTTGATACTAGTGTATGGGCTGTCAGTGCACTTTGGGAAAACTGACAATGACGGATGACTGAAAGCCAGATAAAAGACATTCCAGCGTACTTCCTGCCGCGTTCTACTCTGTTTTGCATCCTGTGCATCTGAGAGGATACGCATTATTTGTTACCGATTTATTGGTGCATTCTGCCTAGAGTGATAGAGATAATTACTTTGCCCTCATTCATTGTATGTGGTGCATTTTGCACAAGACAGAAACCATTTATATCCACAGGCAACAAACTGCACAACAGAGAGTGAGCTATGGGCATATTGTGGTGGCATGAGATGATACTGGGCACATAAATAGCAAATTCGACCAATATGTTCATGCATTATGAGAGTGGGATGAGTTATTATGTTCAAGTCAACTTGATGGTCCATTTGCTTTCCAATTAAATATTGGAGGAAATCGGTGCAAATTTCTCACCGGTCATTGATGGCACTCTTGCCAGATGTACGCATGTTGAGGTTTCCATCTCCAAGGCTCAAGTCAAGTAGCTCTAAAGTAGAGTCAGAACTAAACAATGTAGCACACAACAGTGTCAATACATTGTGCAATGTGTCTCGTACAGTCTGGTTATCAGGACATACTCGAAATTTGCGCTGAGTTGATTGGCAGCTGTAGCGCCAGCAATATAAACTGGATGCTGGGAAGAAGGACTCCATGCCACACAGGCTGTTCGAGATATCTCCTTCACCTTCATCGCGACGATCTTCTTGAAAACTCGAAACAATCGAGTTCAAGATGATCTTCAACACACGAAAATCACACAAATCAACTGCGTTTGTACAAAATGCTTGTTGCCGACAAAGTGTGACATCAAAGGCTTTCCGACGCGTCAGCGCGCTACGTAAATGATCGCGTCGCCATGTTGCCACGTAGCGACCTGGGCTGGCGCTGTACGCTGTGACGTTCACGCTACACCAGCGCAGTACATTTTTTGTTGGGATTTCGGGATTTCATGAGGGCGCGCGCTGCGCGCGCCCGCGCCGGGCCGCGTCCATATGTTGCCATGGTTATTTATAGGGGAATGGCGATCAACGGCGAAATGATCCGTTCAACTAAAAAATAATTGCACGCCGAGGAGAATTTTGAAGTGGAATGAGCTATGAAAATTGTTTAGGAGAGCTTTTCAAAGCACTGCCATCATAGTGTCGCGAATTGGTTGGGAGTCGTGAAAAGCGGCTCCCCGTGTGCCGCCATGGATTACACGGACGATGGAGAACCCATCGGAAAGGACATTTGGCAGGAAGCCTGCTGGATTGTCATCAGTTCGTATTTTGAAGAAAAGGGATTGGTGCGACAGCAGCTGGACTCATTTGATGAGTTCATTCAAATGTCGGTGCAGAGAATTGTGGAGGACTCGCCTCAAATTGAGCTGATAGCTGAAGCGCAACATCACACCACTCACGATGATGAGCCGGTAAGTGAGCTACAATCTAGATCACGTAAAGCTTATGTAACTTGTTTTCCATTTTCCAATTTTCATTCAGAGGTAAGCGTATGGCCAACAGTACAGTAGAAGTCCACACATGAGATACATGTAATTACGTGTAGTGCAAGTCACAATATCTTCTAAACTGCAGTCCTAACCAATTCACCAGCTTGTGTTGGGCACAAGTATATAGTATTGCTTGACACAAGAATGAGCATAATATTATGCATGTCCTTACTTTTCAATGTCATGCACTTGTTTATTCTACGTACACATATAGATACACCTTAAAAGTAACATTCTTCCGATGTTTACAGAGTGCTCAGTACCCAGTATGCAGAGCTCTCTTGCAGAGAAAGCAGGACGAGGTTAAGTTGCAACTCTGGGTTCGCTTTTGCATGAAAAATTCAAGTACGAGTAGCAACTGTGCATACATACGTATAGTCGTATACACCTCTGTTTTTAACTGTTACGTATCGTGCTCTCCTCTGCATTTGCCGATCACCCATGAGAGTTGAACATATTATCAGACCCACCTTGCCCAGGCCCATTTCGTGGTCTCACACACATACTCGTATACCGTATTTCCCCGAATATAAGTCGCACTTGATTATAAGTCACAGCCCATTCTCACGTCCGAACCTAATCATCTCAATGCATTCACATAAGTAAGAAGTCACACTCGATTGTAAGTCGCACCCCCTTCTTTGCCCCTGAAGTTTAGTGTAAAAAGGTGTGACTTACAATCGGGGAAATACGGTAGTCGTATACTAATGTACACAAACACAGGAGATGGTGGCTATTTTCGCTGTAACTTCAGACAGCATATTATAATAATGTACCAACTTCCATGCCTCCATTTTCCGTCCGTCCGTTTTCAATCTTTGTCGTCCTCTCTTCCCCCGCCTACACAAATACTCCCGCGGGCTATTATAATTATTTCATCTCGACCTCTGATCTCGTTGGCCAGTTTGTGGGTGATGTCCTCTTAAAGTTAGGCGTTCTCGTAGTTATCCTGACATAAAATATTGGAAGAGGCAGAGGGAGCCTTCGTTATCGGTAATGCAGGTGTCATGTACAACAGTGAAGTCGTATAGCTTGAGAAACCAAGTGCCCTATCAACTGAGGGCTAATTATCTCTGTTCATATAGACGTTTATGCCAGGTATCAGCCGGTCCAGAATGGGATTTAAGGTGTGAACTTTTCGCTACTTTCGCTCCAGAATGAATTCCCCATTTGTTTGTGCCTGTGCAAATCAGTCCACTCCAATATTGTCAGATGGATTTGGTTAAACTTCACCTTGGTTGACATGTACTCATAATGCACTCCTGTGCATTTTTATATGTGCCAAATCAAAACCCATGCCTACAAGTTATAGTGCTATGTTTGCGATGTAGTGTAGTTTCAGTCAGTATCCCAACTATCCCCTTTATGTATGTGCACTTGTGCTGCTCATTTTGCCTGATTGCATGCAGACACGGTACTTTCTCAAGTTTGAGCAGATCTACTTGAGTAAGCCCACTCATTGGGAAAAGGATGGTGCACCAAGTCCACTCATGCCAAATGAAGCCAGACTCAGGAACTTGACGTGAGTAGTGATGCTGATAATAATGACTGTGTGTATACTTCCTCCTTTTCGATATTATCCTTTATACCTCTTTCCATATGCTAACTTCCGTAAACAGGACTTTTCTGAGTACAAACGCGCTGAATCCGCGTGTGACCAGGTGGTGACAAATCATCAGCCAACAGTGAGCATCTTCACAGGCGGAGCGTTCCAGCCAGCAAACAAGGTTTTGTACGCTCAGCATGTTGATGGATTGCGGATCGAGCGGCAAGGAAGGAATTTCGTTTGTATTCAGAGAAGTCCTGTTTACGGACGTTGGCGTAGAACTTTTCTAGGGCACACGACAGCCCCGGCGCGCTGACTGAACAGAAATAAGTGAAGGCAAGGTCATTTGGCTTGGTGTTTATAAACCGTCTCCCGAATTGGCGCGATGCTCGGGGATTGGTCAAATCTTTGCATCGAAACGGACGATGATTGGCTCCCGCCTCGCACGAGCGTGTTCTCCAAGGTGATTGGTGTGAGCGTGTTCTCCAAGGTCGTCGCATCCCGTGCCACATGCACCAGTACGTGTTCACGATCGTTCCTAACAAGGTTGAACAAGACCACGTCGTTCTCCGATTCATGCAAGAACATGCCAGTCGGTTTAGGATCGTGAAGTGATAACGACTTACGTTAGTTCTGCGTATATGTACATGTATGACCAACATGACTCGTTTGTTGGGCTTTAGGTACGAGAGGGTGAATATGGAGAGGTATACGTCTAATATTACCTTCGGCCTCGTGAATATGGGCAAATATTCACGAGTGTACAAACCTCGGTTTGTACACTCGTGAATATTCGCCCATATTCACTTCGGCTTCAGGTGATATTCTACGCATAGGGAAACTGTTGGCAGGGAGCATCAATGATACAAGTGTTTGATATTTGGATGTCTTTCGTGACTTTAGTCACAGTATTGGTTTGTGTGTTGTTCTCAGTCATGCATGGTTGGATGGAAGTACGTATACAAATACACAACAGAACAACAAGGACAATCAAGGCTTGTTTGCTGCTACTTTAAGTTTCATGCTCACGCAATAATCAGGCAACATGAAGATCGGGTGCAAATACATGTAACTTACACGCTGTTGCACTCCATTGTAGGCTATTCTGTTAACATGTTTTCTGTCTATTTGCATGTCCTTGCGTTGGCTTGTGGATTTCACTGCACTAGTAGTATACTTGTGTGCACGTGTATGTCTATCACAGTTATTCGGCTCCATTGTATGTCGACATCAAGAAGACAACAATGAAAGCCGGCATGGCTCCTGTTGAGCAAGCATACTCCAAGACATTCATTGGCAAGATTCCCATTATGCTGAAGTCAACGTATTGCTTACTAAACAATCTCACGGACCGTGACTTGACTGAACTGAACGAGTGCCCGCTTGATCCTGGCGGTTACTTCGTTATCAATGGCTCTGAAAAGGTAAGCCAACACCATGGTTGCGTCTTTTTCTCTCTCTCTCTCTCTCTCTCTCTTTTTCTCTCTCTCTCTCTCTCTCTCTCTCTCTCTCTCTCTCTCGCTCGCTCTCCCTCGCTCTCTCTCTCTCGCTCTCTCTCTCTCTCTCTCTCTATCTCTCGCTCTCCCTCGCTCTCTCTCTCTCTCTCTCTCTCTCTCTCTCTCTCTCTTTCTCTCTCCCTCTCTCTCTCTCTCTCTCTCTCTCTCTCTCTCTCTCTCTCTTTCTCTCTCCCTCTCTCTCTCTCTCTCTCTCTCTCTCTCTCTCTCTCTCTCTCTCTCTCTCTCTCTCTCTCTCTCTCTCTCTCTCTCTCTCATTCTGCATACTAGTACTCGTGCCAGTAGCATGATGCTCATTGAGCGATTTTGCATTGTATGGCACTGGGGACATGGGTGTGTCGACTCAATGCCAGCATTCTTGCTCAGTCGCACTTGGCGAAATGCTAGGCGCCTTTCTTCTTTAAATCTTGTATAAGGCCATGGTAAAAATTATCTTTGATTCTCAAGTACGCGCGCACCGATTTTTGGCGGCGCACCAACGATTTTTTAAATATTTCTATACATGCATATGCGCGCATGAAAACGGTCAATGCGAAAGGCATGAATCAGGGAGTACAGTCAGACCTCGCTTATCCGGTCCTCTTTTATCCGGATCCCTCGCTATCCGGAAGAAAATAGCTGGTTACAGATCTACAGCATACGCAATGCATCCTACATAACTGGTGTTCGGTTATCCGGTTCCCTCGCCTATCCGGACATTTTTGTGGAAAACGGATGTGTGCGGTTAAGCGAGGTCTGACTGTAGTAAAATACCGGTATTTTTCTACTCCCTGGCCTGAATATTTCAACATGTGACCATGTACATATGTGTGACCCTATCTTTGGAAATAAAAGTGGGAAATAAAATAAAAAATCGCTCGCTCGCACCGATTTTCACAGGCTCATGACCTGAGAATCAACTTTATTTATTACCATGGCCTAATCATGATCTTTTCCCCAGCCCGGACTGTTCTTGATGACAAGTCTTTGAATTCATGTCTGCTTATTGATAATGTGCTGTATGTTCTATGTCCATATACTATGCACTTCAGGTCCTGATTGCTCAAGAGAAGATGGCCACCAACACAGTTTATGTCTTTCAGAAAAAAGATAGCAAGTACCAGTATGTTGCAGAGGTTCGCTCTGTGCTGGAAAACTCCTCACGACCTACAAGTACATTGTGGGTTGGCATGCTGGCGAGAGGCGGTGGTCAGTCACGTCGTGCCACCATTGGTCAACGTATCGTTGCCACTTTGCCGTATATCTCGCAAGAAGTACCCATCATGATTGTGTTCCGTGCTCTGGGGTTTGTCAGTGACCGTGACATCCTTGAGCATATCATCTATGACTTTGATGACCAGGAGATGATGGAAATGGTGAGTTGTTTTATGGAGTACGTGCAGCGAAGCTGTGCCAATCTCTGTGTCATGATAATCATCATGTGTGGCAGCTATTCTACTATGCAATGTGCTGTGGGTCACTATTGAAATCTTCTGACAGGATCATCAAGAGAGTTTTCTCTTGTTCAATGACTGATGTACTGGTGTTTTGACTGGGCATGACCTGAACAATGTTCAGTTCTCTTCTGGCTGCTGCGTGTATTACCCAAGTCAACCTGTGCTGCTTTTCTTACTGCCCACATTGACTGTTGCTATGATAGGTGAAGCCTTCACTGGATGAAGCCTTTGTGATCCAAGAGCAGAATGTTGCCCTCAACTTCATTGGTGCACGCGGTGCACGCCCTGGTGTCACAAGAGAAAAGCGTATTCGCTATGCAAAGGAGATCCTGCAGAAGGAAATGCTGCCGCATGTCGGTATCAGCGAGTTTTGTGAAACGAAGAAAGCATATTACCTTGGGTATGTATGTACACGAAGAACGGATTCCATGTTGTTGATCATGACCCAATCTGTCCTCAATTGCATGTTGTTGATCATGGCCCAATCTGTCCTCAATTTCAGACCGGAATACGTGTCTTCCACTGTACAGGTTTCCACTGACCTGAAGTTCTGTTTAAAAAAGGGGTTGCACTGTACTTTGAAGTGTTTTCCTAGCTAGCAGTCTTCCACTGTACAGTGCTTGATAATTATAGCATTGCTGTATGGCATTGCACTATCACACAGCCTGCACATTCTTTGCAAAACACATGGAGATCATGTTGCACACTGGCACTTCGCTGTTGGTATGCACGTGAACTGGGCATGCGTGCAGAGAAGGCGATATGTAGTTTTAGTAGACTGTTCAACTGTGGCTGGAATCCATACATGTGTCACTTAGGGTGACGATGCACTGTCTGAAGTCTCATGCACTCCCAGCATCATAACTCATGAAGGGCAACTGTACTTGGCATCACTGACTTAATATGCATTCCTTTCGTGATCATGCGGTGTGTATTGAATGCAGGTATATTGTACATCGAATCCTTCTTGCTGCACTGGGACGGCGTGAATTGGACGATCGTGATCATTACGGTAACAAGCGTCTCGATCTGGCTGGACCATTGCTGGCTTTCTTGTTCCGTGGGTAAGTGATGGTCTGCAGTTCTGCGTATACTTGTCCTACTTCAAGCGGGAAGTACGGCCAAAGATCACTTCAGAATCGATACATTTTTGCTAGGTGCTCTCCTGAAAATGTGTGAGTTTGAAAACTCGTATCTTTTTGGCCTTTCACCTTGCGTACAGACTGCTCAATGGCGGCTTGCACGGAATCATTGTATCTTTTGGCTAAATGTATTACATTTGTTGTATATCTGCATGCTATCTCCTTATATTTGCGGGCAGGCAGTACTATTTCGTCCTGTTATGGATGGACTTGTCAGCGAAGCCAAACCTGGCAGCGATGAAAAATATCTCAGGCCTGTACTTAATGCGCTTCCTTGCCGGAGTGCTCAAACTGAGAAATCAGGGAGCTACACATAACTTACTAGTACTACAAACAGCAAAGGCACCACCCCACACGACAGTGCTATACCACCATGAGTGTGGGAAGTGCATGTATAAGTGCCATGATATCTACACAACCAGTAGAAGAACTCCTCTCTTCATAGCGTGACCACAGTGACTGTAACAAAGCGTCCTTGAGCGTGCTGCCGTGAGTAGCAACTTGGTTCTGTTCGGTCTTCTGTTGACGTGCAATCTGAATGCAATCTGAATGTGTATGTTTGTGTTTGTTTGCGTGCATGACTACAGTATGTTCCGTAACTTGATGAAGGAAGTACGGTTGTACACACAGAAGTTCATCGACCGTGGCAGAGTGAGTAACTTTGCCCTGCGATCAGTGCCACCTGATGCTAGCTGGAGCAGTGAACTCTAGATTAAAACGTTATTGCTGGGCCATTTGCAGTTTGTCTAGCCTGTCCATATTGTTTCATGATCCATTGACAGAATTTTCTACCGGCTGCCTCTCTTTGCAGTTGGACGAAATTGTTCACCAGCTCAATTTCCCGCTATAATTATCAATACTCCACGTGATTGCATATGTTTACTTTTTTTCCCATTCAGGACTTCAACCTTGAGCTGGCAATCAAGACTCGTATCATCACTGATGGCTTGCGTTACTCACTTGCCACTGGCAACTGGGGTGATCAAAAGAAGGCTCACCAAGCAAGAGCTGGTGTGTCACAGGTATGTCCAACTAGTTGCCATGCAAGGTTTCTGCTTACTGCTTTGTTCAAGGGCAAGGGTGCCTGTTCTACCTTCCCGTGTTTCCTTCCCAGTGGCATGTGGCCGTGTTAAAAAGGAAAAAGAAAAGAAAAAGAATCAGTTGCAAGAACGGCTTGTTACTATGTTTTGGAGGGCACCGTGTTCTTGTATGTAGTACTACTCCAACTTGTTTTGCTCAAAAGTGCTGAGTATCTCTATATGCTACTGTAGGATAATGGCAGCGATCGAGAGTCATGCTGGACATCATGCTCACTACGAATAATCAAATACACAACATATTATGTTGAACGGACTAACCAGGCTGTTATCCAAAGCCTCACTTTGTGTATTTTTAATTTCTCATGCTTGTTTGTGCCCACCAATGTAGGTGTTGAACCGACTGACGTTCGTCTCCACACTGTCACATTTGCGTCGTCTTAATTCACCGATTGGTCGTGACGGTAAACTGGCCAAGCCTCGTCAGCTACACAATACCTTGTGGGGTATGATCTGTCCTGCAGAGACACCCGAGGTAAGTCTGTGCAGTCATGCTGTGGTTGTCTTGTGAATAACACTGGTGTAATTTATCCTGCTGACATCCATTGTTACTGTGTGCATCTTGCAGGCCCTACTACATAGTCACGTACTGGTCTTGTACTTTCATTTTTTTTTTATCGTGCCAATATTGCCAGTATTGCCAATAATTAGTAGTTCGTGAAACGATAGTAGTGATGTCCTGCTCTACGTTACGGGAACTCTCTTCGCGTTCCCGTAGCATAAAGGAAACCTGTTCTGCTCTACTTTCACGTAAAGAAATCACGTGCAATGTGTAATCCCTTCTGATTTGTCAGTTTTCTACCTGCATTTGAATGATACCCAGCAGATCCGTACCCATTTTCTTCGTGTGTGCCACAACGTTGAGATTATTAGAGAATCTCATCTTTGCATAGAAATCTTGACCCGAAACACGCGAAGCCATAGACTCTAACCCAGACACCTCTTCTCTGTGTGATTTCTCTACGTTTTCCACGTATAGCAGAACCTCGCGATTATTCTTGCGTACATGTATGGGTTTGTTTGGGTGCGTGCCTTTACATCACGTTGCAGGGTGCTGCTGTCGGTCTGGTAAAGAACCTGGCGCTCATGGCTTACATCTCTGTCGGTTCTCAACCAAGTCCTATCTTGGAATTCTTGGAAGAGTGGGCCATGGAAAATTTAGAAGAGATTTCACCGGCGGCCATTCTTGGGTTAGTGATGCCGTATATCTTGTCTGTGCTTTTGTTCTGTGGGAAATGTATGCAAACTGATAGTTGTCCTTTGGGATTTGCTTCGTCGTGGAGCTGTGGAGTGATATATTTGCTGCCTTTGTGTTGTCTTGTGCTGTTGCTCTCAGTGCCACGAAGATCTTTGTGAACGGTTGCTGGGTTGGAATTCATCACGAGCCTGATGAGCTGATGAGCACACTGCTCAAGCTTCGTCGGCAGATGGACGTTGTTGTCTCTGAAGTAAGAGCAATGTGTGTGTGTGCGTGTGTGTGTGTGTGTGTGAAATGAAAAGACCAAAAATAGGGATTCACTGGCCAGAAAAAGTCACTTCAAATAGCTGTATGGTGTAGACCAGGCAGAATAGTGACGGTCAATTCTTCAGCCTTGCAAGCTGTTGAATGGTGCAATCCATGCACAAGTTACTATGGCTTCTGCCGTAGCATTGCTATCATCGCCTCCGGCGATGGGCGTCAAAAGGTCAAAGGTGTGTGTGTATCGTGGTGAGGGCTGTGGAGATATTGAGTCTGTGACGCATGTGCAAGATTAATGGCTGGTGGTAGAAGTCACCAGCTTTCATGTTGCAGTGTTTGATGAGGTTATCACCCAGCAGAATGCCTCTATGGAAACCCTTGTGGCTGGACAAAGAGTATGGTGCATAGGCATGGTTATCTGTGTGTGGGGGTCTTGACTCTTGAGCAAGTCACTTATTTTGCATTTCTTCCACTGGCCCGGCTGTGATATGTATGACCTGGCATTTGGCTTGGAGGGAAGGGGATAAAGTGGTGGCGTGTCAGTGAAGAGAATAGCCATTGAGTCCAGGTGCATGTGCAAGCAGCAAAGCGGATCCCAGGAAGGTGCAAGATCACCTGTCCTTTGGAGAACTGGCTCTTTGGATGTTAGTGCAGCCTTCAAATGCTCAAGCCTACATTGTAAATGTGATGTTGTACCCTATTTAGATGTGCATCGTGCTCTAGTCCTGATCTACATTATGGACCCAGATGTGTGTGCAATTGTGCTTTTTTAAGAACTGTGTAAGGGAAGTGCCCTACTTTAACATATCCTGTATGTTTCTGTGCACTAGGTATCCATGGTACGTGACTTCCGTGAGCAGGAGATTCGGATCTACACTGATGCAGGACGTATTTGCAGGCCTTTGCTTGTTGTGGAGAATCAACAGCTCATGCTGCGCAAGCAGCATATTGAGCATCTGAAGGAGAGGGAGTACAACAACTATGGGTATGCTTTTCTCATCACCATCTTGAAGTTGATTAATGACTGTAATCTCTATGCTTAATGTGCGCAATCTCTATGCTGTCAAGTCTAATCTAGGTCTAGAAGGGGTGTTCTGTGTAGTGGAGCATTCTGACGCAGATACCCTGTCCTATTTGGACTTCACTGGGTGTCCTGTTCTGTATGGATTTCACACAATATCCTGTTCTGTGTAATGATGCCATAGGACTAGACACCATGCCATGATAATCCACTGCTTTCTGTCTTGCCTCGTGCTTAGTTGTGGACCTTTACTCTCCTGTTGCTGTTGCTGCTGCTGTGTGTGTATGTGTTTCAATTATGTGTTGCAATGTGGTTGTCATGGTGTGTTGCACTGCCATAGGTGGCAAGAGCTGGTTGCCAATGGTGTAGTGGAATACATTGATACTAATGAGGAGGAGACAGTCATGGTCGCTATGACACCGGACTACTTGTCGGCGGAAGGCTCGACTTACTGTAGCACATACACGCATTGTGAGATTCACCCGTCCATGATCCTTGGCGTCTGTGCTTCGATCATTCCTTTCCCGGATCACAATCAGGTATGCACGACTAGCTTGTACACTGTATATGTACACTGCGGTTTCACAAACCCGTCGGTCCCCGAGCTGTTGAGAGTGCTCAATGCTATAGGCAGAGCTTAGAACATAGCCGACATCCTTGTGAGTGAAAATCATGGCGTGCATGCTCATGGCACGCTGTGCAGAACCTTACATTGTAGACTGTTGTCATGCCATGTGTACTACTCAGTTGCTGAGTTGGTTCCTGGAGGAACACCATTGCAGAGTGCAGAACTGATGTGTGTTTGTCCCAGCTCCAGGAAAGATGACTGCAAAGTGGCCTACCCAACAAGACACTTAGGCACAGGGCGTGGGATAACGTTAGATGTGCGGCTTGTCCGATGCTAGAACATGTAGTTATGAGGGAGCCGTGTGTACGGGCAAGGAATTCATGAATGGCCTCGTGTTGTTATTGTCTTTGCTTTCACACACCTGCGTATAGTCACCTCGTAACACCTACCAGTCAGCTATGGGTAAGCAGGCTATGGGTGTTTACATCACCAACTTCCACGTCCGCATGGACACCTTGGCCCACGTCCTCTGGTATCCACAGAAGCCTCTCGTCACCACCCGCTCCATGGAGTACTTGCGATTCAGAGAGCTGCCTGCTGGTAAGTGCTCTACTTTCCTTTCAGTTCATCTCTGCTTCGTACAGCATGTCCAACGTATGGACTGCTCCACTGTGCCGCCTGGCTTCACTTGGTATGATGCAGCATGCTATGTCACTCTGCAAAGTCATCAAGACTTTCTTCACCTAGAAGGTACATGTACACACAATCTACTCCCTGACACACACACACACACACACACACACACACACACACACACACACACACCCCGGACCACCTTTGTAATCTTCTAATTCCTTGGTGCTTTTATTCCGTAGATATCCGTGTACATTGCATTACATTGGTCTGTGTTGTTCTTTGTTGGTAGGTATCAATGCCATTGCTGCCATTGCCTCCTACACTGGCTACAATCAAGAAGATTCAGTCATCTTGAACTGTGGTGCAGTTGACCGTGGCCTGTTCCGGTGAGCGCCGTCCGTGTGTTGTGTGTGTGTCCTTCTTGTGTGTCGCCGCACCATTGTGAAGGACAGGCATGGCCGTGTACGATCGTAGTGCACATGTGCTTTGCAGGATGATATGTGCTTAGTCATGTGCATGGGCTTGAAGCACACAGGTGATAGTATTACTTGTTTGGCTGGGTTGTGTCAGAGGTGTTAGCTATTCTGTGGTGGATTCAATTTTCTATGGCTTCATTTAGCTTTTCCGGCTGGTTTCTTTGAATGCCTTTTTGTTCTCGGGCCAGGTCTGTGTTTTATCGTTCGTATCGCGACTCTGAGTCCAAGCAAGGCCTGGACACGGAGGAAATCATCGAGATGCCGAACCGCGAGAACGTCCGCGGTATGCATCTTGCTTGTTGTGGGTGGGTGGGTGGGTGGGTTTGCGTGCGCACATGCTATTTCTATAGCTCTATGACCTTGCTGGCTTGATATGTGATCATAGGAACGGAAATGACTACTAGATAAGGATGTTCGTTTTGATGTGATTACAGCTGTGTTTGTCCCATGCTGCTAGTAGGATGTGTGTGTGTGTTTCTACATGATGCTAGTAGGAATGGTTCTACCAAGTGCTTGTGCCCATGGTGCTAATAATATATGTGTATGTATCTACGAATATTACACAGCAATGAAGCAAACAAATCTCATTCCGCTGTTACTCGGAGTTTCATGTGAAAACACTCATCAGACAGCAACGGAGAACCCGTTTGCTGTTTGCAGGTGGCGTGTTTTGTCAGTTGTGCGTGCTTGAAGTTGCCATGCTGCATCTTCTAGACACGGTCAGTCGAACTACTCGTGTATGTGTGTATGTATGTATACACGTATGTGTTTCTACCGGGTACTTGTGTCCAGGTATGCGCCCTGCTATTTACGACAAGCTTGACCCCGACGGCATCATTGCTCCGGGTACGCGTGTCAGCGGTGATGATGTGCTCATCGGCAAAACTATCACCTTGCCCGAAGATGAAGACGAGGTACATGCAGCTACATACACTGATCTATTGTTGGTTTGTTTTATCCTTGGTTTGTGTTGGAGGAAACACTAGAACTACAGTGAAACCTGTGACTAACGACCACCCCTTGGGGCCAGAGAAAGCGGTGTTTTGTGGCAGGTGGTCCTTAGTTAGAGGCTTGCACCGCCCAACCACGTATGAATGTGAGACCGTCCGTGCCTGGCGAAGTGGTCTGTAGTACCAGGCTGGTCGCTAGTCACGGTGGTCTTTAGTTACAGATTTACTGTACTCGCTTTTCACAAGCAGAGCTACACCTTCACTGTGCACATCTAATCTCACCTTTTCTCTTCAAAACGACATAGTATCTGGAACATGTATATGGTATCTGGAACATGTATATGTGCAAGCTTCAAGCTTGTGATCTGGCATGTTTTACGGTTCTCCTTTTTTGAGCACGTTGTTGATTTGTGTATGTTGTCCCAATGTTATGTGCTGTAGATGGAGGGTGCTCCTCGTCGTCACACGAAGCGTGATGCCAGTACCTTCATGAGAAGTAGTGAGACGGGTATTATCGATCAGGTGAGGGCCGTATCTTACTCAAGCTCATGTATCCTAACAAGGCAAAGTGTGGATAGCTAGGTCTTGACTTCAGACTTCTGCCTTGCGTACACCGGTATAGGCGATTCACGCAATCAGCATTCTCACGTAGGAGAGCCTGTTTCCATGGAAAATTTCCCGCAAGCAACCTGAAGTGTCCGCAGGAATCCAAACGTGCACACGAGCTCTTTGTGTGCGAACACACTCCATCTTCCGTAGGAGCTGAAGCTCCTGAAAACCACATGCAGTGCAGGGAAGCAACTGTGGCAACTGGGTTTTTTTCTCTGTTGCGAACGTCACGCCTCGAAATCCTCGCCTGTTCCCATGGTCACCAACTTACGCCATCTCTGTGGACAGAGAAAATGTGTAAAAGAAGAACATGTCAGAGGACATTTGCAGGTGCCTCAACAATGAGGACTCTGAAGACAAGCTGATGCTGGATCCTGGTCTGGAAAATCAGAGGTAAAGCCGATCGCACAGATTTTACCATGTGGTAGACGTGCTTCCTGCAGCTTGGACTTGTATTTGTTCCTTAGAGTCAATCACCTCCTCCACTACTGCACGCAGGACTTTCAACAACATGGCTTGTGCACAGCTAACAAGAACATCATCACAGAATCGAGTGGCAACCGACTTCTGAACAGCCTCTTTGAACATTTCCAGCACAGACTTATCACACTCCAGACTGGTTGTGGCCTGCCTAATCAGCTGTTCACCGTACTTCTCGTACGTGTCGCAATTGCAACCACGATCGCGGAGCTTGAGCAATGGAAAAAGGCACGCAACTTCCTTTTCGTCGTTCTCCACTCGGACAGTTCTGAACAGAAGTTTCTGTTTGTCCAGGACATCCATGCTCTTGCCTTAGCGTTTCTCTTTGCCAGCCTGGGTATGGATGCAGCGGCTCAATGCTGCACCAAAGAAGTGTGGACATGGTCCGTAGAGAACGTACCAGGCTTAGTACTCGGCTGCGCTTGCCCAACCTCCAGGCACACGAACTTTCAAGTTGCTGCTGCCCCGGTATGGAGTACACAAACTTTGTCTGACTCGGACACTCCTCCAAGGTCAGCAAACGGACATCAACATCGTCAAACTGGGAACGACACGTACGGATGCATTCCACCGCACTTTGAAGATCGAGTATCTGTCCGCGTGGCCCGAGCACTCTGAGTACAGGGCTGCATACTTCTTGAGTAGCTGAGAAACAACGTTCCTCCATACGGCCTTGTCCTTAGCCAATGAAGCTTTTAGATTTTCGAAGATTGACGTATTATGCTTTTCTACACCAGCAACGGCAATAATTACCGGATAGGCAGTATCGACGTTATTGGACTTCAGCTGCTCAGCAACACGGCGCTTGGCATCGGCTGATAAACATTTGGTCTGCCTTAGTCTTGGCGTTGGCGTTGGAGCCGTTGTTGTGGACTGCTTATCCACCGCAGACTGAGGAATGTGCGCGAATTGCTCCCCACCATTGACATGCGCCTCCTCTGCACCAGCAGACCCCCAACGCAAGCTCAACAGACTCGTCGAAGAAGAACTAATGAATTCGTTCCAAAAAAAGTTAAATTTACCGCCAGGAAACGACTATAAAACTGAGATCTCGACTACACCACAGTCAGTCATTCTTCGAAGAAACTACAACAAGCAAAGTTTACTAAGAACGATCAGCTTCAACAAATATTATAACGACTTAGTACTTTCCTACGTACCTGTGACGGTGTACCAGTGCACTCTAGTACTCTGGCTTGTATTACGGTGCACAACTACATCAGTCCTCGCATGCGCAGGCACCCAAAAACACCGAAACCCTAAAACAGGACGTCTTAATTCTCTAAAATCATGCAAACTTGGCTGCTTTCCGGGCTATGGAACACAAAGAAATTGAGCTGTAGGCAAGTTGCGGCTTAGGTGACCTCATCAGGGTGACGTAGTGCAAGAACTGCGCTGTTTCCGGTCTGATGTGCACAGTTGCACACTCTGGTTTATGCACTCTTGATGTTATGCATCTATTAAACAATTGAATGGCACGATTTGGTAGAAGTATCTTGCAGGTTTCTTACCAAGTTGGTGTGTATGTGTCTGTCTGTCTGTCTGTCTGTCTGTCTATACATATGCTTGCCTGAACCATATGATACATAGGTGTTAGTTACTATCAACTCCGAAGGCTATCGCTTCTGCAAGATCAAGGTGAGCTGCAAACTTACACCCACTCTTGTATTGCTCTCGTGTTGCCAATGAGCACTTGTGCAATGTGTGTTGGCAGTTGCAGCAGTGTACTCTCTGCGTCTATTCGCAGCTCTGTGTAACTTACTGCACGCTATACATATTTCTGTCTGAATGAAGAGATCTGAGATGAGAGTCCATCTCAATATGGTGTTCTTTGAACACCATATTGGGGTGGACATTAGTTTTATGAATTTTATGCCTTGTGCTCTTGTTTTGCTAAAGTGCACCAAGGCTTATTCTTGTTCCACCTGCTGATTATGGCTATGTGCTGCGAATTTATATGCTATCTTGCCAGGTGCGGTCAGTTCGTGTTCCTCAGATTGGCGATAAGTTTGCCAGCCGTCACGGTCAGAAGGGTACATGTGGTATCAAATATCGACAAGAGGTATGTGTGTTTGTGTGTGTGTGCATGGGAGTGTGTGTAGTGTGTGTGTGTGTGGGGGGGGGGGGGGGGGGTCCAATTTCGGCAGTGAGCAAGCACAAGTACAATCGTGGCCAAAGAAATCCAACCCTCGTGCCGAAAGCAGCGCCAAGGCGCATGCGACCGCTGCGGCCCTCGGATCAGTTTTAGGAACATGCATGATGTCATTGAAATGGAAACGCAGCGCTACTTTTGACTCGCGGGGCGGATGTCTTTGGCCGCAACTGTACATGTACAAGTGTGTGTGTGTTGAAGCGCTTTTACACTGTACATATATCACGGCTGTTACGACGCGGCCAGAATCCAAGATGGCCGCTGGAGTCACGCGAGCAAAACGAAGCCGCTTTGATCGTGGACTCGATCGAATCTAGGTCTACGATTTTTTTTCTTTTTTTTTGAAAGGAGCTTTGAACATTGTCATTGGATTTGTTTTCGTCTTCGAAGCATCTCGTTCATGGAATTGTACTTTGTGATTTCTTGGATATTTTGAACAGAAATAAAAGTAGATGGTGCTTGATCTGTCTAAATTCTGAACGGACTGCCGGTTTAGTTGAGGGACACTGGCAGCACTGGTTCTATGGAATCAACACATGGGGTCAGCCCAGGATCTCGGAACGAACAATCGTACGACTGCGGCATGACCATTGTGATTATTGCCTGCCCTCCTCAAGCTTCAATACCCGGTACCTGTAGTCACTGCTTGGAGCTATAACACTAACAGTAGAAGCACATTGCAGTGATGCAGCGAATTGCCAGCCTGAGGAAACCCGCCACTCACCCGCTTCCACAGTGATACAAACTGAAGCTCTGGCACAGCACAGAGGATGTAATTTTGCTGTGCACCAACAACCTCAGGCTGGAAATAAGCTACTATAGTACTAGTAGTAGTACGTGTACATGTGTTGTAGTACGTTATTGTGTGTACGTTGAGTTTACGTTGTGTTGGTGCATGCGTGTGTTGCCAGGTTGCTGTGGTGTGAAAAGCAGTCTTCGTCTTGAGTTCGTCATGTCCAGTTGTTTTTCCGTAGTCGTCTTGTAATAACGAAGACTGCTTTTCACACCACCGCAACACGCGCATGCACCAACACGTACACACGACGCACACAAAATAACGCACTACAACACACGTGGTCGTCGGAATGTACTAGTGCTATGTTCAGGGCTCTCTGCTACGCTTGCGTCTCTGCGTTGGTGGCAGAAGCAGAGTGTGCTGTGGCAGCGCATTCAAGACGTGTGCTTGTGCACATGCACACAGCCGGTTAGCCGTGTTTCGTATGGAGGAATGATTTCGCTCCAGCTGATTGAAGGCAGCATGGATGGACTCTGCCCCCTGCTCATTCAGTAGCCCCATGCCCATTTGGAAATTTTCCAAGCAGCTGACTGCATGGGCCTCAAGAAGGTGAAGCTTTGGTGTGACGTTGCCACGACCACGCGAGACAACTTCCTGCCGGCAAGCTGCAAGAAAAGCAGAAATATTGGCACGCAGTTGTGAGAGTGAGTCAACATTCGGACTTACACTGGTGGACAATCCTACATGACAAGCTGCAAATTTAGAAAATAATGAAACATAGCGGTCTTTAACAACAGTAGCAGCTTGCACCAAACACGTCACTTGATCTCTCTGTCCTGCACTTGCACCTTCTGCACTAGCCTCTGCTCTCTTGGAGATGACATGTGCAGGTGCAGAACAGAGATCACTAAACACTTTCTCCTGCAACCCTTTGTGGACATGATTCCCTTCGAATGCTCCGCCATGGTAAGCTTGGCGCTGTATACCATGCTGCTGGAGTACAGCCTCTAGGGAAGCAGCACAAGGACCACCATCAGCTTTACCTTGAATGCTTTTCACAGCATCAGTTTTCTCCTTCAATTCTTTCTCCGCAACCTCTTGTTTATCTTTGTACATTCCCCACTTAGTTTTCTGCACGTTGGCCATGTTCTCAAGATGCTGGTTGCTGCCAAACCTTCCTGCATGGATAATAATATATTCTAGCTGCTCTTTGGCTTTTGTACATTTCTCTTGTGCATACTTGAGCTTTTCGCTAGCTGCAAACAAAGCTTCGTGTGCGTGACAAAGTTGCTGATGCATGCTGCTGTCTTTGTCCGTGCTACCAACAAAGATGCACTTTGCCAGATCATTGTCAAGGTCTGCAACATCCTTCAACAGGGCACTATAGATCCAGGCGAAAACCCCTAGGTCAATGTGCAGGCTCGGAATCGCGACTTTAGCCAAAGGAAAAGGCAATATCACTGGCCGGATCACGTTAAAGTGAAACTTGGCCTTCTTGAGGTGCCCACCATCTCTCAGAAAGGACTGGTGGCATTCATGTAGCGTATCCAGTGTCCGCACGTTAGCTGGCACTGTGGGTACTTTCTGTATCGTTGTTTTATCAGTGTGACAAAACAAACAAGGGTGCACACCATTTGCACCTGTTATGCCAAACATTGTGGTGAGAAATTCGTAGTCACCACAAAGGAAGGTTTGGATATGCTTTTCAGAGCCTGCCTTGTCAGTCCAAGTAGTTGCCTGCAACTTCTCCAGTTGTTCTTGGTACATGCCAAGCGCACTCTGCAAGTTGGCAGCAGAATCTTTGGCGCTGAACAAGCAAAGCGGTATCGTGTTCTTGCAGGAGTTTGGGTGACTAACATTCAGCAGCTGCAGCGAGAACTTAAAGGATTTCCCTCCATGATCACCCACAAACTTCACCCATAGATCATTCTCATCCATGCCATCATGCCACACAAGTGTATTACACTTTTCGTGCAAAGAAAAGAACTCCAGGACCAAAGCAACGATATCAGGCATGTACACAAAGGGTGACATAACAATCCCACCATCGACAGCTGCAGGCAACTCATCAGTCACATATTTCGGAATGTGTTCTCTGATAAACTGTCTTGAAACCCGCTCAGATTCCAAAGAAATGCCCATCATAGACATAAATTTTTGTAATTTTCTCAATTGATACCATGGTAAACGCAGCTCTGCCTTAATGGCCAGGGCTAAGCCAGGCGATGGGGATTTTGATGCCAGGCCTGCTGCCTTTAGCAGCTCATTACGGTCATCTACACTTTTGCGGCGAAGCTCACCAGCAACGTGGGCAAAGGCACCACCTACACCACCACACACAGAATGTGTAAAGGAGGACGTCATGGATGACCGTCTCCGTGCAGTACGACCACTGCAATCGGTGGAAGACACCCTTGCAACCGGGGTGCGGGTCCAAACAGCAGGAGAGCCACCACCTCCACGGACCTCAAGTCTGTCACCCTCTGCACTGCTCTCGACAACACGTTTAGTCAGGGCATCAAACATTTTCCCAGAGAGCATTGAGTGGGAAGCGGCTAGAACATCACCAATGGTGGAGGATTCAGACACTACTCTCTGAATAGGAGTGGATGGGGTGCTTGGGTTGTGAGAACAATTCTCAACGTGGCTCTTTAGGTCGCAAAGCCTCACCTGCACTGGGCAGCCTATTAGCGGCGCCTCGTAGAAATCGCACTTCAAGACTGACTGCTTGATGATGTCAGCCACAATAGTATGTGGTGACACCAAATTATCCAGACAAAGTGCATCTTTGCAGTGCGGACATTTCGTGCTTTGCTCCAGCCAACATGAAATGCACTTCGCACAAAACAAATGTTTGCAGCATGGCGTTTCCAGAGCAGCGTCTACAAACAACGAACAAATGCCACACATTAATTGTTCATGCTGCTCACGAAAGCGACTTGGAACAAGGTCAGCACCAGTTTTCAAGCTACCAGTCGCTTTTTCGGTGACATTGTCAACAGGAGTCGGGGTGGTGCTAATGGGGATGGGTGATGGCTTTGCAAACGGCACCTCACATTTTGCAAGTTTGGACGGTCGTCCAATCACACCCGACCCACAAACACTACAGTTACTATCATGTGCCTCCCAAAGTTTCATTGCCCCACACCCTCCACTAGTCCTTACATACCTCTCTTTATTCTCCTGAGCATTCTTGTACCGTCGTACAACTGCCATGCATGACGCACAAAATAATTCAGGATATACATCAGCATTTTTTTGGTCTTTTTTAATAGTTGGAAAACAAGATTCTAATTCAGTAATATGATCCGACACAGCATATTTCGTAGAGACGCCTTTCTTCGCTATATTACTAAACTTACGACCACTAACACGGCACATCTGGCGAAGTAGCTCCCTATGCCTATCCATAGGATTGTTTTTGGTATTTTATATTTTTAGATAGGCAATTACAAACTGGCCTGAAAAAACAATCGTAAAGGAGCGTAAAGCTACGAGGACGACTCCTCACACAACATAAAGACCTTACCTTCGTACTCCAACAAGAACTGAAGTTTACAAAAACGAGGCACCCGCACTAATACCTGCCAGAAGTCGCTGGAGACCATCGATGACATCCACACCGTGAAGCACAAGAAGAAGAAGAACGATCCGGAACGGACAACTATTTCGACTTCGACAATTTCTTTTGAGAGAACAAGCTGCACGTGAGTGTAAAACACCAAAACCTTCGTAGTAATCGGCCTGAAACAATACTCGGGGCCCCTAACACGACGGCAACTCGTGAGATACTTCCCTAAAACAATGAGGCTGTCAAGGACAAATTTCAAACATGTCAAGTGGTCCTCAACGCGTTCTCAGCAGGTCACCTGCGGCCTCGTGCCCAGAGGATTCTGGCCGCATTCAATGCATACGTAACAGCCGTGAATACAGTACACATTGACAAATTTGTTTCCATTGTGATTATTTAAAGAAGAGGTTGGTGCGACTTCGGCGATACTTCATGCTGTCATTATTTATTGCATGCAAACTGATTCTCAAACTTGCATTGTTCATGTTTCCTCTCCTCGCAGGACATGCCATTCACATGCGAGGGCATCACACCTGACATCATCATCAATCCTCATGCTATTCCCAGCCGTATGACAATCGGTCATTTAATTGAATGTCTACAGGGCAAGGTATGTATGATTTGCATATGTACATGTGTATTCGTGTGTTGTCATCATCATGAGTCATAGCACTTTGCAATGACTGTCGGCGGCGGAATGCATTGGAGGCTAGGGTGATAGGCAAATATTTTCTTTCTGATTGGGCTGTGTGTGTGTGTGGGCGTGGGCGTGTGAATGTGTGTTCAAGAAGCTCATGTTGTCATATCTTTAATATTATAATGACCTTTTGCGAAGAACTAATATCCTGGCCTATATATCAAGCTGTGAGTTTGGGGAAGCGGAAAATCATAATGCACATTACTTGCCACATGTTGATCTCTATTGGAACTATGTCTCTCTATCTCTCGCTCTCTCGCTCGCTCTCTCTATCTCTCTCTCTCTCTCTCTCTCTCTCTCTCTCTCTCTCTCCATCTATCTATCTATCTATCTCCCTCCCTGCAGGTTTCAGCAAACAAGGGTGAAATTGGTGATGCAACACCGTTCAATGACTCCGTCAACGTACAAAAGATCTCACAGCTGCTGCATGAGTACGGTTATCACTTGCGTGGTACAGAAGTACTTTTCAACGGCTTTACTGGTCGAAAGATGAACTCTCAGATCTTTCTCGGACCAACCTACTACCAGAGATTGAAGCATATGGTTGACGACAAGATTCATTCTCGCGCCCGAGGTCCCTTGCAGATTCTCAACCGGCAACCTATGGAAGGTCGTTCGAGGTAAGTCACTCTCTCCGGCTTTGCTATGGCTGTTTATAAATTTTTTAAACCTGTCGCTGTTATCCATAATGCTGTTAAGCATCGTGTTGATGTATTTGTCTAGACTGGCACTTTCTCTGCCTTCACTTCTAGGTATGATTTTCTGATTGGGTTAATGGGAGGATGTGTCTGTGTGGTCTGTTGTTTCTTTCGACATGCCACATGATTATCACCGTGACGGACGCCAATCACGGTGCACTTAGCAGTGCATGTATACATGTAGAGTACTCTTTGCCCTGAGAAGCACTGGGCTGGCAGATATTGGTGATATCTACTCTCCTAGGCGTGTAGATATTGACGGTATATATATCTGCTTGGTCACGCCGGGCTTGAAGTTTCGTATGTACAATTTATTTTTGTGTCTACATCATACATAGTACATGTTGATGCCAGTTCAGTTCTTTTATCGAGGCTCTTGGGGTTCTTCGCGTTGTGATGATGTTGTTTGAACTTGTTTCTTTCTTTATATACTTGCTGAGAGGGTAATTGTGTCTGCATTTTTTACTGCACCCTGCAGAGATGGAGGTCTTCGATTTGGTGAAATGGAACGTGATTGCCAGATTGCACACGGAGCAGCACAGTTTCTCAAGGAACGACTGTTTGAAGCATCGGATCCGTACCGTGTTCACGTATGCAACCTCTGTGGTCTGATCGCTATTGCCAACTTGCAGAACAATACGTTTGAGTGCCGTGGCTGCAAGAATAAGACCCAGGTACGATCTGTTTCCTGTTGAGTTTTCACCAGGTGTATGTACAAACATAACTGGTTGGCTTGTGTGTGTTGAAAGCTGTGGAGGTGTATAGCCAGCCTGAAACTGAGGGGGGGGGGGGGGGGGGGCAGTACGTGACTGAACAAATCTGCATTACTCCATACATGGAGTAAAATAGAAATGTAGGTCTAGTGCTCTGGTGTGCTGAACGGTTGCACTGGACCAGCACATTGGTTCCTTTTCTAAGACCACATTTCATATGTTTCTCAAAGTGCAAAGACTCACTGCAGCCATCCACTATACCCATACCTCTTCACGACACTCTCCAAAAGAAGGAGGTTTCACATGGCCGTCTGACCTGAGGGTTCAAGCAGACGATGTCCGATATCCATTCGTTCTTTGGTCCGGATAATCTCACTCGATTCTCCCGTCTACTGCATGAACTGGACTCAGCATTCAGCGTCGCGTACGTAAACTAAATGTTCATACTCATCGGAGGCTTAGGCTGTGATCGTTTGGTCGGATCCACTGGATCTGCAGTGATTGATTGGTCGAATCCGGATCCAGATCCTTCGGATTTGGATCCGAGCAACCCTGCCCCGGGAGCAGAGCTGACTGGATCCATTGGATACAAATGTGATCATTTTTGTACTCATTGTCGTATGCACACAATAACTCTTGTTGACTTTTCGTACGACGCACAAGATCACCCTTTTGGGTGACCTGTCAGCGCCATTTTTTACTTCATCAACATGGCAACAGCCAAGGTCCAAAAAAGTGATCGGTTGATTCTGAAGGATGCGACAGATCTGAGATCTGGACCTGGATCCGGATCCGACCAAACGATCATAGCCTGACACTATTCTTGATCGATTTGTGATGTGATTTTATCAAGACATGTACCATCAAGTAACCAGTAAAGTTATACCAATAATTGATGAGTGTTGGTAGCGGCTGACCTACAGTTCGCTGTCTTCGTTGTTAAAATTAGCCGCCCTGCTCATGTTTAGTGTACTGTAAATCAATTATATTTCGTACTTGTTTTAGTTTCAATGAAGTTGAAGACACCACTGCAGCTGTACTTATGGTTGATAAATATGGTGGTAAAGACACACCTGGCAATATGGCGGTGAACACACGCTCTCTAGGCTGCAAAGTTCTGGCACAGAGCTCTCCTTCTCACCACCACCACCATCAGTTCGCGCCTGGCGCCTGGTCGATGCATGGTTGGCGGTATCCGGCATAGCAGACTGGTACATCAAGTAGCGCATGGCACGTAGAAGATGACACAGCAACGACATAGCTCGATTGCGACGTACGTTTCGTCCCCGTACGTTGCAATCGAGCTATGTCGTTGCTGTGTCATCTTCTATGTGCCATGCGCTACTTGATGTACCAGCCTGCTATGCCGGATACCGCCAACCATGCATCGACCAGGCGCCAGGCGCGAACTGATGGTGGTGGTGGTGGTGAGAAGGAGAGCTCTGTGCCAGAACTTTGCAGCCTAGAGAGCGTGTGTGGGCATGCGTGTGTTTACCGCCATATTGCCAGGTGTGTCTTTGTTTTAGTTTCGTAAATTTAATAAGGCTCCTGCCACTTACGAAATTAAAACGCTTACTAAAACCTGTCACACTCATTGACTCCACGGTACAGTACTGTACACATGTACGTAGTAGCCCCCGATCGATGGCACTGATGAAAGTAAATAGACGACTACGAAGTGTTCTTTTTCTCAGTTTACGAATATTTAATACTCTCTTTAATAATACGAAATATAATTGATTTACAGTATACCGTGATTTGTGTCATGCTTTCAGTTTCAAAGTTCACCACCTGTTTACAGACTTACCCTACTTCCGCACATACCGTAAAGTACCGTTGATCCACCCCCACGCCATTTCGCTTCCCAGCTGGGTTTTCGGCAGGGGGCGGGAATTAGATCCAGGCTGTCAAGTGCAGTACGATGTACAACAGCGTAGAGGATCAGACTCAATGTGCTGGATTGTGCACATTTTGATCCTGGATTGGCAAGTATTGTGTACAGCAGTGCATGCGTCGGTTCAACATCGTATTTCGTTGTATATGCCAAAGTCGCTTCACAAGGAGAAAATCGACAGGGGGCGGGAATTAGAGAGGGGGCGGATCAACGGTACTTTACGGTATATGCGTATGTCATTATGCCCGGACATAAGCGTATGTGCTTATATGTGAAAACTATTGGTGAAACACCCAGGAGCTGAATATACCACTAAGCATAGTGATAACACCATTGATTAGGACACAGACCACCTTTATTGCGCATAAAAGCGCATGTGCTTCTACCCGGGCATGTTTACACAGCAAAAAATCTGTTTTGCAGCAAATTTTCGCTTACAAGCACATGCGCTTATATGTGAGGAAGTACGGTATAAAGAGATCCATGCGAGTCTTCGAATCATGATTCTCTTCAGTTTTATATCAGGACATTGAAGCATAAATCGGCCTTGCCATTGAGCTTTGTACTCTTACTGTGTGGTTTATTCTCTGTGCACAGATATCTCAAGTGCGTATACCGTACGCGTGCAAGCTTCTTTTCCAGGAGCTGATGGCCATGAGTATTGCACCACGCATGATGGTCACAAAGTAGCCTTGTATTTTTCATGAGGTAGCCTTGTATTGGTCACTACAGTGTGCCTACCCTGCCTTTGATGTGTTCTTTCTGACACTGCCTTTTGTATTGTCTTCATATTCTTCTGTTGCCTGTGATATTTTTAAGCTTCCAAGCCATACAATTATCTACTTTTCTCATGATTTCACACACTCATGATATCAACTGAAATAAATCTGTACAAAATGCTCAAAGATGAAAATAGAAGATAAGAATCCTGCATTTCATTCATCATCATACCATTTTTTTCTCAGAAACCAAAAGTGAAGGCCTTGACATGAAATAATAATGTATTTTTCAGCATCCATGTTGCTTGCTGTCATATTGTGCAACAGTGCTGTGTACATAAGTTTGAAGCGTGGCGTCCGCTTCACACCTTGCTCCCCTGTATTTCCGGCTGCTGCCTTCTTTCTTGTTTGTTGACCTCGTGATGTGTTGATTTGCTTCCTGTTCCCTTGGTGCCTTTTGTTTTTGTATGGCGTTTGCCCTTGCCTTTCCTCCTTTCCAGCCTGTTCTGAGAATTTCATCCTATCAGCATCTGCTCTAGGTATATTGCTTTACTTTGCAGGCAGTGTTGTTTCACAATGGGGATCGATATTTTTAAAAAAATCGTCTGGTACAGGGTTGGCCCGGCAGGTGTGGAAGAATATTTTGCCCAGAGAAAGGCATACCGGCCATTATATTACGGTCTAAGTGTGTGTGTGTGTGTGTGTGTGTGTGTGTGTGTGTGTGTCTTTCTTAAAATATAAAAAGACCAAAAAAGGGATTCACTGGCCAGAAAATGTCACTCCAAATAGCTGTATGGTGTAGACCAGGCTGAATAGTGACGGTCAATTCTTCAGCCTTGCAAGCTGTTGAATGGTGTAATCCCAGCACAAGTTGCTATGGCTTCTGCCGTAGCATTGCTATCATCGCCTCCGGCGATGGGCGTGTGTGTGTGTGTGTGTGTGTGTGTGTGTGTGTGTGTGTGTGTGTGTGTGTGTAGCATTATAGTAATAATGCAGATTAATGGGTGCACGCGGCTGCTTCGTGCTACCACTCAACTATGCTGCTATGAACGTGCGCTGTACGTGCTCACATGGTACTCTATGCATCATGGCATTCTATGTGTCATACAACGTGACACTCAACGCGACATTCATTCATGCGCGACGCTCAACGTAGGCGGCATGCGTCGTAGGCACTCAACGTGTCATACTAAAGTTTGGCATTCATGCGTGTCGCTCGCCTCCGATGTGGAAGGCGTGTGGCTGCGTTATGATGACGCTTGCTCGTAGCTTAACGTGGGTGGCATGCATCGTTGCATGTCTTGCTAGAGTTTGCTCTGCTATATATTTTCGATCGGTTCTCTGCGACAATCATTCTTCCTTGCTCGTAGTGTGTATTATATTTCGATTCGTTCTGTGAGCGGATCACTCTTGTCAGATCATTGTGTTTCACCCACCCACCTCCCATTTCTCATCTCTCATTTACTTTGATAAAGTAAATAAAGGGGTGTTGGCCATGCTCATTTCCGGCTACTCAGGGCTCTCGGTCTTCGTCCCTTGGACGTGACTATCCTCTTGGCCCCGCCAAGATCCTGCTCTCTCTGTAGCCTCTCACTTCGCTGGCCAGCACCCTCCTAACCGCAAGCTGCTGTGTGTTGTAGTTAATGTGTGTGTGTGTGTGTGTGTGTGTGTGTGTGTGTGTGTGTGTGTGTGTGTGTGTGTGTGTGTGTGTGTGTGTGTGTGTGTGTGTGTGTGTGTGTGTGTGTGTGTGTGTGTGTGTGTGTGTGTGTGTGTGTGTGTGTGTGTGTGTGTGTGTGTGTGTGTGTGTGTGTGTGTGTGTGTGTGTGTGTGTGTGTGTGTGTGTGTGTGTGTGTGTGTGTGTGTGTGTGTGTGTGTGTGTGTGTGTGTGTGTGTGTGTGTGTGTGTGTGTGTGTGTGTGTGTGTGTGTGTGTGTGTGTGTGTGTGTGTGTGTGTGTGTGTGTGTCGCCGCCGCCGCAAGGATTGCCCAAGCCTCCAGGGCCTGCGGTGCTCTTCGGAGGTCTGTATTCTCCAATCCACATCTGCTGATGCACACCAAGCGGTGCGTATTCAATGCTTGCGTTCTGTCCCTGCTGTTGTATGGCTCTGAGTGCTGGACGCCCCTTCAGCATGACCTGCAGAAGCTCTCAACCTTCAGCATGAGGTGCATCCGATCCATCCTCGGGGTCTCTCGAAGCCGGATGTGGGACGAACACATCACCAATGAAGAGCTACTGGTGCGCTGGGGAGACTCCGAGACGATTAAAGACAAAATTGCACATCGGCGGTTGGAGTGGTTGGGGCATGTGGCGCGGATGCCGGACAACCGCATCCCAAAACAGGTACTGTTTGGCTCCTTCTTGCAGCGTCGCCCAGCACATGGCCCACGCCGCAGATGGAAGGACTGTGCTGTCCGAGATCTACGTGCCCGTGGCGTGGAGGCATCATGGTATGATGTTGCATGTGAGTCTCGCGCGGAGTGGCGCAGCACCTACCAAGAGCCTGACAATGTGCCTGAGCCTCCGCCCCGAGTGGTATGTACGGTATGCGGACGGGATTTTGCACGGAAAGGAGACATGGCTCGGCATAAGTGTCTGGAGGAGCGTGCGCGGCCTGTGTCTGAGCAGCGGGGCGCCAGTCAGTGCGGGCGGTGTGGGCGGTGGCTGAGAAGCCGCGGTGGCTTGGTCCGGCATGTGTGTGCCTCAACGGTGGATGCCGCAGTGCCACCTGGAACTACCGGAGCGTCGGCACCGGCGGAGGGATGTTGTGCCGCGCATTGTGACAGGTGTGGTCGCTGCTTTCGCGGTGTCCGGGGACGGGGAAGGCATCGCTGTTCAAGGGTGGCTCATAGACCAACAGCAGCGGAGCGCTCAGCCTTCCAGCACGTGTGCATATGCGGCAAGCGGATGCGACTACCCGTGCACCTGGAGCGTCATCGAGCGTCGTGTCCTCTCTCTCTCTCTTCTCAAGTTTCCCAGTGATGGGATCACGTGACCCTTTTGCGGCAGTGACTCTACAGGACAGGTGTGTGTGTGTGTGTGTGTGTGTGTGTGTGTGTGTGTGTGTGTGTGTGTGTGTGTGTGTGTGTGTGTGTGTGTGTGTGTGTGTGTGTGTGTGTGTGTCGCCGCCGCCGCAAGGATTGCCCAAGCCTCCAGGGCCTGCGGTGCTCTTCGGAGGTCTGTATTCTCCAATCCACATCTGCTGATGCACACCAAGCGGTGCGTATTCAATGCTTGCGTTCTGTCCCTGCTGTTGTATGGCTCTGAGTGCTGGACGCCCCTTCAGCATGACCTGCAGAAGCTCTCAACCTTCAGCATGAGGTGCATCCGATCCATCCTCGGGGTCTCTCGAAGCCGGATGTGGGACGAACACATCACCAATGAAGAGCTACTGGTGCGCTGGGGAGACTCCGAGACGATTAAAGACAAAATTGCACATCGGCGGTTGGAGTGGTTGGGGCATGTGGCGCGGATGCCGGACAACCGCATCCCAAAACAGGTACTGTTTGGCTCCTTCTTGCAGCGTCGCCCAGCACATGGCCCACGCCGCAGATGGAAGGACTGTGCTGTCCGAGATCTACGTGCCCGTGGCGTGGAGGCATCATGGTATGATGTTGCATGTGAGTCTCGCGCGGAGTGGCGCAGCACCTACCAAGAGCCTGACAATGTGCCTGAGCCTCCGCCCCGAGTGGTATGTACGGTATGCGGACGGGATTTTGCACGGAAAGGAGACATGGCTCGGCATAAGTGTCTGGAGGAGCGTGCGCGGCCTGTGTCTGAGCAGCGGGGCGCCAGTCAGTGCGGGCGGTGTGGGCGGTGGCTGAGAAGCCGCGGTGGCTTGGTCCGGCATGTGTGTGCCTCAACGGTGGATGCCGCAGTGCCACCTGGAACTACCGGAGCGTCGGCACCGGCGGAGGGATGTTGTGCCGCGCATTGTGACAGGTGTGGTCGCTGCTTTCGCGGTGTCCGGGGACGGGGAAGGCATCGCTGTTCAAGGGTGGCTCATAGACCAACAGCAGCGGAGCGCTCAGCCTTCCAGCACGTGTGCATATGCGGCAAGCGGATGCGACTACCCGTGCACCTGGAGCGTCATCGAGCGTCGTGTCCTCTCTCTCTCTCTTCTCAAGTTTCCCAGTGATGGGATCACGTGACCCTTTTGCGGCAGTGACTCTACAGGACAGGTGTGTGTGTGTGTGTGTGTGTGTGTGTGTGTGTGTGTGTGTGTGTGTGTGTGTGTGTGTGTGTGTGTGTGTGTGTGTGTGTGTGTGTGTGTGTGTGTGTGTGTGTGTGTGTGTGTGTGTGTGTGTGTGTGTGTGTGTGTGTGTGTGTGTGTGTGTGTGTGTGTGTGTCTTACTACTAACCCCGCAGACTCGGCAGCACGTTGGTACATGTACCAGCATTTTGGTCGTCTTCTAAACATCCAGAGCGCTTATGATGCCAATGTGTTGGATAGGTCCCGGAACTCGACATGCGACCGGAGCTTGATGAGGTGCCTACTTTTGAGGAGGTCCAGGCGGCAATACGGATACTTCATGTTCGGACAGCGGCTGGGGAATCTGGCATTGTTCCCGAATTGATTATATCTGGTGGAGCTGAACTCTGTGAGCGCATTCATAACCTGACCGTGGGTGTGTAGACAACTGGGTCTGTCGTTGCGGATCGGAGGAATGCTGACATAGTGCCCATCCCGAAGAAGGGAGACTTGCAATCGTGCGACAACTGGTGGGCATACGTCTTCTGGATGTCGTTGGCAAGATAATTGCACGTGTTATACAGAACAGACTCCAGAAGGTGGCAGAGGACATCCTGCCTGACTCACAGTGTGGTTTCCGGAAAGGCAGGGGCTGCTGCGATATGATTTTTGCCGCCCGCCTGCTCTCGGAGAGAAGGCTGTGGAGCATGACACCGAGCTCTACGCTCTCTTTGTGGATTTACGCAAAGCCTATGATTCCATTCCTCGTGCAGCTTTGTGGGCTGTGCTTCGCAAGCTCGGGGTGCCGCCAATTTGCTTGGGCTTCTTCAGCCCTGCACGATGGCATGACCGCTTGTGTTCGGCTACCGGGTGCACAAACTGAGTCTTTCAGCGTCTGCAATGGACTTCGGCAGGGCTGCACATTCGCGCCTACGCTGTTTAACCTGTACTTTTCCGCAGTAGTTGCAACGTCGTTACGTGGCGGACAGCATCTTCAGTTCCTGGCGTTGACATCCGGTATCGTGTCGGCCGCAAGTTGGTGGGCGACAGAACAGCCAAGTCCCGACTCAGCCCAGCCTGCCTAAAGGAATCGCAGTTCGCCGACGATGCAGCTTTGTACACCACATCACTCCCCTTTCTCGAGACCATTGCGAAGGAGTTCATTGAATGTGCTTCGCAGTGGGGGTTGACGGTCAGCATCTAGAAGACCAAGGCAATGGCAGTGAATCCCCACCATCCCCCGCCGGCATCTGTACCTGTCGGTGACGGCGATCATATCGACCTCGTCCAGGACTTTACGTATCTCAGCAGCACCCTCAGCACGGATGGCTCCTTGGACAAGGAGGTCACCTCCGGACTGGCCAAGGCTTCCCGCGTGTTTGGTAGGCTGCAGAAGCCCATCTTCCAGTGCCGTGGCTAATCTCTCCATATCAAGAGAAACGTGTATACAAGGCTGTTGTCCTGCCGACGCTGTTTTACGGGGCAGAGACCTGGGCTGTCAAGGCTACACATCTCCGCCGTCTCAGCCGCTTCCACCGGCCCTCGATCCGGGCTATACTGGGCGTGTCCAGATCCACTCAGCGATTGGACCACCTCACCAGCAGCGAGCTTGCCCGCAGAGCGAGGCTGCCAGCCGACATCAATGCGCTGCTTCGTGAGCATCGTCTGCGCTGGCTTGGGCATGTTGCACGTATGAGTCCAGAGCGGATGCCTCAACAAGTTCTCTTCGGAGAGTTGCTGCCGACTCGACCACTGTGACGCCATGGACCGAAGAAGCGGTGGCGGGATGTGAATGTTGACGACCTGCATGCCACGGACATCTCTCAACAGCACTGGTTGGCCATGGCACAGGATCGTCCAGCCTGGCGACGGAAGATCTCCAGTGACCATCTCCCTCCTCCGGCTCCTCCACCCGCCAAGCCATTCAGCTGCGCATGCGGACGGTCGTTCCGCAGAAGTGGCGACCACAAGCGTCATCGGAATTTCTGCCTGGCTCATTAAGGCTATGATCATCGCCGGTGATGGGGCGTCACAAGGTGTGTGTGTGTGTGTGTGTGTGTGTGTGTGTGTGTGTGTGTGTGTGTGTGTGTGTGTGTCTTGTTGAGGCATCCGCTCCGGGCTCGGCATATGTGCAATGTGCCCCGGGGCGGCAACTGAGCCAGCGCAGACGATGCCGCGTAAGTCACCGAAAGCAGCACATTGATGTTGGCTGGCAGCCTCGCTCTGCGGACAAGCTCGCTGCTGGTGAGGTGGTCCAATCGCTGAGTGGATCTGCAAAGTTATAGCCCCCTGCAGCTACCAGCCTCGGAAGCATACTTTGTCAAGTGCGCTAAATCGTCGATTTCGAGTGGAGTAAGTTTATGTACATTATTATTACTGCCATCTAGGAAATTGGAACTGCTTTATGGATTTCCTTTAAATTTCGTACCGATGTTCCTTTGATTGATGAAAAAGTGCCAGCCAAGTTTCATGTTTCTGTTACCTCCAGAACATATCTTTCGAGAGAAGCTTTTCTTGGCAAAACCACCACATCATCGTAGACTACCGAAAAAGAAGAAAAAAGGTTTTCACCGGTGCACCAGGGAGGATCGAACCCGCGAGCTGTTGTAGCTATAATAATATTATGTTACCATGGAAAATGGCACGCATGCGCATTGCCAACCCAACCGCCCAGGCGCCCCGTAGATCTGTCACATTCTGTTGTATGTGTATGTGAGAAGGTAAACCGATGCCTTGATATGATAGGGACGTTTTGAGAAGATCGACAGACGAGAAATCGAGTTGTTCTGTTGGTGAAATCTTTTACAGCCATGGCCACAGCCGGCGCAAGAGTCGTTATGAAGGTCGCCAGGCCTGCCGTTATGCGCGGTAAATGCTGGTCAGCCTTTAGAAGAACTCTGCTCGTTGGTGTCGTGACTTGCTTCATTCCTGGTATGGTCTATGACCACTATTTCACCAACCCAAGAATTAAGTCATACCGAGACTTCTACACCGACTACAATCCCAACAAGGACGCTTGGGATTTCGTCTATGATGCTTTCATTGCACGTAAGTACACCGATACAACACGACCACTGAACTCGTTTAAATGATCAATTTTTATTGCATAAAAAGTGGATACTCAGTAATAATTATTAATGTCGCTGTGCACTGGAACAAGCTGTGGAGAGTACCAGTACATGAAACACAGAGTGTGCAACTCGAATGGGGTGGTGCCAGGGCGAGATTCCGGGATTACATCATTATTTTATTAACCTTTTCCACCCCGGCCTGAAACCCATGAATTCCCAGTCCGCTCGCTGCGCCTCTCTCTCTGTCGCCCGGCAGAGCAGACCTGTGATTCGAAAAAAATTCTAACTTCACTCACCAGGAACGGAAGTTGATCCTCTTGGGCTCTTTGGAAAGCTTGAAGCCTTCTCTGTCCAAACGAAAAGAATAATCACTCAGCAGGAGCAATAGAGTTGCCTTCACACTCCGTTGAGAGCTCCTCTATCGGGCCTCGAAGAGATATTCCACACCCAGTCACAAATTTCTTCGCTTCTACAGTTTTACTCAGCGCAGAGCAAAAATTCAAACTCTCTCAGATTCCTGAAGTTCAAGTGCTCATTTTGGTACCCAACACGCATGGGCTGTGCCCCTGTGAGTCATAGGGAAAGTCCCTTCCCTGCCGATGTCCACTCGAAAATCCAAGGTGCGAAATTTTGTGCCCTGTATTTCGGCCCGTGAATTGCGTTTCCACCTTCGGCGCTCCGGTATTTTACTTTTCGCCCCAGCAAACAACATACCATTGGAAAGCTTATTCCTTCAGCTTTCCAACGAGCCGTCAGGTGTGAGAATCGAAGAAAGTATAACAGAGTTACGAATGTTTGAATAGCGAGGTATACGCAATCCGAGTTCACTGTACATACAGTACATTTTCTACCCGAGTATTCTCGGGCTTGGGAAAGCAGGGCATGCTACAGAACGAGTATACTCGGGCGCTGGGTGCAAAAGGTTAATGTAGTGCGTACAAGCAGCTCACATATGCACTACTCCACATCACATCTGCACCAAGTATGATGTAATTTCAGGGCTAACCACAACCGTACAAAGCGTCAATAACGGTCATTTGGATTTGACCAATCTGCGCACGGCAAAACGGGCCGTTTCTTGCAATTGTGGGGTGTTTCCTGAGCCTAACAATATGATAACAACAACAGCTCGCATATAACCCGATTAATCGGGGTTCACGCATCTGTCAATAACATCCTACCAAACAACTTTCTCCATTGCCAGAGATATACAGTCGGCGAGAGAGGTTCCCGAGGGCTTGAGGTCGTCGCGGACCACATCGATCCAGCGCTTTCGGGGGCGACCGCGGGGGTGCTTGATTATAGATGTGTCAAGGGCCAATTTTAGGGCTTCGTAGGTTTACCTTGGCTGTATCCGTTGGTTTTAGACATTAGGCCATTGTAGATTCGTGTTCAGAAGGAGTGTCTTTGGAGGGTCACCGTTTCTAATTTTTCGATTTGGCCTTTGTTTTGGCTGAAATCGGATGGCGAAATCACTCAAACTCGAAGACGTGCGAACATGTGATGAAGAGAAATTTAGAAATCGGGCACTGTAAACCGATAGAGAATTCCAAGACCGAGAAAATGAGCTATCGACTGTGAGAATTGGCCAAGTAGAACCGCGGTTCTACTTTTTTGAAGACATCAAGGTCGGCCGTGCGTTCCGCACACACCAACAAAACCTGGCAGCCGTGCGCATACTGTAAGACATGTATATATAACGAGGAAGCAAATCTAACATTTTAACGGATGGCATTTCTTCGTTATAATAAGATCCGTTGAGGCCGTACTGCTTCATATATGCTGTGTGTGGATATGGCAGAATACTGCAAGATCGTTAACATATCTTCTCGTTAACCTATGAATTTTGGACAATCGTTAAATTTGCGACTCGTTATAATAACATGTCTTACAGTATATGCGTGTGCAACAAGAAAGGACGGAAACGACAGCAAGCGTTCCAAGTGAGTAGTTTACCTTCGTGTTGACTCAAGCTAAGGACTCCGGCCAGTCAGGGATCATACCAGTCACTTGTCATCATGGTCATGACTAAAGGATTCATTTGTGGCCAGGAAACTCCCTACTCGCAGCGTAAAAGCTGAGAGGCCAAACAGAAAAGATTTTGCCGAGTCGCGATCAGGAAACGCTGAGTTGTACTGACAATATTGGTTAGCTAGGCGCGGCAAATTCTTGTAGATGCCAGGGCTCCAGTGCACCAGTACCTCATGGACACATCTTGGTCGACACGCACCAGTGGATTGAGAAAAATGGCCAAGATGGCTTGGAGAAAGGACGTCTTCTCCGCGTGTCTTTCCCAGCATCAAACAACAAGATTCGCTTCGGCACTGACCCTTCACTGTACAGACTTGACCAGGGAGTCGTAAAATACTGGTATTTTGCAAGTAGACTGTACATCGATCAACATGAACTCGGGTGCGTAGCCGCTATGACTGCACAACACTCTGGCCTCCGCCGTCGCCATTATTTCAAAATGGTGGTCGACGCTTTTTGAAGTTTGTATGGTCGTGGTGGGCCCTGAATTTAGGAATTTCCCCGTAACACCTGCGCAGAAAAAGTCAGAAGCTACACATTCCGGGTTTCATGTACTTTTGTAGCTATCCATAACAAGTTACATGAAACTACGTTACGATACGCGTCACGTTTTGGAATTCCACGTATTGGCAGACGTCGTTTTCATGCGAGTGCATTCACACAGACACGTACACGCTCTTCGTACAGCTGTGTGTCCAGCTTTTTTTGGACGTAAACAGGTGGGAACGACAGAACGAATCTCGGTTCAGGGGTCTGGATACGTCGTCTACTTTTTCGTATCAAGAGTTCAATTTTCCCGCCACGTTCCATGTTGTGGCTATTCGGATGAAAACGTCACATACCCCACGTTTTGGGCGTAGTGTGAATGGCCCATTAGGGTCCGTCCACCCATAGCCTGTTGGTTCTTCGGCGCCGGGCAGTACTCTAAATGCAGTACTCTACGCACTTCTTTCAGTTCGACTGATCATTCACGTGACCTGCAAGCGTGACCTGCAAGCGTGACCTGCAAGCCTTGCAGGTTGGTTGCTCGATCACGTTATCAGTCACGTGGTTTGTGGCAGCCGTACCACACATACATAGTTTTCGGAGATGCTTTCACCGCGATGATCTACAAGAGTACGACAGATATGGCTCTCGTCCACCGTCGATGTACGGCGGAGAACGCCCGAAAATCGATAAAGAAAGAACGCCGAACTCGGTTGTATTCAACTCCCTGGCTGTACTGTGCGGTCAAGCATATGCTAAGCTTTGAGTTGTATCTTTTGAGCGAGATGCAATGAGCATCAGCTCCACACAATTAGTTGTTCGTGTGATCATGATGATGCACTTTGTTAAGCTGGGACAAGCCTATTTGTAAGGGTCCAAAAGGCGACCAGAGTATACAGTATCAACTGTTGATTCTCTATATACATGAGAGCTGCCAGCTCAGGGCCCTCGCCATGCTTGATCTTTACCCTGGTTGTCATACATGTTATTCAGACTGATGGGAACACATGTCCATTATTAGTATCATGTACCCGCACTCCGTGTTGCAAAGATGTTTCCGTCATTGTGCCAGATTACAGAGGGACCGGTGGAATTTCCATTGTGAGCAATCTGGTTGCCAGGCTTATCTGCTCTGTAAGAGAGTTGTCCTGATCACAGCTTGCCTTGTCTTTTCATTCTTTTGTTGGACACTGTGGCATGTTGAATTAACTTTGAGAGGTTTAGTTAAATGAGACATTGGACTTGTGGACGTTATGAGTACAGTACACTCATACCTCGGTTATCCTGACCCGAAGTTACGGGCACTATGGTCTACCAGGCATCCTTTGGGCGAGTTTCAGTGGAATTATTACTACTCTTTTTTTGTCACTTTCTGTGTAAATAGTATGCCATGTCTATGGCCTTTCCCCATCAAAAATGTATGTCATTCAAAGTTACATGCAGTGTATTGGTTTTTCTCAATATGGCTCCACAATAGCCCAACTGAACATATAGACAATAGAGAGGTCCGGAGTATGCTTTTCCGTACCACAATCCGTAGTGGCGCTACAGATTTTCTGTGTCTCCTTTTCGGGTAGTGAACTGTTCCAGAGTGCGGAAATGATGTGTTTTGCCGTCATTGTCTAGGTTATGATTGCAATTACATCATATCCCCGTGCTATGACTTCGAAAATTTGCACCAAAATCAAATTTCCTGCAAAAAATCGATATTTCTCGTATCAAAATTGTGCACTCGATGACGCAAAACCTCCATATGAAACATGGTTTGTGTGAAAGGAAATCCACGCGGCTTCTCATTGCCGAAAACCCTGGAATCTCTCTAATACCTAGTGCCTGTGATATTATCCGCCAACCTTTTCAATTCCACAACTTTTTTGTATTGGTTCTCTGAAGTATTCAGCAACTGGATATGTGACCACCTTATTTCGTCTTTCTTGTATTTGTTCTGTGCAGTGGATCAGCCTGTTCCAGTTCCACCGTGGCTGGAGGAAGAGGAGGAGGATGAAGATGATGACGAGTAGACTCTGCTTCAAATTTGCTACCTATACTGCTGCCTGTATTTAAATCGCTGTCCGCATGAAAGTGAATCGTGTTGCTAATGTGCAAGCCTTTAGTTCTTGGGAGTATGTCCGGCTGTGTGCTCCAGTGTTTTATGATTGAATAAGTTGCTCTTTGTAAAGCGTCTCCATTCTCTGTCCAATGGTCGTGGTCACTTTGGCCTGCGTTCCGAAGTACATGTACAACAGTCACCTGTGTACTTGAAGCTGATGATTGATGGTACATATATCTGACAGTGCTCAGTTGAGCTGCCACTTTCACTCTCTTTGGTGTGTATGTGTGTTACGCGGCTGTGTGGATCCATCGTTGATCCGACTGTTGCATGGCCGCACTCTCAAGAACAGTGCCTAGGCCTGGCAAGGTCAGGCTGGAATATCGTGTCTTATGAGGAGCCGCTGGCCTGATCCGTGCTGGCAATCTTTTGGGTACTGTATGTCTATGAACTCTAGCAAGAGTATTATTATACCGTATTTGCCAGAGTGTAGTGCGCATTTCGAATGTCATATTCAGGCCTCAAATCGCAGGTGCGCACTATCCTCCAAATATGAATATGCATGTACTTCGAAAAGTAGTGCATCAAACTGTTGCGAAGTTTGCCAGCTCAAGCCATACAATGATACATCACTGTATGTGTTTCTAGTGTCAACTGCCAGCTCCACTGCTACAATGTATTGCTAATGCATGCTGGGTACGAGACCCCCATCGGTATGTGCCGGCAGCATATGCACTATACAAAATGTACACATCACTTTTTTATGATAAATTCTGACAATGGCCTCACTATAGGACAGTAGAGTCGAGTGTCCAAGGACTTTATTTCCAACGGCTTAGCCTGATGCGTTCTTACGTTTCAGCAATCTGGCTGCGTTCTTGGAAACAATTCGTACCGGATTTTGGCAAAGGGTAGTGTGCACTTTAGATGTACAAGTACAGTGCGTATCGGTTATAGCGTGGTCGTGTAAAAGAATATGCTGCCTACAAGAATGAACCCTCCTGTTTTCATAATCATAACATGGATTTCAAGTGCACATTTTTATTCTTACAAGCAGTTTTATCCCATACTAGAATCAAGAGTCCATTATGCACTCTTGCTAGAATATATTGGCCCTAAGAATGGACTTTGTGTAGCGAAACATTTTTGTATTGTATTTTATTATTTTACTTGGGCATTCCCAACAGACCCTAAGGTCTTCTTACAGGGTGCCCAAGATGAATGAAATTGTTAAGTTCCTGGCGAAATGAAACATGCCAGATTAGTACAAAGTGTATCGCCTGTAGTAATAACATCTGTCCAATTCCGTTCTGATGAGACTCTCGTTGCGTCGTAGTGCTGCAGATTCAACTGTTGTGGCCATGTAACTCATTTTGCATAGCCACATGGTAAGCCTATGGGACTATGACCAGACACATGCACAGAAGTACTGCGTTGCATGTACGATAATCTTCCTGCCCATGCGCACATGCATTATGATATGCCACACTAGCTGTCTTGATTTATCGTGTGTAAGAAATATCTGAAATAAGAATAGAAAGTCGTTTTTCAAACACCCACGCTATAACCGATACCTACTGTACTACAGTTGTGGCCAAAGAAATCCAACCCCCGTACCGAAAGCAGCGCCAAAAGGCTCATGCGGCCCCGGGTCAGTTTTGGGAGCATGCATGCATGATGACAGCAGATGAAATGTTAACGCCGCGCTGCTTTTGACTCGTGGGTACGAGGTGATTTGGCTTTTTTTTTAACATTTGGCATTTTTTAACAAATGTGCAAAATTTTCTTTTCTTTTGGCTGTTTCTCTGCTCCGGATAGCTGTATCGAAACATGGGTGGTGGCAAATGAGAGCCAGTTTATCGTAGATCAACATTGACCAGAACATTTGGTGCATATAATTTAATTCTCCCTGCCACGTCGGTATAAATAGTGGTGGGTGCTTTGCCATTTTGTGTAAAATGTGTAAAATAAGCCCCTGAATGGACGAGGGGGGCAGTGAATTGCTTCCGCAGGGCCTTTGGACGAGGTCAGGCCGTCTTGCCATCACTAAAGACAATAATGAAGAACAGTAGGTCATGGAATACACTCTGTGAGAAGGAAAACATGGTTGCGATGCTATGCTACCTATCCAATTCTACCGTATGACACAGCCACTAGTTACAAATCCAAAAACACAGTTTTCGCAGCATACAATGCAGTTGACAGATTACTTTTCATCCACTAGCAATCCTTGAAGTGATATCTATCAACTTCAGAACATTGATGACCGAATATCTCAGCTTGTGATGCCATTTTACACATCTGGTAAGTTAAATAATGACACACCAATGATTTGAATCCTGAGAATACTATGAAAGTAGGGCATGATTCAAGACACTTTCCAAAGTGGGATCATTCCCATTTTTTGACACAAGGGGCATGAAGGATAGCACTTCCACCTGCAACAATTCATTTGGACGTAGTTTGCCTAGAAGTGGCTGAAAAAACGTCATTTTACAACCATGTTAAAAAAGCCAAATCACCTCGTACTAGTATCACGTACATTTGTGCAAATGACCATGTTATTATAAAATCTGACAATGGTCACACTATATATTTCGAACAACAGAACAGGATTCACCAGAACAACGCATTTGGTTAGGGTAGGACTGCACCTGCTATGGATCGGCCAAAACATGTTGTGCTTCCTCCAGACTCGAGCAGCCAGAGCAGTTTCACCTTTTCACAGTGAAACCTGCCGGGAATATCGATTCGGGTTGCACTTTGAATCAGGGAGTCATAAAATAGTATGAAAAATATAAACATTTTTATGACTCCTTGCTTGGCATGGATGTACCGAACACCAGGACCATGGTGACACAAACACACTTTCACGAATGCAACTGCAACCATGATTGTTGGCACTCTTGTCACATGATAAACGTACTCGGTTTCTTGAGCACCGTTTGGTTGGCATGAGACTGCTCCATGTGCATCAGCTCTTCGACACTGTTCTAGACCGTACCAACCAAACATAGCCCAAGAAGTTTGCGAGCCAAATCCTGAAAAGCCCTGACATGAGGTTGGACTTACAATTATAATCGCATGCGCTTACATGTGAACACTATTGGTGAAACACCCAGGAGCTGATTATACTGCTAAGAATATCGTGACAACACTGTTGCTTACGGCAGACAAATAAGCCCATACATGGGCTACTATAAACATGTTCACACAGCAAAAGAACTTTTTGTAGCAAATTTTCACTTTCTATAATAAAGCCCATGCGCTTATGTGCCTTTGAAGACGCGTTGGCTGCATTTTCCACGCGTGCATGAACCAAAACCGCATTTTCCACGCGGTGTGTACCTTATGTTCTGTGCTTGAACGTTGCCATGGATAAATCTGTCCCTTTGGAAAACCGCGGCCAAGAATTCAAAATTCCGCGGGGAAAGGGGGGTTTTCTGCGGTAAAATCAAAAATCTGCGGCACTTTCTGCAAGTTTTTCACCCTCGTCGTAGAGGATATGACTTTTCATGCTATCCTTTGCAGTTACAAACTGAATGAGAGTGAAGAATCTTGGAGAGACCTGCACTGGCAAGAGAAATGTTCTCAAACAGATCGCAAAGTAGTTTTTCTGCTGCGTTCTGAGTGTAGTAATTTTAGTAATTTACCCTAAAAATTCAGATTCCGCGGGCAAAAGTGTGGATTCCGTGATTTCCGCGGAATCGCGTTTTTCCAAGGGGACAGATAAACCCAGAAAATATTTCAAGTCCTACGGAGGAGCCAACAAAGGAAAGAGCTTGCCCACGGAAAGAAATCCGAGATATTAGGGAGGTTCCGGAGTACGATTTTCGTGCCAAAATCCGTAGAGGCACTACGGATTTTTTTATACGTCGTTTTCGAGCAGTGAAATGTTCCAGAGTACGGAACTTATGTGTTTGCCGTCGTTGCCTAGGTTACGATCGCAAACACGTCACATTCCCGTGCTATGCCTTTATACTGAAAATTTGTACCGAAATCAAAACTTCCCGCGAAAAATCAATGTTTCTCGTACCAAATTTGTACGTGAAAAATCTTTCTGCACCCGATGACGCAAAATCTCCATACGAAACCTGGTTCGTATGAAAGCCAGTCCACACGGATTCTCCGTGCTGAAAAATCGTATGTAGCACCCCTGGAAAAATCCGTAGCACGGATTTGGCACGGAAAATTGTACCCCGGAACCTCTCTATTATACGTGTGTATGACAGGTGCTCTCGCTCCGCGGCGCATACGACATACAGATTTTCATTATGTAATTACCGTATTCATGCACTTATAGTTATAGGCACACAGGCCTATATCCGGATATATGTACAAGCAAGCGCACGGGCTAGTAACTGAACAGAATTCACATTTCTGGTATCACTGTACCAGTATTAACAAAACTCATTCTGGAATTACGAAGTAATGAAAGGTGCTATCGCAGGGACAGCATCAAAGAAATGCTTTAAAAAGATGCGGATAATTATATTTTAAAGCGCACCCCTCATATTACAAGCAATTTTTCCGCATTTGAAGTGGCGAAGACAGCAATATTCCAAATATGTGCGTGAATACGGTACCAGGGAATTTTCTAGAACCGCCCCAACCGGTTGAAATTGTTGGCGACCGGTTGAAAAGTTAGTTACAAATCAGTTCCAACCGCCCGTACTTTTCTGTGGGTGAATGGAGCTGTGAATGGTCAAACGCTTTTTTCTGGACGGATACTTCCAGCGAAGCCGTGTGTGCTGGTACTGGGGTCACGAGTTTGTGAGTCAAACTCGAGTCACGAGTTGAGAATCTGTTAAATTGCTGTCGAGTGCAATATTTGGGTTGTATTTTGAAAAAAATTTCCGGGGGGACCCCCCACTCTTCATTGGACCGTAACCGGTTGGAAATTCGTCCTAGAATATACCCTGGTCACCGTACGTAGAGCAAAACCTCCGTAATATAAATTGTATTCTAAGAACTTGTCATACACAGCCAGATTTCTGAATAAGAATGTTCCAGCTGACCTCTTCGAAATCCAACCATCGGTGGCGTGCGGCTTTACTGAATGAAGGTTTTTTTGACTGTGACCCTTTGCTAACTCAACTTCATGAAAAGAGAAAAAAACTGAAGCAAAATATACAGAATAAATACAGGAGGTGAACAGAATCTAAGAAAACTGGCTACACAAACATGCTGAATACTCGATGGTGGTGTAATATGTCAATGTTGGTATTGCTGCAACGGTAAATGCCATAGTTCACCTTCAAAACATGTACAGGCAGAAATCGAAATACATAACTGCAATGCACAAAGGTCAATTGAGCATACAAAATTCATGGTTCGCTTGATACTCAGTTAGACTGAGTTTTCAGCATGTGTAAAGGAGCATACAAGGAAGCTAATAAGGGATTAACATTCAAGAATGCACCAGGCCAAGCACTAAAAGCTGCATGTCTCAGACTGTAACACTGAAAGTGAAATAAGGAGGTGAAACTGAGATTACGATGACAAGAATAATGCCAACAGAGGAAATGTCTCGCAGAAAGAGAAGTGAATCAACACAAGGTCACAGTCAAATCACCCCATCCAATAAGCTGATGCTTTTCTAGTTTACTTTGCAAAGCCATGGACTCAGAGTCAAATGCCGAGACGATTTTACAAAAGCGATCAACATGTAGATCCTTGGTCCTTTTTCTTTACCATAAACCCACTTTCAAAGACACATTATTTCTTACATCTTACACAATTTTCGACAAGCAAACATTACAGCAGGGGGAAGAGATAGCGAATCACATCGGTCTAGAACTACAATATTGTCACATGGAATTAGGATGCATTTGACATTGCAACATCGAGATCAAAACAGCCCTACTCTTAGCTTAAAACCCCACCCCCTTGCAGAATTCTACGGCTGAAAACAGTAAATTCCTCAAATCACTCTGTATATTCTGCAATGAAAAGGAGCGTATGAAGTAGAGTCTCCGCAAATCACGAGCAAGTTGGTTTAGCTGTGAAAACTGAAAACACATCAAGTCTCCAGAAAAAAGGAGCTTTCCTGTGTCCCTGAACTTCGCTGACAAGCACTGAATTGCCATAACACAAGCCAACTCCTTCATCACTCTTTTCGTGGTAAACAAAATCCAACTATGGGTACTACTACTGGGGTGTGACATCACCACAGTCCTACTATATTCCCCAAGGTCGGATTCTTGCACAATATTTTGGATTCGAGGAGGGTCAAACCACATTTTGAAAATGAGAATCTCTGCATTCTATAGCTGTCCAGTTTGTCACAATCTTTTAATTGACATTTTTCACAAATCTCTAATATTGAAACGTTTTTATTACTGCAGAAGGTACCTTGATACCCTACCAAGAACGGCAGAATTTATATTCCATGGCCGAAACACATGCACACTCACGGGTAACTTCGCTAGAAACGCATTCCCCACCACACCAAATCCACACACCAAGTTATGGCAGAGGAAAGTTTTCTGCTTGTTAACCATGAGATGGAATAATCATGGGAGATGTACAGCAACTTGTCATTTGGCTTGAGCAAATTTTTACTCACGACTGAGCAGCTTCTTGGCCAGGCAATGAGCGGATGATATCAGAATCTCCAGGGTCGGTGATAGACAGACATCCAACTCTGAAGTACTTTCCACAAGCAGTTCCGAGATCGGTATTGTTTCCAGTATAATGATGAACTCCAGTTTTCGCCAGCATAGCGTAGTACTCGATCTCCGACTTGCGAAGTGGTGGTGTGTTACTTGCAAGAATGACCAGCTTGGCCTTTCCAGAGCGAAGAGTTTTCAGAGTAGACTTAATTCCAAGAGTGTACTTGCCGCTCTTCATTACTAAGGCAAGACGAGAATTGATGCTCTCCATCGCCTTCTTCTGCTTCTTAGAGGCCACCATGATTGCAGGTCAGCGTGCTACGCCAAACAACAGTGCTGAAAAGGAAGCTCTTTGCCGAGCACCGTGACTAAGTACGCATGCGCTATGCGCTGTCTCCATGCCAAGGTGGCTATCTTGCACAAAAAAATGAAATCGGCTTTTATCACTTCATGCACTTTTTCCAGCAGTGAGTCATTGGAATGGCGTCATAACCAGAAAATGATTTCTTTCGAATTTTGTGGTGTTCGTCTTCATGGAAACAGAGAATGGCGGCCCAAGCATTTTCAAGGTACGGTAAATTAATCATACCGTAAATAAAAATGTCAAAGTCTGTGCACGCTGCATACTGCCGCATGCCATGGCATCCAGTCAACAAGGTCATAACGTAACTCGTTACATGACAGATAGAACGTGTGTTTCTACACAATCCATGAAATCAGTGCACATACATGTACCGTAATTATTTTGTCCCCAGGCCAGAGTGTGCTGTTTGGAGGTTGAAAAGCACGAAATTTGAACGCGTCGCAATTTGAACTGAATGACCTAAATAAATAGCCCTCGCAGATGAGTAAATGGCAGCCAGAGGAAGCTGTCCTGCCAGTGACAGCGAGGACGAAGACTGCGCTGCTGGTCCAGATGATGATTACCTTACGTACGCCTCTCCGCGCCAGAATCGGCTAGTAAAGCGTGATTCGCGAAAACGACGTTCCAAAGGTGAAAATCGACGACAGTCACTTCCACGTAAGAGAACTGGCGGAACAGCTGGTCGTAGTTCACCAGCCAATGTCTCATCAGGGTCTGAGGATAAACGCAGTGCTGAAAAGAGAGCTGCGCTTGCAGAAGGAGAGTCTAGAACTACACAGAGACGATGGGACCGTGCTGTGAAACAGTCCATGACAACGCAGCACAGTGACACATTTGATTTAGAGTTGGGGGAAGGTGTTGCGGATAGCAGCTTTCCGAGGAGTCTCTATTCCAGCTTCTCTGAGCTGTCTCTAAGTAGCGATGGTAGTGTGACACCTTCCATGAAGACACCGAAGACGGATGGCAGCCGCACCATGGCCACCACCGCACCTTCACCGGTGATTTCAACTGCCGTCCCACGAGAAAGTCTTCACCAGCATGTGTGCCAGGTGGTCCGTGGACTGGAGATGGTTCAAAGTGCTCGTTTCTATGTGAAGCAAGCGTTATCAATCGGAGCAGAAAGTAGTGCTGAGGCAGATCAGAAAGCAGCCAAGTACCGGTTATGGTTGGAGCTGCAGTCTGCTCTCAAGGACCGCGAGAAAGAGCATCAGGAGGGAGTTCTGCGTTTAGCACGTGCACATATAGATAAGGTGATGTGTGAGATTGAACAGTTCCATTTCAATGCAGACCGCAGTGGATTCTCAAAGACTTCGCAAAGCACTCGCCGGATATTTGCTAAAGCAATGGCAAGCACTTACAACGAAGACAGCCAGAAGAAGATTGAAGTTGTAACCGGACTTGCTTGTTTCTCATCGAAGCACATGACGGCACTGCAGTCAATCCATTCACTCCTGAGTTTGTTTGACCAAGCCTGCACACTCTATCCTTCTCTGTCTCTCTTGCTGGAGCGCGAGCGAGCGGATGGAGAAACTGACGAGTTTGTTAACCGACACAGTACTCTGTTGTCGTGGAGTAATGCATCGTGGCAGCTTGCTATTACACTATCTACACTGCAGAAATGGATGCATGTCAATGTCAGTGAGCTGTGTCTTGAGTCAGTGGAGATGGATGATGCAAGTGACATTGTGTTGAGCGCACTGTCCAATCAGGTCACGAAAACCAGCAGTGTGTTGATCAACATCTCTGAGGAAACTTCAGACGTGCCTGGTGACGATCTACGCGTGGAGAGGGCGTTACCCATATCTGTCAGTGCTCCGGATCCCTCTTCTCATTCGGATACTCTAGCAAATGCTACTGAACACGACGTGCATCGAAGTCAATCAGACAGCAAAGCAATGCAAGGCAGCAGTTTTGCTAGAAAGAGTAGTGACAGCTACACACAGCGCTACTCAAGCTTCGTCGATGCTGCTCTGAAGCGGTTCAGTTTGACTGCGCTGCTCCAGCGTCTGTTGCGCATGGTGGACGATGTTCTTCAGCGTGTGCATTCTCTGTTTCTCTGCCCAGACGAACAGGCCGATTTTCACATCAGCGTTCCACAGTTTGCTGGATCGTCTGTGCTGTCATCAACGTCCTCACATAACCTCACATCCCGAGCCGTGTCATTTGCTTCTCTGTCACCATCGGTAGTCACTGGCGCAACGCTCTTCTCCAGACAACAGTCTGCAATGTCATCAGTCAGTGGTGCATCTCACCTGCCTTTCCCATCACCATCCTCATGGGAAGAAGAGTTTAGTGCCATTGGTCTTCCATCACTTGCCGAGCCGTATCTATCATTACTAAGAGTACCGCTTGATGTCACTCAGCAGGTGATACGCTCTTGGCTGGAGCGTCAGCCAGAGTGGAAGCCATCGGCCATCAGCATTCGCCAGGTATGTGCGCAGAGTATGTATTACATACAATTGAGGCAAATGCAAGTCGGCCTCATGAATATAGTAGTCCCAGTGTCACACATCTCTGGAGCTGCAAACACTGGGCTGCGCACTGAATACTGCTCTGTTTTATTCATGAGATTGGATTTCACGTAGCTCAGCTACGGTGTGTACATGTTTGCAAAGGGTGGACAAGGGGAGGGGGGGTAATACTCGTACCACTGATTTGTTTCTGTTAGGCCATCATTTTTTATAGCTATGTTTCGCGTCGTCCGCACGCATACGTTTTTTTTTTGGAAAAAAAAATCGAACATGCACAGTGAGTGCACGATCGTGCGAGTCATCAGTACAGTGTGGACCAGGGAGTGGTATTTTACGACTCCCTGGTGTGGACTGGTTGCATACGGCGAAGCTGGGATTCAGAAATGGCCTCTTGGCCAGCGTTGGTAAATCGTTTGTTCGGCATCTGGGAGCAATATTCTATGAGCTTACACCAGACCGCATTGATCCCCTCAAGCTGAGAGGATGCGTCGTTCCGGAGGTCTTTGCACCGCTGCTGAAGTCTGAGTACAATTATCCAGCGAAGCATAGACACCAACGGTTGCCTCCTCTGTCCAAAGTGAATATTAAATTTTACTCATGCTGATAACCCAGATGTTGTGCTTCGATGTACGATTTTTCTTTCGAATGTACACCATGCACGTGCTGTGTACAGTGCATACACCTTTGCTGATGACTTTTTTATTATTTTGCAACTTTTTTTTATTTTTTTCCACCTCTCGCATATGATTCTGGAAGTTGAACTGACGCGAAACATAGATATAAAAAATGATGGCCTTATACAATATGGAAAACCTGTAGTAATTTTGAAACTCGGATGTTGAGCCAATAATAACTGTAGAAAGGAAAAGGACATATGGATACGAGTTATACAGTCAGAAAGTGCAGCAACTAGGCACAACACTGACAGAATACTGATACATTCGATGACCTGACTCCTAGCTTCAACACATCTCCGTAGCGCTAACCAACAGCCTTCCAACGAGATCCAGTCTAGTCAGGTGCGAGTACCAGGCAGATAACTAGGTATACTTTTCGTGCGTGCGATGTCGAGCACTAGGATATCATGCAACTCTGAAACCCTAAGTGCTCACCCTTCTGTTCGTGTGTCGTCATGTATAAATAATATCATTAATACATTGAAGTATAGTGGATAGATGTTATCAGCTTGGCTGTGTATGGGCACTTGTAATTGCTGTGCAGCTCATCTATGAAAGTAAAGAACTACTAGTTGCTGCACATGAAGTCAAGTTGTACTATGTACAGTTATTGGAAGCCGTCTTGCCCAATCTCACCACTGTCTATCAACGCCAGCTAGAAGTCAGTCAAGTTGCTTTTGAACAGGACCTGCGTAAAGTTCTGGAGGTAATTCTGCGACATGTTTTTTCCTCTCTCTCTCTCTATCTATCTATCTCTCTATCTATCTCGCTCTCGCTCTCTCTCTCTCTCTGTATCTCTATCTATCTATCTCGCTCGCTCTCTCTCTCTCTCTCTCTCTCTCTCTCTCTCTCTCTCTCTCTCTCTCTCTCTCTCTCTCTCTCTCTCTCTCTCTCTCTCTCTCTCTCTCTCTCTCTCTCTCTCTCTCTCTCTCTCTCTCTCTCTCTCTCTCACTCTCTCACTCTCTCTCTCTCTCTCTCTCTCTCTCTCTCTCTCTCTCTCTCTCTCTCTCTCTGTTTTGGAAGCTGTATATATATTTTTAAATTATTTTTCCAGTTGAATGCTGAGGAAGGGAGCTGAGATATCTGAGCACCTACATCCACCCGTGTGTGTTTGTTGTGTGTGTGTGTGTGTGTGTGTGTGTGTGTGTGTGTGTGTGTGTGTGTGTGTGTGTGTGTGTGTGTGTGTGTGTGTGTGTGTGTGTGTGTGTGTGTGTGTGTGTGTGTGTGTATGGCAACCTTTGACAACACGGCGTCCGAATTTGGCCTCGTGGTTAGTGCCACAAAGACAAAGTGTTTGGTTGCTGGTGCTGATGTGTCTGATGCTGACCGCGTACCCCTCAGTCTAGCTGGTGTCGACATTGTCTGTGTCACCGAATTCAAGTATCTGGGTTCGGTAATTCACAGCGGCGGCCGTTCATCCTGCGATGTTGACTCCCGCATTGCGAATGCCTCCCGAGCATGTGGCGCTTTGCAAAAGTCTATCTTTGGCAACAAGCACCTGGACCTCCACATCAAGAGGTGTGTGTTCAACGCCTGTGTCTTGTCCCTCTTGCTGTGCGGTTCGGAGTGTTGGACGCCTCTTCAACGGGATTTGCAGCGGCTCTCTGTCTTCCACCACCGATGCATCCGCTCGATCATGGGAGTGTCTCGCCAAGAATGCTGGGATGACCACATCACCAATCACCAACTACGTGTGAGGTGGGGTGATCCCGACACCATCCGCACAAAGGTGGAGCACCGTCGCCTTGAATGGCTCGGACATGTTGCTCGGATGGAGGACCACCGGCTGCCGAAGCAAGTTCTCTTTGGCACGCTTCCGTCGCGTCGCCCAGCTCATGGCCCTCGTCGGCGCTGGAAGGATTGTGTTGTGTCTGACCTTCGTTCTCGAGGGGGAATGGCGAGCTGAATGCGAGTCGCGTTCCAACTGGCGCTCGGCGTACTCAGCACCGGTAGATGCCCAGCATCCCCCCTCCCGTCACCTGCTACACCTGCGACCGACAGTTTGCACGCCCCAGTGATCGCGCACGCCACAAGTGTAGGGTTGAGCGTGCGAAGCCGGTTGCGGAGCAGAAAGGTGCATGCCAGTGTGGAGAGTGTGGCCGTTGGCTGAAGTCCCGTGGGGGTCTGGCAAGGCACAAGTGTACTTACCCCCAGTCAGCAGTCGGTGCGCCCCTGCCGCTGCCTGCTTCTCCGCTGTGCTGCGTCGCTCACTGCCAGGCTTGTGACCGCTGCTTTGCGTCTACACGTGGCCGCGCCCGTCATCGCTGCTCACGGACTTGTAGTCGTCCGACTGTTCAGGACCGTCAGGGTTTCGCATGTGTTTGTGCCTGCTCCCGCTGATTTCGCTTGCCGCATCACCTGGATCGTCACAGGGCTGTGTGCTCCTCCTCTCTCTCAGCTACCCCTCCGGGGCCCACGTAACCTGCATGGCAGTAGCTCAACAGGACAGGACAGGTGTGTGTATGTGTGTGTGTGTGTGTGTGTGTGTGTGTGTGTGTGTGTGTGTGTGCGTGTGTGTGTGCACGGGCTTGTGTGATTGCCAGTGCTGACTTGCTGGGTTCAACATTTCTCTTCTAGTATGTAAATGGTTCGTGATTTCATTTTATTCTCTCATTTTAGGCATACCTTCGCCATCTGCATAGCTACGTGCAGAAGATTGCTAGAGCAGATCATGCAGCTCTGGATCCAGTCAATGTGCTGGAACAGGAGTGGCAGTTCATCAGTCGATTTGTGCCGCAAGTGCGCCGTGGCATGAGTAATGTTGGTCGCAGATTCTGGTTAGTTCTACTTGAACTCTTGTGGGTTTTCCCATCACTTGTTTTCATGCCTGTGTGAATTGAAAAACGATTGACCGCTCAATGAATGCATTTGCAATGTCACCAGGTTTGTTGGATTTCTCGAGTCTCGTGTATAATGCACCAGTTCTATTCTTGACATTAGCACTAGTAGGGACCGTCTGACAAATGCCATTGTCAAACAGGGGTGCCCGGCCATGTGATTTTTTCGGACTGTCCCTTACTGGTATCCTGTTATGAAGCCTTGACCTGCCTTGACTCTACTTTCACGTTTTCTATGCATGCCGCCAGTACGGTAGTTGTTGAATAACATGCCTTTTTCCTGTCTTGTTCTGATGCTTGTGTGTGCTGGCAGCATCATTGCGCAGGGCTTCATGCAGAATACAACAAATTTTCTGGAGTCTGGCCTGGACGAGTGCACCACGGAGCTTCACAATCTAGACCGTTCACTGGACTTGAAATCGTGAGTATACTGCTGACGTGCCTGTAGATCACCTCATGTCATGTACATGTACATGCTTGCATGAACGGCTCTGCACTTTGTGTGCATCGAGCACTAACAGTTATTGCAAAGATAGTGCCTACCTCTGTGTGCTGTATGTTGGTGGGTATTTGCTGTTGTTGCTAGATTCAGGCTGTGTGCTTTTCTACTTTCATTGCAGGGAGCTACTGCAGACAAGTCGGTCTTTTCGGAAGCTCTTTGAGCAAGTCCGAGAGCGCTCGTCAAAGGCAGTTGGTTTTGGCAGGATGCTAAGAAAGGTGGGTGAAAAGACTTTCTGATTCCTTGGTGTTTTGTTTAGTATTGTGCTAATGTCCTCTTCAGGTTTCACTGCATTTTGTATTGTGTCAATTTGTGTGTAATGTAGGTTGCATATGTGACACTTACCCAGAATGTGTGGCTAATCAGTATGCAGTATTACTTTCAGTGCCCTTCTTCACTGGCTCATTTGGCTGTATCATAAGGAAGGGTTTTTGCAATCCTGATCCTCTATGCCTGTATGTACCACGACTATGACAACAGTCTGTTTTGATTAGTTTCCGGTTGGACATGGCCTTTCCATATCCGTAATAACGGCATAGCTTATCACATGAAGCCTTCATTTTCGTCCAGCCTGGTTGAATGTTATAATACTAGTATTATTTGTGTTGGTTTATGTGCACATGTATGTACGTGTTTGCATAATATTATGTGCATGGCACAATATTGTACTTGACTGTATGTAGGAGATGCAAATTGCGGCCGACTTCACTCGCTTGCCAGTGTGCAATGAAGCAAGCCTGCTGAAATGCCTGCAAGACACTGGCCACTCAATGGTAAGTAGGAGCCCTGTGAACGGCAACTAGATTAAAGAATTGGACATGAATTATATAACTGCATCTCAACCCATGGAACCCATTCACACTGGGTGTACATTGAGACCATATGTACGAGTAGACCATCAACCTGTGTAGGAATCGTATTGCTAATAGCCGAACAAGTTTGGTGATGTTCATCCAACATGGTATTGTCTGAGAAGCACCTTTATTCAAGGCACATGTAGTATGAATCAATTATGCTCCAGCATGGATTCACACTTCGGGATTAGTATAGATATAGGTGTCAGCGCGCGTGTACGGGGGAGGGGAAGGAGTGCGTGTGTGGGCACTTACATGCGCGCATGTGTATACATCCCATTGGCCCTGTGTTGCTAGGACCCGGTGTGGATTTTTTTATGTACTTTGTCCTTCTGGTGTGCGTGTGCTCGTGTATCTACTGTTATAGGTCCACTTTATCAGCTCCAGTGCACGTCCACTGTTCGTTTCTCCATCACTGGAGGATAACCCCGAGTAAGTGCCTGTACACCTATTGACATAGTGTCTAGCCATGTCAAGTTATGTCTATGAAGGTAACGCTTTTCTGCTTTAATTTTTCGTATGACCAAGGGGTTCTTCATATGTGTGTACATGTACTTGTGTGTCGCTGTGGTCTGTGTGTCCTTTTTTCTTACAACAGGCGTGTGCTATCTTTGCTGAATGTGGCATGTGGACACGGAGGCAGTGATCACTGGTACACTGAAGACTATCTGATCCTGCTGTCTCAAACGACCTCTCCGCTCGCCTCCATGACAACTTCCGCGACCAGTTCATTGACGTCTACCTCCACACTTATGGACTCGACACCAGTCGCATCCGGAGATATCCCTCCAAGTATCGGTATAACTATCGTATCCTCGGCATCATCCAATCTCGGATCAGCAGCACAGAACATTCCACTTCCATCCAATTGGAGCACTACGGCAGCATCTGCTTCGGCAGCTGAGCCACATGTCTGGACGGGCAGTGTCATCGAAGTCGAACCTCCTAAAGAGACTACACAGGCACTCATGGACCTACAAGTAAGCTGTGATTGTGTATGCATATTGATAGGTTGGTGGCTGGGTGTGATATGGACAAAAAACGGGCACACACCGAGAAGAAACAGACAGAAGCACGCAGACCCACAAAGACATAAGAAGGCATTGAAAAGTAGCTGTAGGCAGCTACCAAGTGCGAGACTAGGCATATTTCCAGTAGCCGAATACTGCTGCTGATCTTCATATATACAGTCAACCTTGCAGATACCGACTCATGATCGGGCATAAGAAAGGTGTGTTACGAGTTGCCTTTTCTCGTGAGGTTGAGCGTAGTATTTATAGGAAAGATACTACATAGAACAACAAGGGCAATCAAGGCTAGTTAATGGCTACTCTGAGTTTCATGCTTTCGCAATCATCAGGCAACATATTTATACTATTCATTCATCAGTTTGAAGGATAAATTAAAAAGGGAAAGTTGGAAGAAAAAATATGTTGGTTGCACCCAAGGTTGATATTCATGAGGTTAATTGTATGCATACACAATGAATAGGCAACTAGAAGACAAGAGCTTTGTTGGAGCGATGAATACTATTAGTGATGCGGACATCCTGTTTGTCAATGCCTGCCTCACTAATGCTAAGAGCAAGAGTACATGGCCCCCAGGTTATGTACTAAAATAGTATACACAATGTATACACAAGGATGTCATGTACTTGTGTATAATTATGTATAGTTTTATCTACAGTATCTGTAAGCCATGTACTCGTGATAAGTCATGCAATTTTATCCCCAAGACTACTAGTAAGTGCATGACTTGTTAAGAGGAGACTGTACTCGAAGTACAGTGCTGCTCAATGAAATCCAGTCGCGTCACTCAAGTTTGCGCCTTGCATCATTCCGCAGCCCAGTGTACGCAGGTCTATGGCTGCGCAACGCCCGGCGCGTACTTGAGTGATGCGACTGGATTTCATTGAGCAACACTGTACATTGTATGCATGTTGGCATAACCAGTACTTTTGAACTACATGCACCTGCTTCACGGGGAAAGGGCTAGGTCTTCCATGATGGTGATGATCAGGCCTTACCTGTGTCAGGGCAATCATTTGTGTAGCGTCGAACCTAGGTCCTGTTGTGTTCGTGTTCTGCCTGAATATGCTTTTGCCTGTGCCTATTCATGTACATGTGCATGTGCCTATGCATGTGCACATGAATGTGAATGTACATGTGCATGTGGATGTGGATGTGCATTGACTTTGGTGTTGCAAGGTGGACGATGTCAAGCTAGTGGTGCCAATAGCTGCGTCACTACCGGCATGCCGGAGTATATTCTTCCGTCTGTGCAGTGATCTACTGGAGGTCTCATTGGAGCACACTTCTACATATCCTGATGTTGGAGAGAGTCTTGCTGAATTAACTGTAAGCGCACCAGTATGCCAGTTACATTACAGTATTGTTATTGTGGCTGTGTGGTATGTGCGTGCTTGGCTGGTTGGTTGGCTGGCTAGTTACATTTCTGCCATGTCTGTGTCCGAATGCACATTCAATTGAATGTATTGCAGATTTGCTTGTAGGATGGCATTCCCTTTCCGCAATTGTAGGATGGCATTCCCTTTCCGCAATTGTAGGATGGCATTCCCTTTCCGCAATTGTAGGATGGCATTCCCTTTCCGCAATTGTAGGATGGCATTCCCTTTCCGCAATTGTAGGATGGCATTCCCTTTCCGCAATTGTAGGATGGCATTCCCTTTCCGCAATTGTAGGATGGCATTCCCTTTCCGCAATTGTAGGATGGCATTCCCTTTCCGCAATTGTAGGATGGCATTCCCTTTCCGCAATTGTAGGATGGCATTCCCTTTCCGCAATTGTAGGATGGCATTCCCTTTCCGCAATTGTAGGATGGCATTCCCTTTCCGCAATTGTAGGATGGCATTCCCTTTCCGCAATTGTAGGATGGCATTCCCTTTCCGCAATTGTAGGATGGCATTCCCTTTCCGCAATTGTAGGATGGCATTCCCTTTCCGCAATTGTAGGATGGCATTCCCTTTCCGCAATTGTAGGATGGCATTCCCTTTCCGCAATTGTAGGATGGCATTCCCTTTCCGCAATTGTAGGATGGCATTCCCTTTCCGCAATTGTAGGATGGCATTCCCTTTCCGCAATTGTAGGATGGCATTCCCTTTCCGCAATTGTAAACCAATTCGAGCATGTACATTGTAATTAGGGCTCAAACGATTAGTCCGATTAACCGGTTGCAGACCGGTTACGAAGAATTAACGGTTAACCGATTATGATAACGGTTACGCAGTAACTTTTCAGTCAATTTTTCAAGTGTCAGGTCGTTGCAAAGTGTGCACTTTCGCGGGCTGTCGCACGCGTACGCAATTTCTGGGCTGTCAACTCGGTCATATCTGGTCTCTTGGTGTGAGAGTATGTATGAATGAGCATGCAAGAGAATGTACAAGTGTGCGTTGTACTGGATAGGGTACATTTTTTAATGAGTATAGTCAAATATACGGTTAAAAAAGAGTCCGCAGGATTGCCGTGGCTTGTAGGTTATAACCGGTTAACCGACCGTTAGCTTAGCAGTTAACCGTCAGGGGTAAAACCGTGACCGTTTGAGCCCTAATTGTAATTGCACTTCGAGTTTTGTTTCGAGTTTTTCTGTGCACTTGTAAGTTGCTGCTGTGGTTTCTTGGTGTATTGCTAATCGGCTTTCTATTGGCTTGTGTGTATTGCGTCTTGTTTGTGTGTGCATGTGTGTGTGTGTGTCTGTCTGTCTGTCTGTCTGTCTGTCTGTCTGTCTGTCTGTCTGTATTGTGTGCATTGTCTTTGCATACATGACAATCTACCTGGCACTATACAGCAATCTACAATTGACCTGGGCGGTGCTATCATGAGAGCTGTGCATGGTGTTGGGCGCCATCTCATGCAAGATGGCATCAATGAACTGGAGGACGGTATTCATGATGATCGACTCATTGATGCTTACATCAAGACCATGCAACGGTGCTATGGAACTGCATTTGAGGTCAGAGAAAGTCTTCTTTCTTCCTTCGACTTCTTTTCTTCTCTCAACTCTTCGCCTGCTGGTATCAGTTCACGCTGGCATCTCGATCCGCTTCATTTGCAATTTATTGCTAGGCGGATGTTTTGGCATGGTTGAAAACAAAAGGATGCAAAACAGCCATGCTGGGACTTGTAGTGGCACGTAGCCTCTTCCCTGAATCTTGTCTGTTGAGTGGATTGGATGGTTAGCGGCTTGGAGTGTGTATTGATGTGGTATGTGTTATGATTGTTGTTGTTCTTGTTGCAGTTTCTGTATGAGGTTGAGAGACTAGTGTCTGCGGACCAGCGTCGTATGTTTGGTATTGAGCTGTCTCACTTCATGACCGGCTGGATGCAGTATGTCTCTCATTTCTGTGACATGTCACCGCACAGCCAACCAAGGTTTGTGTTTTGCTGGAAATGTTTAAGTGCTGGGCTGTTTCTGTAAGTAAATTAGTTGAGGGAGTGGAAAAGGGAAAAGTCTGAAGAAGAAATTGACTGTCACCACCAGGCCTCTGGGCTGCACTTGTGCATTTCGTGAACTCGTTGAGAATGCATAACTTCTCCCACCACCTCCCTGGTGTGCACGGTAGTGGTGCTAGTGGAAGTAGTTACATGTAGGTTGTAGTAAGAGTACATAAGCTCCCAAGAGTGTGCAACTCTGGATACCCTTTCTATGGGGTCCGCCGGCGGCGAAAACTCACATCACGTCGTGTAGTGTTCCCGTTGTACGTTCCAACCCGTTTTAGCGACAAACGGAGTTTAAAAATAGCATTCCCTGACAGAAACCCGCCAAGCTTATGCGAGTCATCAGCATGATCATGGCAGATATCCGGACTGCACACGCGCTGGCCTTCGTTGTACGTAGTACGAGTCGACCTGGAACACGCAATGTGAGTTTTCGCCGTGGGAGATCCTGTTTGCAAAGTAGCACACTCTTGGTTGTAGGTACATGACTGATTTCAAAAAACCGTTAGGCGAGCATCTATATCGTGTACGAAGCTTCAGACTGGAATCAATGTTGTTCATGAATGGATGTTGTCATGGCGTCTGAAACCCAATATCTTGAAAACAGAAATAGTCTTTCTCCCTCAAATAGACCACCCTCCCACATTTACCCTTCCCGGACTTGATTTGGCTATTAATATTACTATTGTAGAGACGCACAGGCATTTGGGTGTTGTATTTGACTCGCAATTGTCCTGGAATTCTCACCTAGATTTTGTATGCAACAAAGTTAGCAAATCTGTAGGTTGCCTGATGTCTCACTGCTCCCACTTGTCTCCCGAATGTATTCGTCTCTTTTTTAAATGCTACCTCCTTCCTATCTTTCTGCACGGCGCCACTGCTTGGCATTCCCTGCTCAGTAAATCTGCTGTACAGACACTAGAAATACATCATAAACGTGTGTTGAAAATTATTTTTCGTAAACCCACTCTTTTCCCCTCTACTGATCTATATAGTTTGGCCTCCACCAGCCCCATCTCTATCCTGTCGCAGAGACAGTCATGCGTTCTGGTCCATCGTATTAAACTGAACATTGTCCCTGAACATCTCACCAAGTATAATTGGTTTACTTTCGCACGGGACACTCGCAATGGCATAGTACTACCCAGAGCTTTGTCAACTATGTTTACCAAATCTCCTATCTTTTCTGCATACTCGTAATGGCTCAAGCTGCCCATGGAAATGAAGACAATATCCAATATTAGACAGTTCATAGACCATGTTAAATGTCATGCCACGTTGTAGGCTCGCTTGCCTCTTTTGCTAGCTTATCTCGCCGCTCTCCACCATGGTCAACATAGTGATACATTTCACCCCGCTGATGCATTATTTTCTTCCGATTATCATCTTTTTTCCTTCATTCTTTCTTTTCTTTCTTCTCTTGCCATGGCTGGCTAACGCCCCCTCCTTTGCATTGGCTTCTGCCATTGGACGGTGAAATAATAATAATAATAATAATATCTGTGATCGCTTAAAAATTGATATGAGAGTAATTGCAGGAAGGACCTGAGCAATATTCCGAAAAAAAATTCTCAAAAAGCTCCAGCCCAATTTGAAATATTTCAAAAATACCATGCGTCTATATTTTTGAAATGGACTGTAGTAGCTTGTTGGGTCTCATCAGGGGAGCTCAGAGTCACTGTACTGTAAAACGGGTAATTTTAGCGGATTTTCGCCAATCGAATTTATGCATGCATAGTACAGTACTATCACCTCTTCTTCTTCTTCTTTTTTTAACTCTGAACCTCGGATCGCTAAAATATTTCATCGTGAATTGGTCCTGATTCAGAAAACGCTGAAATTAGCCGTTCTACTGGATTTAGAATCACGTATATAATTATGCTATACTGTAGAGAAGAGTTGAAAGTGAGATGAGTCTAAAGTTTAATGATTTGCGAAAATGTCCCACTAAGCGGAGGAATAACATACGTGTAACGTTTCTTGAGTTAACGATGGTTTCTTTCTCGTTCAAACGTTCCACTTTGTGCCCCGTTAGATATTCAACTCTTACAGTATATAGAGAGGAAAAAAACATTAGTTTGTACACTGTAACCGTACCGTGGCATATACACTCGCCAATATACTGGGTTGCCAATACAGGGGAAGCAAGGGTTGTGCAAAGTCCAGCTCATCTTTCTTCACGTGGATGGTCGAGGCATAACATTGAGCTCATGTGCTTTCTCTGGTGAAATCTTCAGGTGGATGGCGCAGGGCCTAAGCTTCGTGACCCTATCCTGTCGCGAGGACTTTCTGCAGGGACTGTCTGAAGATGATTATCAGGTGAGGAGGGATGAAGTGCTGTAGCCGAGCCCATCATTTTTAACTCTACTCTCCTTTTTTTCTGAGAAGAGTAGAATGTCGAACGTGCACTCTCTCACTGCTTACGCTATTGCACAGAGTTCTTAGTACACCTTGTATCCGTAATCCTGTTCATCTGCTTAGTGCTCGTATTCTCAGGCTGCATGGAAGTACAGTATTTCCTCTCTTTTTGTGGCTTTTGCAGCACTTTTCCTTTGAAGTGACCGAGTTCTTGGAGAAGTTCCAATTTAGCACCAAGTCTGATGATGATTACGACAGCTCTCCGCATCCCGAAGAATGTAAGCTGTTTGTTTGTCTATATGTGTATCACTCATTCACTGATGTGCGTGTGGCCGTGTTTGAATCTTTGCATGTATCTCTGTAATATGTCAGTGGTTTGGTTTGACGATACATCATGTTGCCCCTCGTCACGCAACCATCAACGATATACCTATTCTGTTCCCTGTGCTGGTGGGGGCGTTGTGTGCTTTGTTGCAGCACCGTGGCAATCTATGGATGCAGATACATCCCCATCCAAGCCACGATCAACCCTGGCAACTCCAATCCTGGTGCGGCATCGCTCTAAGATGATAGCTCGTCGTACTAATAGTGCACGTGTGTTGCGCTGGTACAGCAGTGCTAGTGGCAGTAGTAGCCCTATTGTACATGCGTATGATCCTGTTGAAAGAGGCTCTTCACTGCCTGTGGGACTGCCACGCTCAGCAGCTATTGATGTTGCTGGCGGGCTTGAGGACTCCATGTCAAGTGCTGACGAAGCCCACAGCAGTGCGACTCGTCGTAAACGCTCTATATCTGAGCCGGTGGGCATCGCGTCCCTTGAATGCAGATCTCTTTCTCCTGTGATCGGCTCACCAAACGATGCTCCGGTTGAGGCCCGGAGGATTCTGGAAAGTTCAGCTGGTATGGCAGGTTTGGCAACAGACTCTGCTCAGTGGTCTCTGAAGCGCAGTGATGACTGTGAGGAAAGCAAGTCTCTCTCTCCACGTGTCTCTCTCTCCACGGGTCTTATTGCCACCACCACGCCAGAATCCAATGGTGAAGATGCAGACGATAGCGGAGTTACGGCGACACCATCACCTGCTTCCCTGGATAGTCCAGCATGTGCATCTCCGTTCTTCTTCTCCTCTCGCATCCAACGCTGTCAGGTCAGTCTGGAGAAGCTGGATGAAAAGCGTTCGACGGCACTGTTGGGTAAACGCTTGGTGGGCAAAGTGATGAGTCCATCGTTCCGTCCATCCGGCAAAAGCAGCATTATCTCACTCAAGTTGAAACAGGTCAGTATGGCACATGTCAGTATCAATTCTTGTCTTGACTTTTACTTGCATGGCCTGTGAAGTGATGTTCTTATGCAAGAAGCGTGTGCATCCCAAATCCCCGTAGAGGTTGCACGCTCACAGTCCTGTGTTAGGAGAATGCTGATCCTCTTGTGCTTAAACATCGTCAGGTACCTTAACCCTTTGGAGTCCGTAACTTTTTTGCTTCCGCAGAATTTGTGGCAGTCACGAAAATGCGCACTCCATTTCCAACATAACTTTGGTTCTACTTCACCGATTTTGAAGATCTTGGGCTCGTTGGAAAGCTCTTGATGAGAGAAATACAATGAGCCCAAACTCACCAGGAACACTATTCATTGTCCGCCACAACGCGCCCCAAACGCGAGTCCAGCTCCAGATCTGAGACGAAATCGGTCTCATGTAGCCATTTCACTGAATCTAGCTCGGAACTGTTCAAATGTTTTCGAGTAGAGGCTTACCTTGCCGTGACTTCGCGCCGCGCCGGTCCTGGCACGTGCCGCCTGTCATGAAGCTGGGAAAATCCCTTTTCTTCACGCACTGCTGACTCGCAGCACGCAGCGCAGAACATTGGAAATGTTTGATCGCTCGCCGCTCACTTACACTTCATCACAGAGACTTCGGACTTGTTCGAGGCGATAGCTGAGAGTTTTCTCTACCATCTAGACCCTTCGATTGGTGAATTTGGCCGAGAACCGAAAGTTTGACTGCGCCCACATGCATACAAAATGCCCATGGTTCGAAATCGAACCATGGACTCCAAAGGGTTAAAGAAAAAAAGAATAAAGGACTGTATCGTGAAGTATGATTGCTGCAGTTGTTGGCATTCAAGTATGATTGCTGCAGTTGTTGGCATTCAAGTTGCACTATCCCTGCTCTCATCCTTGTTTGGGAGCTGTATGATCCAGCACCGCTACCCCCGTTTGTACTCTTGGTATACACTGAGTGACCTATGCCAACAGATCACGAATGTTACTGGAACTTTTCATTCCGTTTCTCTTGCTTCGCTCCAGGTTCGATTTCGTTGGCAGCGTGGCAATAAAATTGGTAAGTACCCATACATCTTGGATCCATGCCTACTAGTAGTAATCAGTGTGCACAGAATCTGGAATTCAAACCATTGCACCTATTTCGTACTTCGAAGTACATGATGTATTTTCACCTCCTCTAACTACTGAATTTGGATGCACATGTACTAGTAATTATTTTGCTCTTGCTTTTTCTGGTTCTGTGCTATGATGCTGGTTGGCTCACACTGGCTAACTGGCAACTCCAGTGGACTCCCAGCAGGTATAGCGCACGTGTGTTTGGTAATGTTCTCATGATGGAATTGCAAACACCTTATTCTTCTACTGCTGCTCCATGTGTGTGTCTGTTGTAACTGTGACAGGTGCCGGCAAGTTTGGCCAGGTGTACTCCTGTGTCAATCTGGATACTGGAACTACCATGGCTGTCAAAGAAGTAAGTCAAGCAATAGCCTGCAACACCCGTAGCACCTGGTTTTAATGAAGTCAATGCTGATCTGACTGCCTCTGCTCCTGACTATGCTGTGGATGATAGTGATTATTATGTATTAGCATGTGTTGTCTATTCTATTGCTTCATGCCAGGCTTCTAGCCAAAGGAGGGTTGCCCCCCCCCCCCCCCCCTACTCTGATTGAGCGCACTCCTGTAAAATGTGCCCCCCCCCCCACACACACACACTCATTTTTCCATGTCTTGTGTTTTCAGGCAAATCAACGAAAATGCAGTCGATAGTCCTGCTCTGCTTCCAGCGTAATTAGAGAGGTTCTGCTACACGGAACTACGTACCAAACTCCGTGTCAACTGCAGTGAAGTTTGACACGGATTTTTCGTACGTTGCACCGGTTCTGCTGGACGTAGCATGCATGAACACCCCGCCACATGTACTCTGTACGCTCAGTTTTCACACGGAGTCCAGTCCGTGTGAAGCGCGCTTCACACGGAAAACGGTATGAAAAAATCTGCATGAAACTTGATCCCGTACCGCGGCGAGGTTTCCATACGTACTTTGGCACGTTTTACCGTGTGGCAGAACCTCACTATTATTATGAGAAGCTCTACTTGTCTTACTTTGCCTTTAGTGTTCTAATCCATGCTGTTCTTGTTCTTGTCATCATGTGAAGGTTGTGTTCCAAGGCAGCAGCAGTGGTGCAATCAAAGACCTAGCCGATGAGATCAAGATGATGGAGAATATCAATCATCCACATCTTGTTCACTACTATGGTGTTGAAATGCACAAGGTTGGTGGGTTGTTACTCTGCCCTGCGTTGAATGGTGTACATGCTAGTGCTGTGTTCTGTTTGTCAGTGTGTTTCTGACTAGACCTACACATGCACTGTGAACATTGTTGTGCAGCATTGTGACGCTGGCTGATGTGTCTCCAGGTGTGTGTGTGTGCGTGTGTGCGTGCGTGTACTAGTTGTAGTACTTTTTTTTAAGTACATATCATGTGACCATGGTGGGGGTACAAAAATACTGATAAGTTGACATTTTCGTTTGACATGATCTTCCTTTAGTTCATTTGGCATCCCGTGTGAACGAAAATTTGTTCTGAACAGATGTGGTTGGCATACCACATGTACGCAGTTCATGGGCATGGGGTGCCGGTCCCCAACCGTTGCTGAACAAGACCGATCCCATGGTAACAGCATATACATTCTTCATGCAGTGATCATGGTGATAACTCAATCGGGTCATAGACCTATATAGTGGATCCAAGTATTCATTCAGCCCCACGCGAGAACACTGGCTCTACTCCCTGCGTGGATGAGGAGAACACCGTCATCCAACATATCAGTGCTGAGTAGACGGTGAACCTCTTTCAGTAGTCTATGTATGGTGTTATGGCAAATCACTGCCGCTAGCCTTTGGGTGTCATTACGTTCATGGTAATTCCAATGCATGCCCGAATCAACGTGCCCTTCTTTGGTGTCAGTTATGCTGTGTGCACGCGTAGAGGTGATACATTTATTGTTCCTGTGTGGACCAGTCTAATCATAATTATTCCTGGCTGTTCTTTTGTGCTATTCATGCTATTCATGATGCATGTAGTAGTAGTAGTGCATCGTGTTGTGTTGTTATGCATGTCTCATGTGCCGTTTCCCGCGCGCGCGTGAAACGGACTTCGCGGCTTGTAGTTTCTGTGCATAATTAGTTGAGTCGGCGTCTTGTTGTTTGGACTGGAGACTACACCGAGTTGTGTTCTTTTCGTTGTTTCAGTCAGTTACAGCTTGCAGTTATTCCTCTCGTGTAGTTCAGTTGCTTTACTAGTGTCTCATCCTGAAGTAAAGATTATTCGTTATTATCTCTGTGAGTCAGATCCCTCTCTCGTCTAATGGTAGCAGAGGATGGTTATCTTCACCTAGTCGGAAGTCCATCGGAGCGAGATGTCTGAACACAGCGACGATATCAGTCACGAGCGGAACAGGGTCACGGTAGGCGAAGATGTTGGGCCTGGCCATGATGTTGAGCCTGGCGATTATGTTGAGCCTGGTAATACGGACGGCCAGGAAGAGCAAGTCAACGATGCTGTGGCCTCGGCATCTGCAGACATGAGAGTGGCAAAAATTCAAATGAAACGGCGCTTGACGTCGCGGCGACGAGGCTTGATTTTGCAGATCCGTGACGAGAAGTTGAGTTTGGATGCCGTGAGAGACGAATTCGAGGCAGTGCAATGGTTCGCCAACGAGGTGAATCAGGTGTTGGAGTCACTGGTGACGTGTTTTCAAGCCGAGAAAAAGGGCAAAGCAGTCGACGCAGCAATAACGGAGCTGGAGGAAGTGGCAGAAGCAATGGCGCACCTGGAGCAGCAGGTGGAGATGTATGAGGAGCAACAACATATTCGTGCGCGTCATTCCGCAGGGTTCAGTCAGTACCACCCTGTTATGCCATCAAGCTTTAACGCTGCTCACGACCCATTTGGTGGGGTGTCAGGAACTGCTCAGTCTGCGAGTTCTGCACAGTCCGCTAGACCGTCTTCCGCGCCTGGTGGCGTCAGTGCGGACTTCACTCCTGTCACAAGCAACACGGACACATCTGCAGCAAGCAACACATTCAGCACCAACAGGCCTGTCAGTGCCAGTGTCTCAAGTAAAAGCGCAATCACCTCACTTTCTTCGTCTGTAGGTGCACCCACAAGCTCCAGCTCTACTCCACCAGCCAGTGTGAGTGCAGGGAGCAGTCACCACTCCAGTTCTAGTACCAGTAGTAGCCATAGCATCAGTTCCCGCACAAGTAGCAGTGCGCCAGCAGCAGCAGCAGCAGCAGGACCCACAGTGCCACTGAGTCAGGCCAGCAACACCAGCGCACCTGTAGCTGTACAAGCAACCAATAGCAATGTACTGCCCAGGCAATCAGCCCCTGTTCACTCCAGCAGGGTACACACAGCAGTCATGAGTGGAAGAAGCCAGAGACCAGCCCATACATTACACCAGTCTGTGGCCGCCGTCCCATTTGTACCTCGAGCCAGTTTCAGGCCTACACAGAGTGTGGCACATGGCCATGGCGACAGCTACAATGGTCTACCAGTACCAGCTCCATCGAGGCCATCTAGTTTTGCTGCACCACCAGCTGGAGCCACAGACGTCTTCAGCAAAATGAGAAGCATTTCAATACCCGTGTTCGATGGTGATAAGCGTGCCTATGAGTTATGGAAGGCCACGTTCCTGGCGTGCGTGGACAGTGCGCCAATCAGCCCAACCCTGAAGCTGTTGCAGCTACGACAGTATGTAGCGGGAGAAGCGCTAAGATGCATCGAGCGGCTAGGGTACGCCCCGGACTCATATCACAAGGCAATGGAACGCCTGGAACGGAAATTCGGAGGTACGCGGCGCCAAGTGATGGTGTACTTAGATGAACTGGAACGATTCAAGCCATTGCACGGAGATCGAGTCAACGCACAAGATCTGGAACAGTTCTCAGATTTGTTGGAAGTAGCCGTGACCAACTTGAAAGCAGCGGGTCGCCAATCGGAGCTAGAGGTGGGCACTCTGTACGCGCGAATCCAGCAGAAGCTGCCAGAAGACCTGCTGACAAGATACCATAGGTGGCTCTATGAGCATCAGCGCCCAGAAGGGGTGGAGGCGTTGCTCGAGTGGGTCAATCTCGAGGCCGACTTTCACATTACTGCCAATGAAGCCATCGCAGGCCTAGCACCTAGTCGCCATAGACATGGCCGAGAGCGCCCAGCAGCCCGAGGCCACTCATTCCATGCAGCAGAGTCACCCAATCCGACACCGGCAGCGTGTCCAGTATGCTCCCAGGACCATCAAGTGTGGACATGCAAAGAGTTCAAGGAAATGGATGTGGACAAGCGTTGGAAAGTGGCGAAAACACATCGGCTCTGCTATCGCTGTCTGGGCAAGGGCCACCGAGGTGCTGACTGCCAGCGGAAGAGAAAGTGTGGCGTAGACAAGTGCAGCGATACCCACGACTATCTACTTCACAGGGCAGTAGCCATTGACACGTCTAGAGCCAGCAATGGCACGGAAAGGGGTCGCACCAGTGAGACAGCCAGAACTACAACCACTGCTAACATCGGAGCAGGCGCCAGACCGTTGTCACTGAGAACCTTGCCGGTCGTTTTACGAAACGGTGACCGCAACCTCAGGGTGAATGCGCTGTTGGATGATGGGAGCACCCAAAGTTATGTGAACACAGAGGTAGCGGACCAGCTCAACTTGCAGGGACCCATGAAACGGGTTTCGATCAGCACCCTCACCGGAGCAGTGGAGTCTTTCGAGTCAATGCCAGTGGATCTGCTGGTAGAGAGTGTAGATGGCAAGTTCATCAGTCCGTTCTCAGCCATCACAACTAGTCACGTCACAGGCACACTGAAACCGTACGATTGGACCGTCGAGTCAAGTCAGTACCATCATCTGCTGGACATACCCTTCGAACAGCCAGCAACTCGCCAGATTGATATGCTGATTGGCCTGGATCATGCCGAGCTTCACTACTCTCTGGAGGAGGTGAGGGGTGATCAGGGAGAACCGGTGGCGAGGAGAACCGCGCTAGGTTGGACCTGCGTTGGACCTGTGAGTGAAAGCTCAGATCATCACCGCACTCACTTCAGCAGAGTCGATGACGGTAATCTGGAGATGCTGGTCCGGCGTATGTGGGAGGTGGAAGAGCCTCGCCGACAGAGCCCGCTTGCAGCAAATGACCGACAAACTCTTGCAGATGCAGAGGCATCAACAAAGTACTGCAACGGCAGGTACACCGTCAAGCTGCCTTGGAAGAGAAGCCCGCCAGAGGAGAACGGTAGCTACGAGATGGCACTGAAGAGACTGCGCTCGACGGAGAAACGCCTCCACAAGGAACCAGAAGTAGCAAAGGAGTACTGCCGTGTACTGCAGCATCATGTGAACGCTGGATACGTGACTGCAGTAAAGCTCAAGTCAACAGGTGGTTGGTACCTCCCGCACTTTCCAGTCACCAGACCAGATGCAACAACAACTAAAGTGAGGGTGGTCTTTGACGCATCAGCCAAATGCAAAGGAGCAAGCCTGAACGACTACCTCCACCCAGGACCGAAGCTGCAGAGAGAGCTACCGCACATATTGCTGCGATTCAGGGCAAAGCCAGTTGCTATCGTGGCCGATGTAGCAGAGATGTACCTCCAGATCGAGCTGTCTGAAGATGATCAGAAATTTCATCGTTTTCTGTGGCGGGACTTGGATGCGTCAAAGGAGCCAGTCGCCTACCAGTACCAACGGGTGGTGTTTGGCGTGAATTCGTCCCCATTCCTAGCACAAATGGTGTCTCAGAAGCGTGCTGAGCAGCTAAAAGAAGAAGTCCCACGTGCTGCGGAGGCGGTGTTGAAGTCGACTTTTATGGATGACACTATGGATTGAATTGCCCTAACAGTACAACAGTCGTCCAGTTTTGCAGCCATTTATGTTTCTGTACAGCTAGCTTATAGCTCGTTACATTTCGTTTTCTTTTCTGATAGTTCATTTTAGTTGTATCAACGTTGATACTTACCGGTAGTTGTATCAAGGAGGGTGGAATGAGTAGACGGTGAACCTCTTTCAGTAGTCTATGTATGGTGTTATGGCAAATCACTGCCGCTAGCCTTTGGGTGTCATTACGTTCATGGTAATTCCAATGCATGCCCGAATCAACGTGCCCTTCTTTGGTGTCAGTTATGCTGTGTGCACGCGTAGAGGTGATACATTTATTGTTCCTGTGTGGACCAGTCTAATCATAATTATTCCTGGCTGTTCTTTTGTGCTATTCATGCTATTCATGATGCATGTAGTAGTAGTAGTGCATCGTGTTGTGTTGTTATGCATGTCTCATGTGCCGTTTCCCGCGCGCGCGTGAAACGGACTTCGCGGCTTGTAGTTTCTGTGCATAATTAGTTGAGTCGGCGTCTTGTTGTTTGGACTGGAGACTACACCGAGTTGTGTTCTTTTCGTTGTTTCAGTCAGTTACAGCTTGCAGTTATTCCTCTCGTGTAGTTCAGTTGCTTTACTAGTGTCTCATCCTGAAGTAAAGATTATTCGTTATTATCTCTGTGAGTCAGATCCCTCTCTCGTCTAAGTGCTGTTGCGGTTGTCGGGAAACACGTTTAGCTGCTACTCGGGATATGACAGACGTATGCGTGCCTGTATTCGTGTGTGCGTGCGTGCATGGGGCGTGTCATTTGCAGGAGGAGCTGTTGATCTTCATGGAGTACTGTTCTGACGGAACTGTACATGATCTTGCCAAGCAAGGTCCTCCGGAGAGTCTAGTTCGTGTCTTGGTCCACCAACTCCTGCAGGCTGTGCAGATTCTGCATGACAACTGTATTGTTCATGGGGACATCAAAGGTGCCAACATCTTCCTGACTCCAACTGGTGGTGTGAAACTTGGTGACTTTGGGTCGTCGGTCAAGTTGGCAGATGTTGCTGGTACAGCGCACGGTGAAGTACTGGGCATGCGTGGCACCGTGGGTAAGCTATTTTGGACATGTACACGGATACACTGTGTGTACAGCATTACTCTTGCAAGTCATACTGTGTACTAGATCATCTTTAGTCTTCACCATGTTGTTGCTGGCACGAGTGAATTTGTAAGCTGTAACGGAAGTCAGCTGCTGCAATCGCAAGAAAATAAAAGGTGACGTGAAGAAGGCCAAAGCATACCAGGACTTGAATTAAGGACCCTGCTGTTAGAGCACGCCAATGTCAGTGTTCTTTCCGTCCAAACGCCCAGTCCCAGTTCACAGTGTTTATGTTCTTCAGTAAGTAGCCAGTAGTACTCAACTAGCTCTTGTTTGCTAGCACGTACTGCCATTCGTTCTGACGACAGCTCTGTGTGTGTGTGTGTGTGTGTGTGTGTGTGTGTGTGTGTGTGTGTTTGTGCGTATGTGTGCGTGCTTGTGTGTGTGTGTGTGTGTGTGTGCTTTCCTAGCCTTCATGGCGCCAGAGGTAATACATCAAAATCAAGGCCGTGGTTTTGGTCGACCTGCTGATCTTTGGAGTGTGGGCTGTGTCCTGGTGGAGCTCGTGACCGGAAAGGTATGTGCAGTACCGATGTGTGTACAACACCTGGCAGTCTGTCCGTTCAGTATCAACTCAGATACAGTTACGCTCACAGAAATCCGACCCGAAGTGCAAAACTGACGCCCTGGCCCCTGGACCAGTTCCGATTACATCACTGTCCTTGTTCATGTGTACGTCCAGCCACACTCGTACAACTTCCAGGGCGTCAAGGGCCTTCTACTACATATTGGCCTGTTTATTATGAAACACATTAATATACCATCAGGCAAGCAGGCATAGTGGGATGGTCGAAGATCAGGATTGAGAGGCAGAGAGTAATACTACTCACCTCCCACTCCTTTAGGAGCTGCATCTGCACCTTGATCCTAGAGGGTAGTGGCGTTCCTCGGAAACTCAGTCTGACTAAGCCTCACGTGAACCGTGAATCTTTAAAAAATTTCCACCAGTCGCATGGGGCCCAATGTATCGTTGTGCGCATCACTTCACGTGCACATTTTGGGTTGCTTGTGGGGTAGCTCACAGCTATGATCGCAGCTAATGAAGACGAGCTTTAGCAACCAGAGTAACTTACATAGCTCCCAAGAGATCCAGTATGGGTGCTCCCCCGACAGAATTTTAAGTTGACGTCATTTAAATTTTTATGATGCAATGCACATTGCTCATGTGTTATCAGATGTATTCTGGACCTATGGTGAGGACAAATCCCCATTTGATCATGTACAAACTAGTTCAAGGAAACACACGTGATGCATTGACACCCCGTACAAACGTGATAAAGCACTCGTGCACGGAGCATTGCATCATTATAATGACATCAACTTGAAATTCTGCCGGGAGATCAGAGTATTCGTGAGCTAGTTGCACACTCTTGGTGGTTATGTACTGTTGACACTCTTGGTGGTTATGTACTGTTGGCGGCAAGCATTCTTGTTGTAGTTGTGCTGTCCCAGTGAACATGACAGTGTTGTGATATTGTGTGCTTTGCTGTAAGAGTGTAAGTGCATACATATCTGGGTGTTTTTTGAACTTTTTTCTTCTTCTCTTCGTGTGTGTTTGATATCAGCACCCATGGAGTGAATATGACAATGAATTCTCGATCATGTACCGTGTCGGTGATGGTATGACACCAGCCATTCCGGAAATTCTGAGTGTTGAAGGTGCTGATTTCCTCAAAAAGTGCTTTGTTGCTGACCCGGAGGATCGCTCCTCAGCCAGCCAGCTTCTGGATCATTTGTTTGTTCGAGCGAGTGAGTCTCTCTGATGCCTGGAGCAAGTGAGTGATAGCTTAGATAGATTTGTTCTGTTCCTCTTCTATTTTACCAAATATTTTCCTTTTACTCCTTTGCTGCATATGAATATGTAAAAAATTCTACCTTGACATTGAATTCATCTAACATTGCACACGTGATAGCATCTGCTTATTTCATACTGAAGTTACTTTGGTAGCTGTGGCTTTCCAAGAAGTGAATGCTTTCCTCTCTTTATTTTTTGAAATATTTGTGCCAGAATTGAGTTTCTCTCTCTCTCTCTCTCTCTCTCTCTCTCTCTCTCTCTCTCTCTCTCTCTCTCTCTCTCTCTCTCTCTTTCTCTTTCTCTTTCTCTTTCTTTCTCTGTTGAGATCATTAAAGGCGTTTCTCCCTGCTGCTTGGCCCTGACTGACTGCATGTGCCGCTTACTTTTATGCGATAAATTTCATGCTCACACGTCCACGAAACGGTTACTAGTATTCCATTGTGGAATATCATCATGGATATAATATACATCAGGTATAATACTTTTTTTAAGCTTCTGTTCGTTGAACTAACATCACTTGCCATTTGCCTCTTGCCGTGGTTGCTTCTGTACATACTCTTGAGTTGAAAATAATGTGCACACTTGCAATGAATGTCCACGGTCGTTCTGTTTGTTTTGTGTTCACGCTGGGGACTTTCCCTGATGCTATAGCCCCATATGCTGTACATGCTATTTATACCCTCCTGGCTCTATCTCTCTCTCTCTCTCTCTCTCTCTCTCTCTCTCTCTCTCTCTCTCTCTCTCTCTCTCTCTCTCTCTCTCTCTCTCTCTCTCTCTCTCTCCCCCCCCCCTCTCTCTCTCTCTCTCTCTCTCTCTCTCTCTTCCTCCCTCCCCCCCCCCCTTCTTGCTGCTGCTGCGATTTTATTTTTATGCGCTCACATCACCTGTGACTTTCTGTTCTTGCTTGAGTTCAGCAAGTACAAGTGTATAGTTATGCACTTGTACTGTGCAATTTGCACTTCCATGTCTGGGTTACTCTGTACGACGTTGAGATAATCAGATAAAGCTTATTAGCTACCAGCTGGTGTGCAACATCGTACATGCCGCATGTAGCAACGCGGCATGTACCAACATCATTTTTGTCACTCAACAGCTTGCAGCTGGACACTACTGTATCATGATGGGGTTCAGATGCAAGTCATCATAGACATTGCCCACTTAAGTTAAAGTCTTTACTTGAGTTGCCTGCATGCCGCGTCATTTCCATGGTTGGCAAAACTGTTTTATATTATGACTGCCGGTGCACCGGTGCTGGACTGATCATTGTGTATGTTCTGACCTACATTACACTATACACTTAGTGTAAGGGGCTGTCCGTAAATATCGAACATTTTTCACCAAACGAATTATTTTAGTTTAGACCCAACCCCTCCCTCCCCCTCAGAACGTAAAAAATGTTGACATACATGCATATACATGTACAACAAAAGTTGCAAGTGTGTTATTGCTCCAACGGCCATGTACATACATCAATGTTTTCTGAAACGAAATTGGTCAACCCTCTCCCAGCTCACTCAGCACTGCATGCACTCGCGCTCGGCGGATCGGCTGCATGCAGGCATGCATGGTAGACCGACTGAGCATGAGACTACCTAAGTACTAGTAGTACCTGTGTATACGTGTAGTCGACTGTGCAGGCCATGTACTGCGCAGTGAGTCGTGCACCACGTGCCTTCAGGGGAAACCCCTGCCGGACCAGGCATGTGGTGCATCTTCAAACAAGAAACATCGTGGCGAAATTATTTTCTGGGTTGTGTTTTGTTTTGGAAAAGAAACCTTTCAACCCTTACTTGAGATCCACAATGTCTCTTCAAGAGCGTCTATTGAGTATCGTGGAGAAGAAGAAGTCTAATCTTTGCGTGGCTGCGGATTTCGAAAACAGCGCCGATGTTCTCCGGATAGCAGAGCAAGTTGGACCACACATATGCATGCTGAAAACACACGCTGATATCCTGGTAGACTTCTCTCAGGAGTTTGTCACGTCGTTGCAGGACTTGGCCAAGAAGCATAATTTCCTGATTTTCGAGGATCGCAAGTTTGCAGACATTGGAAAAACAGTTCAGCATCAGTACTCTGCAGGTACGTTGAAAATCAGCAGCTGGGCTGACGTTGTTACAGTGAATGTCCTGCCAGGTCCAGGAGTCATTCAGGGTCTCAAAGCTGCACTATCTGAACAGGAGCAAAGATCACGTGGTTGCCTGGTCATTGCTGAAATGAGCTCAGCTGATAACTTGGCCACTGCAGACTATACGAAACATGCTGTGGAAATCGGCGAGGCAGCCGGTGACTTTCTCTTGGGATTTATCTGCCAGCATCGTGTTTCGCAAAAGCCAGGTGTACTGCACTTCACACCAGGAGTGAAATTGCAAGCCGGAGGCGACAACCTGGGCCAATGTTATCTGACGCCGGAAGAAATCGTTGGACGCCGTGGTTGTGACATCATCATAGTTGGCCGGGGAATATGTCAAGCAGATTGTCCTGCAAGCACAGCTCAGACTTACCAGAAGGTTGCATATGAACTATATCAGAAGAGGCAGTGAAAGGATATGACTGTGGTATGTTTTTAGGATGTTTGGTTTTGGTTAAAGAATTTTATAATGTCAACTCTCCAATTCTCGGTTTCTTGGCCTTCGTCTCTCTCTCTCTCTCTCTCTCTCTCTCTCTCTCTCTCTCTCTCTCTCTCTCTCTCTCTCTCTCTCTCTCCCTCTCTCTCTATTTCTATCTGTCTTTCTGTCTGCCTCATCTTTTCTGTCTCTCTTCCACCTTTTCCCAAGTGGGTTGAGTGTGGTAGGCCTCGTTTGGTGTGACTAGTGTGCTAGTGTTATGAATTAGAATTTAGAACTCTCCCATGGTTAATTCCGGCCCCTAGGTGTCCACCTACTGTAGAATGGTTCCTCAGAATGCTGGCGTACACCAAAGGGTAGGTCTGGGTGCCTGTGTGTCAGCTGGTACAGTGCATGAATGAATCACCGGTATGTCATATACCTACTACCCACTATGGTCATTGGGTTTGGTCAGTTTTTACAAAGCTACCCCTGTCACAGTTTTGCAATGCCTTTGCCCCCCAATATAGGAATACCAGTGCATGTACTGTACACATCTTCTGCTGCCTCAAGAACAGGGCGTCGCAAAGATGAGACAAGATTTAGAATGAAGTGAAGTTGGCACATCTACATCTAGGACATCACCGGTTCCAGGTGTGTTGAGGAGTACAGGCAGCTCAGGAAGTTTTGCTTGTACCGGATCCTTGCTATGCCTGATTATCCTATATTGGGGGGGGGGGGGGGGGGGGAATGCATTGCCAAACGGTGAGAGTGAGGGTAAATCTCACGACAAAATACCTGATATTAAAGGGGCAAGGGCTTGTTAGTTGCGCTTAGGTTGCCCTCACTTTAAGTTCTGTAAACTGCCTAATATTCGCGGCGGATTACTGTTCGCTATTTTCGCGAGAAGAGCGTATCGCGAATATTATTAAAGGGGAAGTTAAGGCAAAAATTAAAATTTCACCAGTTATAGTCTTCGGGGTGCTGAGTCGAATGGTCTTGGTCCGAGAAAGCTGAGACGCTCCCTTCCTACTTGAATCCCAATCGAACTCGCGCAATTCCACCGAAACTGGGTGACTGCGCCCTACTAGATGGGGATTTGTATGCAAAATGTCACTAAAAGCGCCATTTCGTTCTTATAAAAGCACGGATGACCGCGATTTGGCCCATATGTTGTAGTCTTTTGGACGCTGAGTCGACTGGTTTTGGTCCGAAAAGGCTGCGATGCAGCGTTCCTCCTTTATTCCCAATCGAACATGGTTGAACAAGCGGTCACGTGCTCCTGGTTGCCCAAATCACCTGGTCACCACGCCAGCAGGCGACAACTTTCACACCAAGGTTCAACTCGAGTGACAGGACTGCACCCAGAAAAGGTCAAACAGGCTAGTAAGTTGTACCCTGCAGGCACGGTGACCAGGTGACTGGCGTACGCAGGAGCACGTGACCGCTTGTTCAACCATGTTCGATTGGGAATAAAGGAGGAACGCTGCATCGCAGCCTTTTCGGGCCAAAACCAGTCGACTCAGCGTCCAAAAGACTACAACATATGGGCCAATCGCGGTCATCCGTGCTTTTATAAGAACGAAATGGCGCTTTTAGTGACATTTTGCACACAAATCCCCATCTAGTAGGGTGCAGTCACCCAGTTTCGGTGGAAGTGCGCGAGTTCGGTTGGGATTCAAGTAGGAAGGGAGTATCTCAGCTTCCTCGGACCAAGACCATTCGACTCAGCACCCCGAAGACTACAACTGGTGAAATTTTAATTTTTGCATTAACTTCCCCCTTAACAAAGTAAAGTAAGTAAAGTTTGCACGTCCGCGTTACCACCGGCTATACAATTGCGTTGAGAAACACAACCAGCTTAGGAAGTTTCGCATGTGCCAGGCCACCACCATGCCTGTGATACCAGGGTGGCAGATGCAACAACCAGCGTGAAATCAAACGTCAACAGTGGGTGTATGTAGGTGGGCCCAGTGCTTCGCAAACTTTTGCCATCGCAAACTCGCTGGTTCTAAGAAATCGCGACAATTTATTGACGTGAACATTGGGCGGTTTACAGTAATGAGTACCCCTGGCTGCCTCACAGGGTCAGTTTAACGTTAGTTCATTAATTGTATGGGAAGCGCTTCACACATGCATGCATCACCACATTTATCTGCACAGTGCTGGAGGGGTTCACATTCGTGTACCGTACTATCCTGTGCCAGGGCCTCAGTTCTGTTTTTAGCACTGGGCCAGAAATCTGCCCAGCTGCTTTCCCCGCACATTCATTTTAGTTCAAAAGCTAGTGAAACCCCCCTAATCCAGGCACTTTTGTCTACCGGTCTGACCCATCTGGAGTCACAAAAATTGGCTTTTCAACGGAAAACGGCCCCAAAACTACTGATTGGCATAAAATATTGCTTACTTGCATTCAGTAAGTATGTATGTTCTGAGTTACAGGCTATTCCTAGTTATGGGCAGTACTCGGTTCCAACCTGCCCGGATTATGGGCAGTTTCCTGTATTGGAATGTGACATTTTTCCGCCAGGAAGGAATGTAGTTTCTTGACACTGCTGCGTGGTTGGCCCAGAAATATACGGCAAGCTTCTTTTAGAAGTGGTTCTGTAGTGGTTGCATCGGTACTTTGTATGTGGTGTAGCTACTGTGCTCGTTCATTAGGCTATCGGTGCTGGAACCCTCCGAAACACACACACACACACACACACACACGCACGCACACCAATGCCATGATCAGAATGTTCTAAATGTTCTTATGCGACTGCTGTACACTGTAGTTGCTGGAGGCACTAATTCAAGGCCATGCAGTACCATAGCTGGCATTGTCACCTGCTGTCTGGAGCTAGGACAGTACCACCGGAATGGGTGCCAGTTGTCAGGAACCTATGGCTTTTTTGTACAGCTATAGGGTGACTGCTGAAAGAAAATATTTTGCTTGGGTGTATTATGTTAGACAAACAGACACACGAATTAAAGGATGCATGTGTACCTCGGTCCTTAATTCGGTCATGCGCATACTGTAAGACATGTTATTATAAATAATTATTTATAACAAGTCGCAAAAATTTACGATTGTCCAAAATACATAAGAACAAGAAGATACGCTAACAATCTTGCAGTCTTCAGCCGTATCCGCATAACACATACAATCATGTATGATGCATTACCACCGCAAACAGAACTTATTACCCGTATCGAAGAAATGTCACTCGTTAAAACTTTAGTTTCATTTCTTCGTTTAATATAGATGTATGTACTTCATGTCTTACAGTAGGGGCTAGCAACAACGGTAACGTTGCCCCCGTTCCTTCACAGCATCGTAGACCACAGTCAAGAGCACACACATGCACGCATGCTCATACTCCTGCCGTCGCTGAAGCGATGATATCGAACAAGCTATATTAGAAATAGCAACTTGTGCTGTGATTACACCATTCAACAGCTTGCAAGGCTGATGAATTTACCGCCACTAATTTTAGCCCGGTGCGCATACACCCCCCCCCCCCCCACACACACACACACTTGCGCGCGGGCAAAGTGCTGGTTCTTGAAGTAGAGGGAAAGTGAGAAGAGCTATGCAGTTCATGGTCTGGCTAACGGCACAACGCGGAACAAGCTATAGATGAGTAAACATGTTATATACAATGCAAGATAGCTGGAGGTGATGACGATGTGTGTTGCTAGGGCGACAATGTGTGTTGCTACTTGTGGAAGTCAAATTCACTCACATTTGCAGTTTGATTCAAAGCAAATACCTACAAAGAAAGTTTCCCAGTGCCACCAAGAAACAGAGCACCAGTGCTAGTATTAAAGAGAAAGCAGCATTCTCTGGTAGCACATTGGTCATTCACGGCTATTGAAAGTTATAACATGAAATCATCTTAGAACCGTGCCACTGAAAGAAAAAGGAGAAAAAAATGAAGTGGCACAACAACAAAAACATTGCATATGACCCAACTAAATTTACATACTGCAAATCCTTTAAAATTCCGTCCAATTGTCGCCACGCCAGACACAATAGAGGAACTAACTGGCCGCCAGCAGCAGCAATTCTCTTCCTCTGGAGAGAGATTTCACAAGACTAGCACTCACAAACACTCACAAACACGCACGCACACACACACACACACACACACTTTGCTGAACTAACTACATTCATGGCTAAGCTAAAGCGCAAATGGGAAAACTGAACGTCATACCCAACTGCAAAGCATGTATGTGCTTTGACTAGAAACAGGTATACACGAGCACAAAGGGAACAGCAGAAAGTGAAAGAAAAAAAAACACTAAAACAATTACTATAGTTGTGTAGTATCAGCCAGTCCGCACACGCACAAGCAGGCGCGCACAGTTCTTGTCGGCGTTTGTCTGAACCAGCAGCGGTGAGAGGCTTGGCGTAGTCGATAAAGATCGAGGAATATGCACACACCAGTGTACACACAGCCAGTGCTTTCAGACTAGTCCGTTTGAATTGTATATAGTCATGTTGTGCAGTTACATCGTCATCGGTGTCATCATTATCCGCAGCAGCGGCAAGTATGATAGGATCATAACATAACAGACTCGATGAGAACTCAATTGTGGGCTTAGAACACGTACAAGCCACGTAGAGGATATAACGATAAGATGGTCACCCTGGCAGTGTAGGAATCTCTCCTTTCCATCAGCAACGTAATACCACACAATCACAATCACGTGTGCACGCACACACAAACACACGATATATATATATATGCTGACACCCACATGTACACACACACAGACACACACACGGGCACCAGCACTGTTACTATGTACTGACAGGGGAGGTATGTACAAGGTTAGGGAACGGACTTGCCTGACATCATTAGCTTTGTGTTGGCTTCTTCCATCTGCAACCATCGTCATACTGTATACGCCAAAGCAAAGCAAGTCATCACGGCGTAGACGTTGTCATGGCTGGCTATTGCTGGACTCCTAGAGATTGGCTAATACCAACTGGCATCACGACTGGCTAGGGTTGCGCTCATGGAGATTGGCCAGCGAATCATCACGGCGCGGCGGCACACGCTCGTTAATCCTGTCCAGCGTAAGCGCATCCTGGAACGACTGGATATCTTGGTCCTGCACATCCAGTAGCGTTTTCTGCAGTGTCTCAGCACCACCAGACAGAGCACCGGGCGGGAGCTGACCGCCGGGCATAAGACCTTTGAGCTTCAGCACCATTTCCTTCTCTTCGCGGAGCACGGCAAATGTTCGCGACATGCGACCAATTGCACGTATCTTACCGCGGATGACTTCCTTGCGTTGCGCAGTCATGCCAGCGCCAGTAGGTTCGTCCTTGTCCGCAGCGGTCTCCTCCAGCTCGTCATCTGGGCATGCGTTGAGAATATGCACCAACATCTCGGTGACTTTCTCCGCAACAAACGGAATGGACCAGGTGAACACATCCATAAAGTTGGGCAGCCAGTATGGGTGAGGCGAGCAATTGAATTGACGGATGTTCATCACATTATTCTCGTACTTCAGCACAGCCGCCTTGTTTCCGTATACATCCAGATAATTTGGAGCAGAGAATATTGTAATCAGCGATGGGAAACCTGTCGCCTGGGACTTTCGGTACATCCTGTAACCTTGGTCCTGCGCCTCGTGAGCTCGGATCACCGACAGAAGGTTGTTCGACTCGAGGAACTCGCAGGTAGCCGCGTAGGTGAAGAAGTACGAACATCCTCGCACGCTGTTGTGCATGTAATGGTCGGTGTTTTTCTCATTACCGAAATCCTCGCATGGATCGGCCCAGAGGAGGTCGCACATGGGACCGAACGCCGGTGGTTCGCGAAAGCGATCGATCTGGTTGATGTCCTCCAGCGAGTGTATCTCTGGCGATAGTCCGCCGTGGACGCACAAAAACTGTTGGTTCATGAGCGCTGCCAGCGGTAGGGCATCAAACGACTCCATGCAGCGATCGTACAGCGCCTCGGTGTATTTCACCTTACACTCGGACTTGAATGTGAAATAGTCCGACAAATGACGACACTCATGGTTGCCACGAAGTAGGAACAGTGTCTTGGGATGAAGGATCTTGAACGACCAGAGATAGAGCACACATTCCATGCTGAAGTAACCTCTGTCGACATAATCACCGAGGAACAAATAGCGGGTATTGCTGGGACTGCCACCAACGTCGAAAAGCTTGACCAGGTCGAAGAATTGCCCGTGGATATCGCCGCACACGGTCACCGGTGCTTCCACCTCAAGAATGTTGCTTTCCTTTCTCAATATACTCGTTGCGTCGTCGATGATTTTATTCGCCACTTCCTCTTCGACGCGGCCCTCCTTGAGAAAGTGCTCCTTGAGAGCAGCAATGTTGGGCTTTCCGTTCTCATCGAACGCGTCCTTCATGGAGAGAAACTGTTTGGGCGGCATGGCTACACTGGACACGACTCTCTCCGTCGTACTCAATCGGCCAGTGTCCCCTTCGGTAGCCGCCATTGGCTCTTCGCCTCCTGTCGCCATCTCAATATACGCGCACTGCAGGACTCACTGGGATGGTATGCGGCAGAAGGTTAATTGGCGACACGATAACAGCACAGTCGTCTTGTCGGCGACGACAACAAGAAGAAAGCGAGCTCCTAAACTAAAGCAGCACGCAACATAAACCACGCACACGCGACGTTCAGGTTCACTTCGTTTTTCTGCCTCCAGAATACCGTTAGACTGGCGCTGTGTAACACTAATGTTGCAGGTCTCCACCGCGACAATGCTATGCACGGGGCGAACAAAAGCAAGCTGTGGCTACAGAACGAACACGATTGGAAGACTTCAGAAAGAAAAGCCGTCACTTTTCGGCGCACTCCGATCCGTCGTCCACGACAAATAAACAAAAATAATAGGCACATGGATAGGTACATACTGTAACATAGGTAGCGCCGGAGTAACGCGCTGAGCACATTCTCAAAAATCATGCACTCTAGAGCCTACGTCCTGGCCTAGCGCCTAGTCATATGTAGCCATGTACATTTTTGTACACCAGCGGAATCTCACCCCACCGAAACTGACACACACACACATACGGTACATCAAACTATGACTCGTGTTCATGTTTACCCGCACTCAAGCCGCTTTTTGGTTGACTCGAGTCAAGCAGTCAAGGCAAGCAGTGCAGACTGCAGTGCAAAGAAGCACATTATGCACAGGCAGTAGAGTGTACTGCTGTTATGTGATGTCTGATGACAGGCCTTCATTACAATCAGTCGTGTCCACAGACCCAGGCCTCTGGTATTCATCGTAATTATATACCGGTAACGAAGTGCTAACTCTAACGAGGTGAAATAATAATAATAATTCGCGGGATTCGCGTTGGCATCGCTTGAATGTTCAGAAACACACAAACTAGCCTTCGCTTCCGCAGGCCACCACTATGCCTATGCCTTGCACACCTGAGTGGCGAATGCAGACCTCACAAGTGAGTCAGGGGAGAGTAGGTGAGTCTCTCAACCAATCGGGCGTGTAACGAGTGAGATCTGTCGTTAAAATAGAAATCGTTATACAGAAATCGACACATATACTGTCCCATTGAGCGTTGAGAATGAGTGAAAATCGTTACCTTTGGTACACGTAAACTAGTCAATTTTGGGAAATCGTTATAAATTATATGCGCCTCGTTAGAATAATGGCTTTTACAGTAAGTACATGTGATAATAGATACGTGTAGATGCTGCAGACAGTACAGTAGATGTGGAAAAAATTAATTGCTAAATGTCACAAACTCACAATACAAATGTAATGAAATGTACATGTACATGTATGTGTACATGTATCTGAAATGGTTGATGAGTGCCAATGCTTCTGGACTGGAGTGTGACTCTGTACGACAATGACTTATGAGCGTGCGTAAGAGTACCTAACCCGGCATTGACCATTGGCATTGGGCCTTTTTATTTCAATGATGGTTATGTAGTCTTGGTGTGAGTAGCAGATCTACTGAGTCTGTGTCTGCTCCGACACAGCAAGCCAAGGCACAGTGCTTCATGTCGGCGCTTTGACTTCCCAATCCCCCTCCCCTTCCTCACCTAAAGTCTAAACCTTCACTCGGCTTCAGGCCTCCCTGGCCTGGGCCAGATCGGATATTTCTGACTCTGCTCTGCTCGGACGTAGATCTAAGTGCGGACGCAAGACAGCCAAGTGACGTCGTTGTCGCCACAAATACTGTAATCATGGTAATACTAATAGAGAGAGCTACACACCGCAGTCTTGAGAAAATGGGCTCAGTTCCAGGGATGCTAGGACAGGGAATTGCGGCTCGCCGGAAGCACCAGCAGTCCAAACCACTAAGCTAAAAGTCAAGACAAGTGAGTTGTGAGGACGGTGGAACCCACACTCCCTGCCTGGTGCGGCGGTGGCGCCATGGCGGGCGCGACGCATTCAACCTGTACTGTGCATGCAGTGCAGTGTTATCATGGTTGTGATTGACTTCGTGGCGCTAGTGACGGCACGTACTGGTATCTTCTCGTTACAACATCGGCTTGTACTATCATTTTTGTCGTGTCCCGAGCCACTTGCACTGTACTGCATGCTGCCGAGTGCTGGCATACAACTAACTACTTACAAGAATACATAACCCCCATGCACACTACTCTTGCAGTCTTGGTACTACACCGATCTGAAAAGATTGGAATGTATTTCCCCGGGAACAAAGAAAACACAACACATGGTCATGGGTAACACTGGTACACACGTAACACAGTCGCTAACAACACCACCTCGCCAGCGGACACTGCGCAAATAAAAAGTCTCGGCTGGTCTCTTTGCTTTGGCTCTAACTAAGTAATTACTAATTACTAATTAGTTACTTACCTACATGTAAGTACAATCATGAATCTTGCAGGGTTCTAGCCAGGTCAAAATAGTAGGGGACGGGCATTGGAAACAGTTACCCCTATCCGGGCCATTTTCCACTTTCCAATATTGTCTTGCCACGCTAAAATGCAACGTTGGTTGGTTGGTTTATTTGAGTTCGCACAAGAAACGGGAACTAGGCCCAGTGATATAAAGGCGAATGGATAAGCCACATTTAGCGGAGAGGACAGGAATTAGAAAATTATGAAAGAAGAAGTATCTGACAGAGGAGTCAAGCGAGTATCAGGGGTGACAGGGTGGTCGAGGAGAGCTAGTGGGCAGGTTAGTCTGAGCAACAATATGGTAGGAAACTTGTGCTCAACTTTTTCTGTCTTGCTATGGTCCGAACATCATCCGGCAGCAGGTTCCAGAGTGCAGATCCTGCGACGGACGGCCGAGAAGCGCCGGAGCGAGTGGAGGATGTCTGACTGAGCAGACCACTGGACCTCTGATGACGGGTTCTCCTGCCAGCAAATCTGACGAACAGTACTAACAACGTGGCACTAGCTTTCCCGTGAAGGCACCCCCACTCCAGACAAACACATCGAGCATTACTTTCCTGCTATCGGGCTCGCTTATAGTTATGTACTCCTGATGAAGCGCCTGGTTGGCTCTATCCTTCAACCAGCGGGCGTGCAATCTGTTTTTGTCTTTACCAGCTGGAACAGCTCTCTATCTGACCAGGGAGGGAGAGAAGCCTTCGTCGCCATTGTCGATGCCAGAGGTGCATGGCAATTGAGGACCTGCATGAACGCAGAGTACCATTTGTCCCACATCTTGTTGTTCATGGTTTTCAAACTCATGAAGTCGAGCGGCAGCCAAGTCCTGACGAAGCAACTCCATGTCCACTTTGTGAAGCTTCCGACTTAGGCGCTGGGACTGTGGTGGTGGACTCTCCACCTGAAGCTGAACTGAAGACAGGCTTCCACTGCAAAATGGTCAATGATGGTCTGAGGAACAATACTGACTGTCAATAGTTGCCGCCGTCGACACATCAGTACGTGCCAGAATCAGGTCCAGTACTGTGCCTACTGGGCACCCAGACGTTACTCTCGTTGGTTCATTGACCAAGTAGTTGCGGAGACCGTAAGAGCGACACATATCCATGAGGTGAGGAAACTGTGCACCGGGATTACTTTGATCTACGTTCACATTCAGGTCACCAACAAGCGTGACAGGACGCCTGAAATTTCACCAGTTGTAGTCTTCGGGGTGCTGAGTCGAATGGTCGTGGTCCGAGGAAGCTGAGACGCTCCCTTCCTACTTGAATCCCAATCGAACTCGCGCACTTCCACCGAAACTGGGTGACTGCGCCCTACGAGATGGGGATTTGTATGCAAAATGTCACTAAAAGCGCCATTTCGTTCTTATAAAAGCACGGATGACCGCGATTGGCCCATATGTTGTAGTCTTTTGGACGCTGAGTCGACTGGTTTTGGTCCGAAAAGGCTGCGATGCAGCGTTCCTCCTTTATTCCCAATCGAACATGGTTGAACAAGCGGTCACGTGCTCCTGCGTACGCCAGTCACCTGGTCACCGTGCCTGCAGGGTACAACTTACTAGCCTGTTTGACCTTTTTTTGGGTGCAGTCCTGTCAGTGTCACTCGAGTTGAACTCGAGTTGAACCTTGGTGTGAAAGTTGTCACCTGCTGGCGTGGTGACCAGGTGATTTGGGCACCCAGAAGCACGTGACCACTTGTTCAACCATGTTCGATTGGGAATAAAGGAGGAACGCTGCATCGCAGCCTTTTCGGACCAAAACCAGTCGACTCAGCGTCCAAAAGACTACAACATAAGGGCCAATGGCGGTCATCCGTGCTTTTATAAGAACGAAATGGCGCTTTTAGTGACATTTTGCATACAAATCCCCATCTCGTAGGGCGCAGTCACCCAGTTTCGGTGGAAGTGCGCGAGTTCGATTGGGATTCAAGTAGGAAGGGAGCGTCTCAGCTTCCTCGGACCAAGACCATTCGACTCAGCACTCCGAAGACTACAACTGGTGAAATTTTAATTTTTGCCTTAAAGGGGAAGTTAAGGCAAAAATTAAAATTTCACCAGTTGTAGTCTTCGGGGTGCTGAGTCGAATGGTCTTGGTCCGAGGAAGCTGAGACGCTCCCTTCCTACTTGAATCCCAATCGAACTCGCGCACTTCCACCGAAACTGGGTGACTGCGCCCTACGAGATGGGGATTTGTATGCAAAATGTCACTAAAAGCGCCATTTCGTTCTTATAAAAGCACGGATGACCGCGATTGGCCCATATGTTGTAGTCTTTGAGACGCTGAGTCGACTGGTTTTGGTCCGAAAAGGCTGCGATGCGGCGTTCCTCCTTTATTCCCAATCGAACATGGTTGAAGAAGCGGTCACGTGCTCCTGCGTACACCAGTCACCTGGTCACCGTGCCTGCAGGGTACAACTTACTAGCCTGTTTGACCTTTTTTGGGTGCAGTCCTGTCACTCGAGTTGAACCCGAGTTGAACCTTGGTGTGAAAGTTGTCACCTGCTGGCGTGGTGACCAGGTGATTTGGGCACCCAGGACCACGTGACCGCTTCTTCAACCATGTTCGATTGGGAATAAAGGAGGAACGCTGCATCGCAGCCTTTTCGGACCAAAACCAGTCGACTCAGCGTCCCAAAGACTACAACATATGGGCCAATCGCGGTCATCCGTGCTTTTATAAGAACGAAACGGCGCTTTTAGTGACATTTTGTATACAAATCCCCATCTAGTAGGGCGCAGTCACCCAGTTTCGGTGGAAGTGCGCGAGTTCGATTGGGATTCAAGTAGGAAGGGAGCGTCTCAGCTTCCTCGGACCAAGACCATTCGACTCAGCACCCCGAAGACTACAACTGGTGAAATTTTAATTTTTGCCTTAACTTCCCCTTTAACTTCCCTCAAGCTTGGGCCAGAAAGCGATTGTGGCATCTGGTGGTCTGTAGTGTAGGCATATGCTAGGAGGTGCCGTCCTTGGCGCCCTCTC